TGTTTATAGACTCCATGACAAATGTGAACCGATTACTGATAAAAGTTACCTTTTGATTCGTGGTCTTGTTGTCCTCCTAAGGATCATATTGAAGGTATGTTTTGCAAGTATAGCGACGTCATGTGGAAACCTTGCTTACTTCCGCAACGTTTCTACGTGACAACCTCTCGCCAACTGAAGAGATTGGAAGCGAAACATCGCTCTCCGATATACAGCCATTTTGGGGAGACCTTATGAGGAGCCAGTGTTATCAGATCGTTTCAAGCCCAGTCGAGGTTCATCAAGGAATCTGAGGACCGAGTAGATGCAATGCAGAAGTTTAGTTTACTCATTTTGTGCTCTCAGGTAATTTTGATCGATGTCATGATGATCGTGCTTGAAAGGTGTTTAAAAGCAAAAATTGATGTTTACATATACCCATAGTCTCCTGAATACCCCTAAACCCTCTCTATGAAAACAGTAAAGTATTAGGTTCCGTCCGTCCGACCGTCCGTGCGTACGTACGAATGAGAATATCTTAAGAACCATTAACTAGATTCTTTTCATATTTGGTACCCAGGTTCATCACAGTATAAGAAAGGTCCCAGTCAGGTTTGGTGACCTTGACATTAACGTTTTACTCTTGTCAGCGAGATATCTCAAGAACCGCTCACTAGGTTTTCTTCATATTCAACACCAAACGTTATCTAGATAAGGCGCAAGGCCCAGTTCGATTTTGGTGACCTTCACTTAATTTTCAAGGTCACAGCGACACTTTGAAGATTTCAGTATGTTAACCTGCATGTTAAGCAATCTTAAGAACCGCTCACTAGGTTTTCTTCATATTCAACACCAAGCTTTATCTAGGGAAGGCGCAGGGCCAAGTCGATTTTGGTGACCTTCACGTCATTTTCAAGGTCACTGCGACACTTTGAAGATTTCAGCATGTTAACCTGAATTCACTGGATTTTCTTCATAGACTTTCAGGACTGCCCTTTCGATAAGCAATTTCTTTAGTACCATTTTTGCATATTTCATACTCTATGACATTCATGTCAAGGTCAAAGTCAGTCTTGAAAATATTTGTGTGTTTGAACAACTAAAGAGAAGATATCAGGAGAGGTTGACTGGTCATGTTTTGTTGACATTTAACTTCATCTTAAACTTGCATTACGTTTTTAGTTTGATTTGATAATTTGCGGCGGGGGATTATGTCATCTTAGTGACAATGCTTGTTAAAGAGGCATTTAGAAGTGTTGAGCAGTCAGAAGGGAAGGATACCAATATGTGACTGAACAATTTCTTCATTACAGTGACAGTAGTCCACCCATATCTTGGTATCCTTCCATAATCAGAACCAGTGTCATTTCCAACTTTGGCTTTACACTAATCAGATTGACAGTAGACATCACAAATATATGTCTCTTTACATCTTTGGAACCTGAGAAGATCCGGGTTAGAATAACCTCATGCTTGTCGCGAGAGGCGACTAACGGGATCAGGTGGTCAGCCTCCTGACTTGGCTGACAATGTCGTATCCCAGTTGCCTAGATGTATGCCTCATGCTGTTGATCACTCTGATTGTCTGGTCCAGACTCGATTATTTACAGACCACCGCCATATAGTGCTTGAATATTGCTAAATGCGGCGTCAAACTAAACTCGCTCACTCACCCACATCTTTGATTCCTGCGATGTTGCCTTGATGCAATATATCATCTTCGTCCACCGACCTTCAACTTCCGTGTAACAACAGTAATTAATTAATATCTCGACAGCAGTGGAACTTACAAAGGGAATGCCTCGTGCCTCCAGTTCCTTCACACTAGATACTGCTACTTGATTAAGCACTTCCGGTTTAAAGACTTTGGTGGGTGAGTTCAGTTTACGCCACGCTATTAGCAATATTCCAGCAAGATCGCGGCGGTTTAAAGACTTTACCCTCAATTTCAGCCCAACAGTCACTGTAGCTTGATTATGTCTTGTTGAAAGAATGTAATACTTACATGTTTGGTGTGCACAACCTTGAGGTATTGCCGCCAGTCAGTATTTGGTGTATATTCCGACGGCATTTCCAGCACATGAACAAATTATTGTGTACTCAGTTGAATTCGCCATTCAAACAAATATATTCTGCATGCTATAAACTGCTGGATGATATATCAGTATTATCTTCACTATTGAAACTAGCAGGCACAAATAAAAATACATACAGACACAGTCGCAGGAAACTTCTCATTGAAATGGCGCGATATCATTTGATAACTAAAAATAGTGTATTAAATGTTAAAACCCGCCCAGCGTGTGTATTTGACAGATGGCAAGGTGTACGTCTGGAGGTCATAGGAAACGTCATCGTTCTGGCCGCCTCCCTATTTGACGTCATGTCACGTGACACCCTGTCAGGAGGACTTGCTTGGCTTGTCGGTCTCTCTATGCTTTGAGGTATGTACAGTTTTAACGGTTACAACGAACTCAAAGGGAAGAATGATCTTAGATTCGTTATAGTCACAGTTCGGTTTTCACATTTCAAGCTGGGTTAAGGGTCGGCGAACAAAGACACAGTTCGTTATATCCATAAGTTCGTTATAAGTGTGTTCTAGTTACACTCCTTTGTGACCCGTGTTTGTTCAGGTTATTATGAACTCCATATTTGAAGATTCTTACATTCTTACAAGTGCCACAGACACCTGGACCATTATCGCTGGAATGATCGGCATAGTTTCGGTTCCTGCTTTGGCACTATTTTTTTGGCAGCCTTTGTCATCCTATCAATGAAGGTATAATTGTATGTACCCTCGATTCATGCACATTTGCGGGTGGTGGGATAGCCAACTTGTTAAAGCGCTGGCTCGTCCCGCCGAACACCCGGGTTCGATTCCCCACATGGGAACACTGTATGAAACCCATTTCTGATGGCCATGATGACCATGTTCTGTTTGCACCCAGGGACACATATTTGAAACATATACTGGCAGTGTCCCTTGTAATGGTCATATAATGGTGCAATAACACGCGATTCACTCTTCTCATCATCCCGGTGAATTTGTTCAACCATTCAGCAAAGTATTAACGTGTTTGGTCAATTAATCCGAGTCATATGTCAGTCATCCAATTAAGGTACGTGTTCTGCATGCAGCCAGTGTAATTGGCATTAAAACCAGAGGAAATGGCATTATATCCAGTTTGGTATTATAACTAGGGTACACTGTACATTCAGTATTTAACCATGTTCTGTTTGCACCCAGGGACACATATTTGGGACATATACTGGCGGTGTCCCTTGTAATGGTCATAATAATACACTTGTCACGGTAATTGAAGGTCAAATTCATTCACTCACTCATGCATCCTTGCCGTGTGTACAATCATTTCAGATAACCGCTAACCTCAACTGGATGGTGCAGCTGGTGTCAGAAGTAGAGACACAGATCGTCATGGTGGAGAGGGTCAAGCAGTATACGAAAATACATTCAGAGGTACAAAATACCTAAGACGTTAAATTTTTAACTTACTTTACCACATGTGTATGAGAAAAGGTATCACAAACGTACATCTCCATTGATGTTATTAAGATCTAGGTGGCAATTGTCATAGGTAGCAGTTGTCCTGCTCCCAAACGAGTACAGGAAACTCGCCAACTCGAAGCTCACAGTGAAGGAGGCGAGGAAAACTAGCACCGAACGGAGATTCGAAAACGAAAACAGAAATCCGGTAGGTTGTTTATTTCTGATTATATACTACTCGGTAGGAATGGGATAACGAACAAAGAACATACCGTAATATATCACGTATAACTAAAATGTAATTAGGAAAAAAGGGCAACAGTTCCTTCCACAGCTAAGCATGTCTGTTCCTGCTGGCGAAAAAAGCAATGTGATTATTCCAGTCGTAATACACGTGTCGGGCTCTGGTCATTACCTTCTGGCCAAAGTGTGCGCGACACAATGCATACATACTAGATAGGAATCCAAGATAGGATGATATCGGCTTCACGTTTTCCAATCGTGTTTCGAAGAGCATAAGGTAACATGTATACAGTCATGATATTGTTTTCAGGTAAGTATTTAAATATCTAAAATATTTTGATTTGTAATACCGTCGTGTGGAGATGTACGTTGGTGATACCCTTTTGTTGTATACATTAGCATTCTAATCGACTAGAATACCTGTTGAAACGTGATATGATCTTCATCAGCTTGTCTTTACTCTGTAACATGGATGTGACCTGTGAAGATCCTTGGTTAGAATGAATCTTCAGTAACCTCTGGCTGCAAGAGGCGACTAACGGGATCGGGTGGTTAGAGCTCGTTGACTGGCTGGACATTACGTCATCAGTTCCCCAATTGCGCAGATCGATGCTCATGCTGTTGACTACTGGGTTGTTCCGGTCCAGACTCGATTATTTCCAGACCACCGCCATATAGTTTCGAGATATTGCTGAGTGTGGTATAAAACCAAACTCACTCACTCACTTGCAACATGGATGCCAGTGTTTGACATACTGAAGGTTTATACAAAACCAGCCAGCATGGGACATACCTGAAAGACGTCCAACTCATGACTGGCCAGACGCGGTGAAGTTCCTTTGCGATATAGAGAGAAGGCCTAGACCTTTGTTCTCAAGCGAGTAACGTCTACAAGTGCATTCCATAGAGAAGGTAAATGAAGAAAGTACTGACATATAATTATGCTATTTTCAGATAGGACTATGTTTGACTATTAAAAACAGAGTACTTAATGAAAGCATTACATATATGCGAGTACTTTGGTTTTGGGTGTAAAAGTACCTTGAACTAAGGTTGAGCTTTTTACTGACTAACACCACACATTTCAAAATTACAAAATAATACTCTAGGCATTTCCAACGGTGACTTCGCCTAGCAGGATGACATGTATGTAAAGGCAAACCAAACATTGTATCAAAACTTAATCACTAAGTTTTCAAGACCGTTACTTGTACTGGAACCAACAGGTCTCTTATATTACGTATTCTAACATCCTGGTGGCATCGTAGGCAGGATGGGGGCTGAGAAGTCCCCCTTCTCTGACTCCAGTCCCTATGTTCCTGCTGATAGTGAAGCTGCAAGAGAGGGATGGCAATTCCTTTATTCTTTGTCAGGAACCAATACTTCTGTATACATGTATCTCTAAGCATCCAGGTGGGGCATCGTGGGCAGGACGGGAGCTTGGGAAGTCCTCTCTGACCTCGGTCCCCGTTCCGGGCTGATAGAAGCTGCAGGAGGAGAGATCAACATAGATGGCGCTGCTCGATGTCAGTACACTCCCCTGGCTGCATAGACCTCAGGAGCAAACTCACCATTTTCTACCCTCAGGTCAGCCCTACATGAACTCAGGAACAAACTCACCACACTACCTCAGGTGTTTCCACATCTCAGGAACAAACTCACCATACTACCTCCTCAGGTAAGCCTGTATGACTCAGGAACATGTACAAACTGGACCATATTGCTCTCACCGTACTACTCCTCAGGTAAGCCTGCATGACCTCAGGAGCAAACTCCACCATAGTACCTCAGGTATGTCTGCATGACCTCAGGAACAAGCTCACCATACATGACCTCAGGCCTACTCAGGTATGTCTGCATGACCTCAGGAACAAACTCACCATACTACCTCAGGTATGTCTGCATGACCTCAGGAACAAACTCACCATACTCCCTCAGGTATGTCTGCATGACCTCAGGAACAAACTCACCATACTGCCTCAGGTATGTCTGCATGACCCTCAGGATCAAACTCACCATACTCCCCTCAGGTATGTCTGCATGACCTCAGGAACAAAACCCACCATGCTCCCTCGGGTATGTCTGCATGACCTCAGGATCAAACTCACCATACTCCCTCGGGTAGGTCTGCATGACTTCAGGAACAAACTCACCATGCTATCTCAGGTATGTGGACCTGTTATCGACATCTCCGTCATTGGGTTTGATATTACAAATGATATAGTTTGTAATAATAACAAACGACTGTGAATATTGAAAGAGTAATATGAAGAAATGCTGTGAAAGTCACTTGCAGGATCCTGTACTGCTTGCCGGAAGTTCATGAGGCAGTGCTGACCCTTCAACCAGTATTCAGGCAGTCAGATCTGGCGGCACTTGAACAGGCTCATCTGAAGACGTTCGTGGAGGTACTTCCTGGATGGACTGGAACACGAGTGAAGCGAAGAAAGTGAAAAATGAGGTACCAATTGATGACATTGTTTGTTGTAATCTTCATTAATTACGTGTATAATTTCAATACATTCAGGAATAAAATTTAGTTTTGTTAGCAATAACTTCATTCAAACGAATTTTTCATATCTGAGGACAGGGGTTGCGTTTCTTTTTTGACAGAGTTTATTTCTTAATATCAAGCTATGAATTTACGTTCATAACTTTATGTTAATAAATTGCAAAGATGCACGGCGTATTTCATACATATTTTGAAAAACCCCATTTTGCATCCTTTTTGCTCTGAGGGTGAGAATAATCATTGTATTCAAACATTTTCTGGGAAATGTCCATTTTTCGATACAATTACAGGGTCAACCCATGAATATGTGTGTTGTTACTAAAGACATGCATTTCATTTTCCAGCTACGTTCATCATGGTGTTTTTCTTTCTGTGGAATCTAAGGACGGTAAAGGCATCTGGTACACTCCACTCGAACATGCTGAAGAATGTTCTGAGGGCACCGATGTCCTTCTTTGACACCACACCTAAGGGCAGGATTGTCAATCGGTACTCCCAGGATATGGGCACCATCGACATCAGGATGCCGATCACGGTGGAGTATGCCTTCAACACCACGTTCCAAGTCTTCAGCAGCAGCATCATTATTTCTTACACCACCCCTATATTTCTCGTCGTCGTCGTCGTCGTTCCCTTAGTCGTACTATACTTTCTTGTTCAGGTGAGCATTAACATGAACATCAAAACCTTCAAATAGTAAAATTAGAAAGGAAACGTTGCATTGGCAAATCCGTTACCCAAGACTACGTCTTCACAGGGGGTAAGCCCTGCTCAACCGGAAGTTGGTCATCATCAACTACCATTTGCCCGATAGATAGTCGATCCCGGGAAGAGAGTGAGTCCCAAACTCATTCATAGTCAGCCAGAAAGAATCCTATTCATCACTCAACCTTTAGTGACGGTCCGTTCTGAGTAACTGACCTACGCAGCAGCATTGCTTTCTGTGGCCACGAAAATTGTACTAAAATATAAGCATTATCTGCTCTTAACTGACATCACGAATGACATATAGGCTACATGGGAGTGCGTGGGATTTATAGTCACATCGTCAATATTTCAGCTATATCGTGAGTTATACAAGCTACAAACTCTTTGTGATGCTGCACAGTTCTATACATTTTCCTAGTTCTTTGCAAATCATTATTCTAGAGGCGGTAACTATATAATTTCAGCGCTCTTATGTCATGGAATTCAATTTTGACAAGACATAGCACTTAACAAGGAGAATCTGTTTATAGACTCCGACAAATGTGGGCTGATTACTGATAAAAGTTACCTTTGATTCGTGGTCTTGTTGTCCTTAAATCTAAGGATCATAATTGAAGTGTTATGTTTGGCAAGTATAGCGACGTCATGTGGGAAGCCCTTTGCTTTTATTTCGCAACGTTTACGCGACAACCTCTCGCCAACTGAAGTTGGAGGCGAAGAAACATCGCTCTCCGATATAACAGCCTTTTTGGGGAGACCTTGAGGGAGCCAGTGTTATCAGATCGTTTCTGCTAAGCCCAGTCGAGGGTTCATCAGGAATCTGAGGACCGAGGTAGATGCAATGCAGAAGTTTAGCTTTTACTCTTTTTTGTGCTCTCTGGTAATTTTTGATCGATGTCATGATGATCGTGGCGAAAGGTGTTTAAAAGCAAAAATTGATGTTTACATATACCCATAGTCTCCTGAATACCCCTAAACCCTCTCTATGAAAACAGTAAAGTATTAGGTTCCGTCCGTCCGACCGTCCGTGCGTACGTACGAATGAGAATATCTTAAGAACCATTAACTAGATTCTTTTCATATTTGGTACCCAGGTTCATCACAGTATAAGAAAGGTCCCAGTCAGGTTTGGTGACCTTGACATTAACGTTTTACTCTTGTCAGCGAGATATCTCAAGAACCGCTCACTAGGTTTTCTTCATATTCAACACCAAACGTTATCTAGATAAGGCGCAAGGCCCAGTTCGATTTTGGTGACCTTCACTTAATTTTCAAGGTCACAGCGACACTTTGAAGATTTCAGTATGTTAACCTGCATGTTAAGCAATCTTAAGAACCGCTCACTCAGGTTTTGCTTCATTCAACACCAAAGCTTTATCTAGGGAAGGCGCAGGGCCAAGTCGATTTTGGTGACCTTCACGTCATTTTCAAGGTCACTGCGACACTTTGAAGATTTCAGCATGTTAACCTGAATTCACTGGATTTTCTTCATAGACTTTCAGGACTGCCCTTTCGATAAGCAATTTCTTTAGTACCATTTTTGCATATTTCATACTCTATGACATTCATGTCAAGGTCAAAGTCAGTCTTGAAAATATTTGTGTGTTTGAACAACTAAAGAAGATATCAGAGAGGCTGACTGGTCATGTTTGTTGACATTTAACTTCATCTTAAACTTGCATTACGTTTTTAGTTTGATTTGATAATTTGCGGCGGGGGATTATGTCATCTTAGTGACAATGCTTGTTAAAGAGGCATTTAGAAGTGTTGAGCAGTCAGGAAGGATACCAATATGTGACTGAACAATTTCTTCATTACAGTGACAGTAGTTCACCCATATCTTGGTATCCTTCCATAATCAGAACAGTGTCATTTCCAACTTTGGCTTTACACAATCAGATGACAGTAGACATCACAAATATATGTCTCTTTACATCTTTGGAACCTGAGAAGATCCGGGTTAGAATAACCTATGCTTGTCATGAGAGGCGACTAACGGGATCAGGTGGTCAGCCTCCTGAGCTTGGTTTTCGACACAATGTCGTATCCCAGTTGCCTAGATGTATGCTCATGCTGTTGATCACTTGATTGTCTGGTCAGACTCGATTATTTACAGACCACCGCCATACATGGCGAATATTGCTAAATGCGGCGTCAAACTAAACTCGCTCACTCACACCCACATCTTTGGTTCCTGATGTTGCCTGATGCAATATATATCTTCGTCCACCGACCTTCAACTTCCGTAACAACAGTAATTAATTAATATCTCGACAGCAGTGGAACTTACAAAGGGAATGCCTCGTGCCTCCAGTTCCTTCACTAGATACGTTATGATTAAGCACTTCCGGTTTAAAGACTTTGGTGGGTGAGTTCAGTTTACGCCGCTATTAGCAATATTCCAGCAAGATCGCGGCGGTTTAAAGACTTTTACCCTCAATTTCAGCCCAACAGTCACCTGCTTGATTATGTCTTGTTGAAAGAATGTAATACTTACATGTTTGGTGTGCACAACCTTGAGGTATTGCCGCCAGTCAGTATTTGGTGTATATTCCGACGGCATTTCCAGCACATGAACAAATTATTGTGTACTCAGTTGAATTCGCCATTCAAACAAATATATTCTGCATGCTAAAACTGCTGGATGATATATCAGTGTATCTTCACTATTGAAACTAGCAGGCACAAATAAAAATACATACAGACACAGTCGCAGGGAAACTTCTCATTGAAATGGCGCGATATCATTGATAACTAAAATAGTGTATTAAAATGTTAAAACCCGCCCAGCGTGTGTATTTGACAGATGGCAAGGTGTACGTCTGGAGGTCATAGGAAACGTCATCGTTCTGGCCGCCTCCCTATTTGACGTCATGTCACGTGACACCCTGTCAGGAGGACTTGTTGGCTTGTCGGTCTCCTATGCTTTTGAGGTATGTACAGTTTTAACGGTTACAACGAACTCAAAGGGAAGAATGATCTTAGTTCGTTATAGTCACAGTTCGGTTTTCACATTTCAACTGGGTTAAGGGTCGGCGAACAAGACACAGTTCGTTATATCCATAAGTTCGTTATAAGTGTGTTCGTTACACACTCTTTGTGACCCGTGTTTGTTCAGGTTATTATGAACTCCATATTTGAAGATTCTTACATTCTTACAAGTGCCACAGACACCTGACCATTATCGCTGGAATGATCGGCATAGTTTCGGTTCCTGCTTTGGCAATTATTTTTTGGCAGCCTTTGTCATCCTATCAATGAAGGCATATTGTATGTACCGATTCATGCACATTTGCGGGTGGTGGGATAGCCAACTTGTTAAAGCGCTGGCTCGTCCCGCCGAACACCCGGGTTCGATTCCCCACATGGGAACACTGTATGAAACCCATTTCTGATGGCCATGATGACCATGTTCTGTTTGCACCCAGGGACACATATTTGAAACATATACTGGCAGTGTCCCTTGTAATGGTCATATAATGGTGCAATAACACGCGATTCACTCTTCTCATCATCCCGGTGAATTTGTTCAACCATTCAGCAAAGTATTAACGTGTTTGGTCAATTAATCCGAGTCATATGTCAGTCATCCAATTAAGGTACGTGTTCTGCATGCAGCCAGTGTAATTGGCATTAAAACCAGAGGAAATGGCATTATATCCAGTTTGGTATTATAACTAGGGTACACTGTACATTCAGTGATGACCATGTTCTGTTTGCACCCAGGGACACATATTTGGGACATATACTGGCAGTGTCCCTTGTAATGGTCATAATACACTTGTCACGGTAATTGAAGGTCAAATTCATTCACTCACTCATGCATCCTTGCCGTGTGTACAATCATTTCAGATAACCGCTAACCTCAACTGGATGGTGCAGCTGGTGTCAGAAGTAGAGACACAGATCGTCATGGTGGAGAGGGTCAAGCAGTATACGAAAATACATTCAGAGGTACAAAATACCTAAGACGTTAAATTTTTAACTTACTTTACCACATGTGTATGAGAAAAGGTATCACAAACGTACATCTCCATTGATGTTATTAAGATCTAGGTGGCAATTGTCATAGGTAGCAGTTGTCCTGCTCCCAAACGAGTACAGGAAACTCGCCAACTCGAAGCTCACAGTGAAGGAGGCGAGGAAAACTAGCACCGAACGGAGATTCGAAAACGAAAACAGAAATCCGGTAGGTTGTTTATTTCTGATTATATACTACTCGGTAGGAATGGGATAACGAACAAAGAACATACCGTAATATATCACGTATAACTAAAATGTAATTAGGAAAAAAGGGCAACAGTTCCTTCCACAGCTACGTCTGTTCCTGTTGGCGAAAAAAGGAAATGTGATTATTCCACGTGGTCACGTGTCGGGTTTGGTCACAGCCTTCTGGCCAGTGTGCGCGACACAATGCATATACTAGATAGGAATCAAGATAGGATGATATCGGCTTCACGTTTTCCAATCGTGTTTCGGAAGAGCATAAGGTAATATGCACACAGTCATGATATTGTTTTCAGGTAAGTATTTAAATATCTAAAATATTTTGATTTTAATAATGTCAGTGGAGATGTACGTTGGTGATACCCTTTGTTGTATACATTAGCATTCTAATCGACTAGAATACCTGTTGAAACGTGATATGATCTTCATACGCTTGCCTTACTCTGTAACATGGATGCGACCTGTGAAGATCCCGGTTAGAATGAATCTTCAGTAACCCCTTGTCGTAAGAGGCGACTAACGGGATCGGGTGGTTAGGCTCGCTGACTGGGTTGACACATGTCATCAGTTCCCAATTGCGCAGATCGATGCTCATGCTGTTGATCACTGGGTTGTCTGGTCCAGACTCGATTATTTCCAGACCACCGCCATATAGCTGAGATATTGCTGAGTGTGGCATAAAACTAAACTCACTCACTCACTGTAACATGGATGCCAGTGTTTGATACGAAGGTTTATACAAAACCAGCCAGCATGGGACATACCCGAAAGACGTCCAACTCATGACTGGCCAGACGCGGTGAAGTTCCTTGCGATATAGAGAAGGCCTAGACCTTGTTCTCAAGGGAGTAACGTCTACAGTGCATTCCATAGAGAAGGTAAATGAAGAAAGTACTGACATATCATATGTTATTTTCGATAGGGACTATGTTTGACTATTAAAATTAGAGTACTTAATGAAAGTATTACATATATGAAAGTACTTTGGTTTTGGTGTAAAAGTACCTTTGAACTATGTTTGAGCTATTTCCGACTACCACATTTCAAAATTACAAAATAATACTCTAGGCATTTCCAACGGTGACTTCGCTCATAGGATGACATGTATGTAAAGGCAACCAAACATTGTATCAAAACTTAATCACTCGTTTTCAAGACCGTTACTTGTACTGGAACCAACAGGTCTTTATACATGTATTCTACATCCTGGTGGGCATCGTAGGCAGGACGGGGGCTGAGAAGTCCTCTCTGACTCAGTCCCTGTTCCTGCTGATAGTAGCTGCAAGAGGGATGGTAATTCGGCGTTTTTGTCAGGAACCAATACTGCATGACCTATACATGTATTCACCCATCCAGGTGGGCCTCGTGAACAAACTCAGGACGGAGCTCAGGAAGTCCTCTCTGACTCGGTCCCTGTTCCGGCTGATAGAAGCTGCAGGAGGAGAGATCAACATAGATGGCGTTGACGTCAGTACACTCGGGCTGCATGACCTCAGGAGCAAACTCACCATTCTACCTCAGGTCAGCCTGCATGAACTCAGGAACAAACTCACCACACTACCTCAGGTAAGCCTGTATGACCTCAGTACAAACTGACCATATTGCCTCAGGTAAGCCTGCATGACCTCAGGAGCAAACTCACCGTACTCTCTCAGGTATGTCTGCATGACCTCAGGAACAAGCTCACCATACTGCCTCAGGTATGTCTGCATGACCTCAGGAACAAACTCACCATACTACCTCAGGTATGTCTGCATGACCTCAGGAACAAACTCACCATACTCCCTCAGGTATGTCTGCATGACCTCAGGAACAAACTCACCATACTGCCTCAGGTATGTCTGCATGACCTCAGGATCAAACTCACCATACTCCCTCAGGTATGTCTGCATGACCTCAGGAACAAACTCACCATGCTCCCTCGGGTATGTCTGCATGACCTCAGGATCAAACTCACCATACTCCCTCGGGTAGGTCTGCATGACTTCAGGAACAAACTCACCATGCCATCTCAGGTATGTGGACCTGTTATCGACATCTCCGTCATTGGGTTTGATATTACAAATGATATAGTTTGTAATAATAACAAACGACTGTGAATATTGAAAGAGTAATATGAAGAAATGCTGTGAAAGTCACTTGCAGGATCCTGTACTGTTTGCCGGAAGTCTGCGAGGCAGTATTGACCCCTTCAACCAGTATTCAGGCAGTCAGATCTGGCGGGCACTGGAACAGGCTCATCTGAAGACGTTCGTGGAGGTACTTCCTGATGGACTGGAACACGAGTGTAGCGAAGAAAGTGAAAAATGAGGTACTAATTGATGACATTGTTTGTTGTAATTTACCTTATTATCTCTGCAAATATCAATTCCACGCAATCTACGCTGTATATGCCAGCGTGTCGGTAGCCAGCGTGTCGGATACTATTCTGGCATATTTCAGTGTTGGTCAGCGGCAGCTCTTGTGTCTGGCCAGAGCTCTCTTGAAGAAGACCAGGATACTAGTACTGGATGAGGCTACTGCAGCCGTTGACATGGAAACAGATGACCTGATCCAGCAGACCATCAGGTCAGAGTTCAATGACTGCACGGTGCTGACCATCGCCCACAGACTCAACACGGTCATGGACTATGACAGGTATCTTTTCGTGTTCTTCTTACACATCATTTAAGTATTTCACACCTGTGATCTTTTGTACTCCCGCATAACAGTGTCATATTCAGGAAAGATATGCGCAATAGTCGATTGATTCTCTTAATAGCAATCACCAGATTGACAAGTTATAGGTCGCCGTCGTAGAACTGGAATATTGCTTAGTAGAAGTGACCACAAACATGCACACAAAGAAATATAGTATTATCAGATGAATTGCCGGTATTGATGAAATGTAACATATATATTTTAGGATCCTGGTCTTGGACAACGGCCATGTGTGTGAGTTTGACACACCTTCCTCCCTGCTGCAACAGCCCGACAGCATCTTCTACAACATGGCCAAAGCTGCAGGATTAACAACATAATATAGAAACAAGGGATTTCATAAACTGATACGCAGACAGAAACAATATGTGCGACAAGATAATTTATGTGCTGTCGTCCACATGATATAGCTCGCTCATGCTTTCAACCACATGTTTGCAGGACTCAGACTTGTGTCTAATGGCCGCTGTGATATTGATGGTATACAGATCACTTACTGTGGCACACAACATTGACTTGTACGTCCCGTAATCCTAAATTGGGTTACAGCTAAGATATTTTCGTCTAAAACTGTAGCTTGACATAAATGTATCAATCACTGCGCATATCTAAACGGACACTGTGGCACGCCTTCAAAATGGACTAAGCGGACAGAAATTATCTTGGACATGACCAGGCAGGATAAGGGTCCACTTGAACGCAGTTCGATGAGCAGTGTTGGGACCCCAACGCGAGCCACAATACCGGTTGATTATGTTTCTAGTTGTTGTAGTACCAAAGTCGTGCTTGCGGTTTTCACCAAAGAGGTACACTTCTGGGACGTGCAATAATTCTTTGCACTCCTCCCACATTAAGCCGAAACGTCGTGAAATATACTCATGCCAATAATGGTTGTCACCCCCTTCAATTTTTTTAATTGGAGAGGGGGTGTGGGGTAGGGTGTGAGGTGGGGTTGGGGTGGGGAGGGGGTGACAACCATTAATGGCATGAGTATATCTGGAACATTCTTCAAAGCTGCGATGAACCAAACTGACTCACTAACTCAGTCGATAATGAAATGTGTACTCAGGCACCTCATAATGTACCTGAAATTCTGTTCAAATTGATAATTAACTCTGCACTAGATCTGGCCGACTTTGACAATGTCGAATATAACGAGAGAAACAAATAAAGGATCACAGGAAAATTCAAGCTTTCCTTCATTATTTTCCAGTTTTCATCGCTATCAAAGCTGGTGATGAAAACTGGAAATATTAAAGGAACGCTTGAATTTTCCTGTGACCCTTTATTTGTTTCTCTCAGTTTATCTGTACAGCAGCCATGATCATAGATGACACACATGCCATATAATTGAGAGAAAGGGGAAATTGAAGCGTCCGTGATACAGAATAGGTTTGTTTAGCCTTCTTTATCAATAACTCGTGAGAGAATTTGAACCCTACCTGGCGTTTTGTTGTTACAAGAGCTAAACATACACCGTTGATTCAGTGAATATGGTTTTACGCCCCTTTTAGAAATATTCTAGAAATATCACGGTTGGGGGACTCCACAAGGAGCTGCGCACATTGTTCCATGTGGGGAATAGAACCTGGATCGTCGGCGTGACGAGCCAACTCTTCAACCAATGGGATACCCCAACGCATACAGCTTTTGAGAATTAACAGTGTCCAATTTTATGATTATTGCAAGTTTTCCTACTCCCTTAAGTCATACACGTTGCCTGGGGTCAATGTCCTTTTGGGGCGGCGGGGTAGCCTAATGGTTAAAGCGTTGGCTCGTCACGCCGAAGACCCGTGTTCGAATCCCCACATGGGTACAATGTGTGAAGCCCATTTCTGGTGTCCCCCGCCGTGATGTTGCTGGAATATTGCTAAAAGCGGCGTAAATCCAAACTCAGTCAGTCAGTCAATGTCCTTTTCATACATTGTCCTTTACGAGATTGGTTTAACTCTGGACATCCTCTTATCACAACGCACATAATCATATGTAAAATCATATACATGTATGTTGTGCAAAGTTTTGTTTGTTTTTTTGGTTGTTGTTTTGTGTGTGTGTGAGTGAACGTGCGTGTGGGTGTGCGTGTGCGTGTGCGTGCGTATGCATGCAATCATTGTTTGCAGATCCGATGTAAGATGGCTCATGCCATTTCAATAAGAAAACATGAACGACAAAATTGAAGCATTATTTCTATCGAAGTCGGATGTGTCACTTGTTATATTAAAGGGGCGGTGGGGTAGCCTAATGGTTAAAGCGTTGGCTCGTCACGCCTAACACCCGGGTTCGAATCCCAACATGGGTACAATGGGTGAAGCCCATTTCTGGTGTCCCCCGCCGTGATGTTGCTGGAATATTGCTAAAAGCGGCGTAAAACCAAACTCAGTCAGTCAGTCAGTGTTATATTAAAGTATTGTGCTGCTTACATTATACTACGTGGAATCAGTTGTTTGCTACATAGACTTTGGTGTAATGATAAAATGTCAACAAGGTGGCGTTATACAAGGTGTGGTGATACCTTCTTGTTTGTGGTTCTATAAGGATCTACACCGAATGAAGATAAATAAATACAGAAGTTGCCTATCCATGAAAAGTGTTTCTCTTCGTCATACCACCTTCTAAATGCCACTTAAAGAGAGCGAGGCAAAAAAATTAGGTGATCCGGGTATATATCCTGGACACCGTCAGAGGCAGGGGTGAACTCTATTGAGTTACTTTGCCTTGTCTAGGTAATCCGTGTGCTTGAGTACGCAAATAATTAATGCTGTAATAAAGTAAATGGCGACAAATATACAGATGTAGTTGCGTAGATCGAAGCTCATGATATTGATCACTGGATTGTCTGGTTAAGACTCGATTATTTAAAGGCCGTCGTCATATAGCTGGAATATTGCTGAGTGCGGCGTTAACCAAAACACAAACAAAACGTGGGATTTGGTGAAACCCATCACCACTGATCCGGTGAGAACCGGGATTCGAACCCACGACCATCTATTTCCGGTCGGCCTAAGGGACGCAACTCGCAACACCAAACAGTAGCTGTTGGTTCCCAAAACACAACACAGATACCTACAGCTCTATGACCTGACGCAATTAATCCTGTCACACAGGAATGCAGGTACACAAACTAGGACGATCTATTTCGGTGTGTCGCGTCAATACGCAAAAATCCACAGTAGTCTTAAGACGAGCGGTGGGGTAGCCCAGTGGTTAAAGCATTCGCTGGTCATTTCCCACATGGGTACAATGTGTGGTGAATCTCATTTCTGCCCCGCCGTAAAATGCTGGTATATTGCTAAAAGCGGTGTAAAACTATACTCAATCAAAGCAAAGACACATGCAAGCAAAGAAGATGTATCGGAAAGTAAAATCGGCTTCACATCCCACCATCAGCAATGCAAATTATAAACATGTTTCGCATTATAGTGTCGAGGGTGATGTTGTTGATGCGAGGCAACAAGAGATCGACTGCCTGACACAAAGTATACACTTGAAATCTGGATTTGACAAATGTTACAACATTTTTCGCCTCCATCATACTTTGGGGGAGGTGGGGTAGCCTTGTGGTTGAAGCGTTCGCTCGTCACGTCGAAGACCTGGGTTCTATTCCTCATATGGGTACAATGTGTGAAGCCCATTTCTGTTGTTCCCTTTCGCGATATTGCTGGAATATTGCTAAAAGCGGCGTAAAACAAAACTCACTCTATCATACTTGTCAGTACACTTTCGCTAGCCTGGAAATGGTTTCCAGTAACTTGTGCTTGGCGTTCTTCTCTGAGTCAACCAATTAAAGGATCTGGTGAACTTGTGATCGGTCAGATTAATTGATTGAGTTGATTGTTATCGTAGTTCGATATACAATGTAATTTGAATAAGAATGACTTTGTTTGAGGGAGCGGGTAAGTTTAGTTTCACGCCGCTTTTAACAGTATTCGAGCAATATCATGGCAGGGGGCACCAGAAATGGGCTTCACCCATATTGTACCGATGTTAAGGCCCGTGAAGATCCGGGGTAGAACAGGTCTTCAGCAACCCATGCTTGCCACAGAAGGCGATTATGCTTGTCGTAAGAGGCGACTAACGGGATCGGGTGATCAAGCTCGCTGACTTGGTTGACACATGTCATCGGTTCCCAATTGCGCAGATCGATGCTCATGATGTTGATCACTGGGTTGTCTGGTCAAGACTCGATTATTTACAGACCGCCGCCATATAGCTGGAATATTGCTGAGTGCAGCGTAAAACTAAACTCACTCACTCACTCACCAATGTGAGGAATCGAACCCGGGTCTTCGGCGTGACGAGTTTGGCTACCCCACCGCCGCAAACATTGTTTGAAGTTGTTGTGTGAAACTCCCAACAGAGATAAAATATTACAAAGCTCAATAATATGAATGTTTAGACGAAGCAAGTAATGTTTGTATTGATGTTTTAAACTTCATGAATTTGATTTAGACTGAAAATGATTTTGTCACACAGGCCCTGAGGCATTTTATATATCCAATATAGCCCATGCAAGTCTAGATCTTTAGTGGCGAGTCTTGATTACCACTGTTTCTGAAATGAAGAAAAGATCTGGGTTCCTTTTCATTGTATTATATTATATTAATATATAAACTGCTGGAATTGTTGTTGTAAAATATTGTATGGATTAAATGTTAGACTAACCAAACACGTATATACACATATGCGTCTTTGGTCTAACTGAAAATGTACTTGAGCGAACACATTTATCTTTTAGCGGTCTGCATTATTGTGCTCGCCGTTAGGTGTCAGCACTTATAGACGCCATTTTTCAAGTTGTTGACATTGACACCGGTTGATAAGCGAAAACCTTCGCGTGTGATCTCCAAATAGAAAAGGGCGGAATTCTATGAATTTGGTATCGATGTTCATCGGAAAAAAGCCGAAGGCCTAGTTTTTGTCCACAATTGTACGTATTTGAAACTATTTTCAGTCAGTATTTCTACGGCTAGTGACCGTTTCAGAAGATGACTGATGAGTAAACTACGAACACTAGATGCATGGTTGAAGTGACATATTGTGATTGAAGGGAAGGGCTTCAACGGTTCACAAAGCCACAATAAGGTACAGAAAGATAAACACTAGCGGAGTTTAGAGTCTATCTAGGGAAACAGAATGACAGGGATTGGGATAGAAAACTTTGACAATTCAGGATTATTAGCCATTTTCTGAATTTAGAATGGGCTACTGCCCATAAATTTCAGAATTTTAATGGGCCATTTTTTATTCTAAGGTGCAAAATGCCCCATGGCCCCTGCCTTTCCCAATCCCTGAACAGACTGTGTCTTTTCCTTGTGGAGAACTAGTAGATATAGAAATAGGGCCCATGTGCTATAATGCTAGAATTTCCTTACATTCCAATAACTCTAACCAAACTGTATGTCTTCATTGTCTTGTGATGCATTAATGTATTGGTGATCCTCCTCATGCCTGAATATTGTGTATTATACATCGTAGAATGTGCTTTGCTGATCTCTTACTCATATATATCATGTTTATTCACAGGAGACAAATGTTATTATGCAAGACGTATACTAAATGTTAGATTTCTTCAATGGATATTTCTTTTTATCTCACAACAGCAGTGTAGCAGTTTTGAAGGGTATTAAGAGGGTTTTATCAGCATATACCGGTACCCGATTGTTAAAAATGGAGTATTTAGGTGTTTGTGTCAACACCAAATGACTGTGTTGATGATACTGTAATGATTGGTGACAAGGTTTTTTTCATCAAAGTCTTTTAGCAGACTGATTGGTGTTGATTCGATAGACAATGCTTCTCTACATGATTTGGTGCCAAGTTTTGATGACAGATGTTATGTTCTACTTTACATAAAGACAATAATTTAGTATGATATCGATGGGTTTATGGCCAATGAATCCTTTGACAAATGTGCTGGCAGACAATATCAATAAAACCTGACATGTATTTAACTTCACATTTTTAAATACAAATATAACTTGAGAAAATCAAGTTTAGCACAACATCAGTCAGAAATACAATCTTGTCACTAAACTGTGTAGGACGATATTTAAAAAAATAATTTAATAAACATTATGTTCATACAATGTCTGTCATCTTCTTTCAACAAAGAGACTAAAATCCCTTGTCCATTTATCAGTGTATGAATGAGCACTTAAATTGTTGTTCAAAACCAGTACGTACAATTAAACTTAGTGCTTAAGCATGGTAATGTAAGTTCTGCCTCTTTCATAAAACAGTTTTATTGATGTGGTGATGTGATAACTCAAGATAATGTTCATTTGGGGCAACCTGACCCAAATTCACATGTAATACAACCACTGGCAGAGACTGATGTTTACACAACAATATGAAAGATTGATATACCAGTAAGTAGGAACTGTTTCTGAAAAAAGTTATTGTGGGTGTAAAAACTTTAAGATATACTTCATTATCCACATAACTGATTCTTGATATTAACTCTTATACACTAATCAACAGTAACAATATACTTCTGGATAGTTTGTTTATCACAAGACCCATATTGGATTGGCTTCAGCTTGCATGTGTCTTTTGTTTCGTGTTGACGTGTGACATTAATTACATGTGTCAGCGCAACAAAGCAAGGCCTGTGATTGCTGAGCTGGTGCTTATTACAGAGTTGTAATAGTATCTGACTACAGCAGGGTTGAGCTGGGGATTGCTGCTTTGCCCATACATCTTACCACTTCCCCATCTGGTGTCAGGCCAAACACTTCCAAGTTTGGAAGTTATAAAGTTTTTGCTAATCAGTTAGCTTGGGCTAAGCAATATATAAATGCATGTTTTTTAAATTAAATTTTTATAGGTCACTAACATTTTTATTTTGTTGTTTGCGTTGGTTGCTTTGTCATGGTAATGGGTCGATTTTTACAGCCTGCGACTTAAGCCGCTGGTCCGGAGCCCAAGTTTAGTAACATGTTCATATGGGATGCCACGATGCATCAATACTTTTTCTGAGACGATCCAATTATCGATACATTCAAAACTATCGATATTTAGTTTTGAAAGTATCGGTTTAAGTATGTTTATGTATCGTTTACATTTTGCAATTGTATCATGTTTTTGATGTTATGGGAGTTATAAATGATTATTTTTCATGCACAAAGGTGGGAAATTAGAACTTTATAATCACTGAGAATAAAAAATGTTGATCTTTTCATGGACAATTATAAAATATAACATATTAATGTTCAAAATGTAACTAAATTTACACAATAATGCCGCGAAAATAGGTATCGTGATATGTATCAAATTGTGACATGGATACCGTGATACGTATCGATTCATGAAACTTATGTATCGTGACATCCATAATGTTCATTATTGGCTAATAAGACTTAGAGAAAGATGATGTGTGATGATCCCCAACTGCAGTTGTGGTACAGAGTAATCCAATGTATTTAAATGCATAGAATGTACCCATGTATGTCAAAGATTACAAAATTCACTTCCAAAAGCTACATATTCATAAGCATGGACAACAATATTGTACCTTCAATCTATAAGGAAAAATTATTTAAAGATTAATGTTTTGTTTGAGATAAGCATGATAACAGAGATTTAATAATCCAGTCACAATCATAATCAACTTCAGATACATTTTACCATGATAACTGTGGATGGGTGTCCAATGATCCCAAGAATTTTAGTAAAGATAGATTTCAGTGTAATCCTCTGTTGAATTGTTTTTCATTTCTGTAAAGTGTTCAGCATGGTTAGTCCTTTTGAACTTTGATATTTATGAATTTTAATTGTTCAATTTATTCTCCCTGATCACACTGAATTACCAAATTCATGGTGTAAATACTTATGTATCTTGGTTTATAAAAGAAATCCATTACTTTGTTGTGTAAGCTAGCTTGAGAGGTGCTAATTACAGAGGGTTATGTAAACTTTCATCAGCCTGGAACTAACATCTAAATAGGTTTTTATATACCATAATCTACCACAAAGACATCTGTAATGATAACCTGTGATGGTGTAACAATACATTGATACTTTCAATCCCTATAAAGGTATTGCTTTTGTGCAGGATTTCCCCAGCCAGTGAAAACTGAGATCCGTCAATACTCCCTGCATATTCTTTTGAGAGTCATGAGCTCATTTGATTGAGTCACGTATGAGGTTCACTTTCCCCCACAAATACTGATTACAAACAACATCAGTCAGTTTCTGTTGATTAAACCTGTGAAGATCTGCGTAGGTTGATGCTCATGGTATTGATCACTGGATTGTCTGGTCCAAATTCGATTATTTACAGACTGCTGCCATATAGCTGGAATATTGATGAGTGTTGCATTAACCAACCAAATCTGCATTTTCTTTTTTAGAGTGAGCTCAGTTGATGGAATCATATGATATAGGAGGTTAACTTTTCCCCTGAAAATATTGATTATAAACTATTAAACAATATCAGGCACTTTCTGTTGATTGAAATGTTTAAATTGATCAGGAAGTTTAAATAAAGTCCCTTGGTTACTGTGAATTCACCAGTACTGACTGATGTGTTTTGTGTCTAGTATGACATGTCAACATCGCGTTGGTAGTGTTTTTGAGTAATTTCATTAAATTATGCGTGTTTCCTGCAGCAAATGAAACCCTGTTTGAGCCTTTCCATATTAGGTGTTTTTGATTTTATCTATTGTACCCTCTACCCTTTTTATTTCCTTCTTTAAAATGGGTTCTCACATCATGAAACTGTGAACCTGATAACCTGATAACCAGTCGTGCTTGTCCTTGGTGCAGAGCTGAAAGAATTGTTTGTCATATATTTCATTCAGGTGTGTTTAAGATATCCTAAAATGAGCTGAATTCGACGTTCTGGTTATTTCGACTATTGCAATGCTTGAGCTATATTGGGGGAGTACGTGCGCGATCGGAGTGCACAAGCAGTTTCATCGGTAGGGCGGATGACCAGTGGCTGTCGTGAGAACTTTTATTGACGATTGAAATCCGGAAGTTAAGTTATATAAAAAGCAAACAAACATCAAAATTATTTATCCATCATCGTTAATATCACCTCAGATGCAAAATCAACTGTCTATATAACAAGAAATAGCAAGCGAAAATTCAGTAAGATCAGTCGTCTGCTTGTGACAGGCAATATGTAAATAGGAAGCCATGTTATCACAACACTCCCTCGCAGTGCGGAGCAAAAAGTATGGTTCATCATCCCAAACCCATACAAATTCCCCGGATTTTGAGAGCGGCAACAGTTTCACCGCTAGGTTGTCATCAATGCTCTTTCTGTAGGAAAGACTTGATATTTTTGCGTGAAATAGATGAATATATCCTTTATCACTCAAGGGTAGTAAAATAAAAACTTGAAATGATATCAAACATAAAAATTCTGTTTTTGTCTTACATCGTCGAAAACCCCTGACACCGGGATACCAGTTGCAAAATGGCAAGTAACTTAAAATTTCCACTTACTCAGTCTGATCTTCCCACTTGCCCAGCACTTTAATTACATGGGTCGAACTAGTCAGGCAGACTAAACCAACACTCCTGTTTCATTAGTTCATTCTTGGTCACTGATGTGGATTAAAGAATTACCTTTCCAAATATGTGTGTGAGTTTCCACAACTTTGTTCATCAAATGAGATGTCTAGCCAAAGCATGAAATGTTCTTTCCATCCAGCACATGGTGTAGTCAGCTTATGTATGGGAGTGTATGGATAACCCCATGAATTCCACTTTCCTCACAGGTGTTTGTGGAGCTGAAGGATCTTGTTGGCATTGTACTACAGATAGGTCCTTCACATATGTTATTGTTACTGTGTGCATAAATGTATTCTAGCCAACATCAGGACAGAACGGAAACCCAAGGATTAGTCCTTTCCGCAAAATACAGTTTGATTAACCAGTAACATATTATGGGTCTGAACATACAAGATATTCTTCAGTTTCTGGATTGTAATACTCATACAGTCAGAGATGCACTCCAACAAACAGTATATAATATGTATAAACACTGAAGTTGGTACAGTACTCTATATTTTCCACAGTGCACAGTATTATTCATCATACATTCATCGTCAGGCACTAGTACTCCCAATACCAGAAGTGTAAATTGAACCGATTTCCGATTCGGATTGAAGAATACGGACATGCTCGCTGTTAAGGTGGCCAGAACTGTTCTCTTTTTATCCCCCCGGCATGTAATGCGGGGGATATAGTCGACGCCTCATGCGTCTGTCCGTCCGTAATCATCTCGTTTCCAGAGCATAACTCAAAAAACGTTCAATATTTTTCAACAAAACTTGGTAGATATATCAATCACAACCTTAAGTGGTGCCTTTTGCTATTTGCCGATTTTTGGCATTTTTATTTTTCCCGGTTTCCATAGAAACGATTAGGACTTAGTCCCAAAAGGGAGGGGTGGGTTTTCGTTTCCTGAGCATAACTCAAGAACCGTTCAATATTTTCCAACAAAAGTTGGTAGATATATCAAACAGAACCTTCAGTGGTGCCTTTTGCTATTTGCAGATTTTTGGCATTTTTATTTTTCCCGGTTTCCATGGAAACGAGTAGGACGTAGTCCCAAAAGGGAGGGGTGGGCTTCGTTTCGGAGCACAACTGGAAAACTTCTTAATATCTTTCAGCAAAACTTGGCAGATATATGAGACAGATCTTGAAGTGGTGCCTTTTGCTATTTGCAGATTTTTGTCATTTATATGTTTTTTGGTGTCCATGGAAACAAAAGTCCCAAAAGGGAGGGGTGGGTTTCGTTTCCGGAGCACAATTGTTAAACTTCTTAATATCTTTCACTTTCAGCAAAACTGTGAGATATGTGAGGCAGATCCCAAAGTGGTGCCTTTTGCTATTTGCAGATTTTTGTGATTTAGAAATGATTTGGACTGAGTCTCAAAAGGGAGGGGTGGGTTTCGTTTCCGGAGCACAACTGGAAAACTTCTTAATATCTTTCAGCAAAACTTGGCAGATATGTAAGGCAGATGCCAAAGTGGTGCCTTTTGCTATTTGGCAGAATTTTGGCATATTTATTTTTCCCGATTTCCATGGAAACGATTCGGACTTAGTCCCAAAAGTGAGGGGTGGGCTTCATTTCCGAGGGGACACAACTCGAAAAGCCTTCAGTATCTTTCAACAGAACTTGGCAGATATATTAGGCAAATTTTGAAATGGTGCCTTTTGCTATTTACAGATTTTTGGCATTTATATTTCTCATGATTTCCATGGAAACAATTTGGACTTAGTCTAAAAAAAAATCAAGCTGGACTTTAAGTAACTGTTCGATGATTTGTTTTTTCAAATATGTGGGGGATGGGGGTATATGTCATCTTCATGACTCTTGTTTATTTTGGGTACAGTACAATTCTGCATTGTTAAAACGTACCTTGGAACACGTCTGTAGCAGCTGAGCCGAAAATTATCCATTCAGCATCAGTAGGGCTGAAGGGGTCGTTGTTGGCACAGGTACTACAGATACGTACCCCAGGTACCTTTCTGTATACAGATATGTACCCTAAACAAAGTCAAAATACAGAAACGTAGCCGGTACCCTAAAAGGCGGACGTGTCCATATTCCGCAATCCAAAAGCGAAGCCGTATGTAGTTGTTCCCGTTCAACTGATTCTGAGTGGTATTCATGTGCATCGTGAAATATCCGTTACTGTGTATTCTCATTACTTACATAACGCAATCAAATGTATCTAATACAACAGTATGACAGTTCCGGTCAAGAATACACCACAATGGGAATGGAATCGTCCTAGGGTACTTTTCTGTATTCTCATTATGGCCAAGGTACGTTTCTGTATACAGAAACGTACCTGGGGTACATATCTGTAGTACCCGTGCCAACAACAACCCTTCAGCATCAGTAGGTTGTAAACGTGGTATATTGAGTGAAACAACACCAAACTTTACCTTGTCACCACCTGAACCAATGGCTACACAATTCCTCCCAATACTACTAGTTTCTGTAACATGTTATATTTGGGATTACACTTTCTCTGTAAAGTTCTGATTTTAGCACTATTTGGGGTTGAGTCCAGTCCGGGATTCACCCTTGCCAGAGTGAGTCACCTGATCACACATAAATTCAGCAACATTTGTGACCAGTACTCTGATAATGTGAACAAGTGTAATCCCAAATATAACGTTAAATTTGGCCACTGTCTAAAAGGCATTGTGTATACTAGTTCATGTCTTGAAAAGCACAGAGTTAGTGGATGACTCAAACTCAACTAATTTTCTTTGATAGTGATCAGACTGAGGTACAAACTTGCAATCACAGCCAATACAACTTCAGGAGCTTAGCAGCACATGGAACCGTGAGATCCTACCCATGTGTTCTTATACAATGTATTGTGTTGAAACCTGAGGAGGGTGAGTAGTTACCCCAGATTAAATCAACACAAATCTGGATTAGGGAGTCACAGCTGTGTGCAGTGGAGTGCGAACCTTGTAATTAACATAGTGATCAGCACTTGATCCTGTTTGGTGTAACAAGTATCAGCCCCACATGCTTGTTGCAGACCATGGGGGTGCAACTCGATGAGGCGCTGTGATTGTGGGACAGGCTTTACCCAGACAGGTGTCTACAACAAGCCATGTCATGGCAGGGAGACATGGGTCTCCCCCCTACTCACTCAACAAATGTGCCAGGTTTGTCTTTTTTATTTATTTGAAAATTATTTTTTGAACAATGTTTTCGTAAGTTTGTTTTGCCAAGTCACTGGTTGAAGTCAAGACCATTCATTGTATTGGTACCGCTCACAAATCTATAACGGTTGAGATGATTATAGGTCGCAAACTTTAACATGTTTGAAACAGACATACAGTTCTGTGTATATATGGTACTTGTTTATTGATAACAACTTCTATATTTTTGGTAACAAAAATTCAGAGCTAATTTTATAAATAAAAAGCACAAGTTCTATAACAGGTTATAAGATGCATTGAAAGTGTTCTTTTTGCACTCTTAATTCCAAAGCACACCAAATCATCTTTGTGAGTGCTCTGTGTCACAATTGAAATATAATACCTTGCTATCCCTGATGTTTGTGTGTTCCAGATTATCAGAAGATGTTGCAGGTTCCTCAGTATTCTAATGCAGGTAAATGATTGTCTCTGGTTTACATTGTTAGTGATCTGATTTTCGTAAGGCCTTTAAAAAACGGTGCTTGTTGCTTCCTTGCCTGGCAGTCAATATTAAGGGCACTCTCCTACCCAGAGTTCCATGCGGCAAGCCAGCATAGTACCCCTGCCACAGGCCACAAAAATGTGACGATTCGTCACATCTTGCAATGTCCATTCAATATAATGTACAGATTTCTTTTACTCTTTTATTTTTGACGAGTCTACACATCTAACTAAACATCTTTAATAGAATGGTTTAGTTTCACTGAGAAAATATCCAAAAACACATAACACTATTTCGATTTGCGTAGCGATCCTTTGTTTACATAGGTTGTACGGCTCCACGTACTGTCATCGAAGCTGATGGAGAGCAAACGATGCAGCCAGTTTGATATCTAAATATGTACTGTCATAGACCTTACTGTCGCAGTTGTGGAAGAATATATATGTAACAGTGTAAAACATTATGAAGAGAGCGCCGAAAAGCTTTCGTGAGTCCAGTCTCTTCTTATTATGAATATGCGCGTTTGATTACAAACAAGAGAAAAGTCTGGTCATGTGATATGCAAATTAGCCTGTGGCAGTGATGTTATGTTAAGTCATCGCTGTGCCGGAGTGTGTATTAAGGGAAGAAAACATGTCTGGTCAGTGCACATGGTTTATAGTTCCTGAGTCTGTGTCATGTTAATCTGTGGCTAGGTGTCTCAGTTGGCTTGCACTCTAAAACTGGCATTAGCTCGGTCTAGTACAATGCATACTATGAATTGTGTGGTCTTACTTACCCACTTGAACAATTTCATGAACACTGTTGTAATATGCCTGCGCTGTTTAGCAAAGATGTCACAACAGGAAATGCTTTAAAAATTTGATGAGAAACAAATTGGTAACATTTTGTCTGTTATCTGCATGAAGGATGGAGGGAGGCACCTCATTTGGGGGATGCACGGACATTAGTGCCGTCCCCTGTCGTCCGACACCAAGTCAACTCCCCACAGAAGCTAGGGGGACAGCATCTCGGGTACCACCCCTCCAAGTACGGACTGGTTGCGGGGTCAACTCACTACCCTGAGTCCCAGTTTAATGATGACATCCGCCCCAGTGAACGTGCTGTACAGTACTCCAACAGGGAGGGAGAGACCATATACAGGTCAGACCATTTCTGTTTGTTTTGTTCCTTAGCTGAAAAACCTTTCCTTCCTTGAAAAATCTTTGAGTTATTATTGTATTTATGAGAGAGTTGTGTATATTATACTCTGAATGGTATTTCATTTTCATCATACAATGCATAGCGTTCTCGGCATGAAATGTTAGGGACTACTTTCACAGTGTAAACAAACACAACATCACATCCATCTGTCGGCGAACATGTCAGGCTTGACGGCTGTGGTTACACTACTGTCAGTGCTTTGATCCAAGAAAATTCATGTCTTGTAATGATGGATGGAGTGAATCACAAAACAAAGATAGAAATTCATAGGCTTATGAAGATACAAATACCAGTTTCCCAACCGACTGTCAGTGTTACCGTAATTTATACATAATTTATGTTATGTACCGTACATAATTAAAGTTTATTTGTTGTTCAAAAGGTTAATTGAGTGTTTCTGAAGTTCCACATGAGTTTGTTGTTATTTTTCAAAAGTAAGCTAAGATTTGTTGACAACAATACATACTTTAACATAAAGACTTATTGGGAACTAGATGACCTAACATGTCAATTGAGTGATCAGTAGAAAATTGTCTCACCGAGCCTGTGACATAACATATTACTGTGCACATATTTGTGACGTCATAGATATCTTTGCACATTCCACGCACAAAGTTTAGTTTCATGATTTTTTAAATCATGAAGTAAGAATCATGGTAACGTCAGTTTAGAGGTGCATGACAAAGGTGGCGATATTTGTCACTGATAGATCCCTGCCAGTTGTTTTAAAGAAAAGATGTTTGTTGCCAAGTAACGTATGTTTCTTCATTGATTGACCAGGAAAAACTGATGATTTCAGGTCACTGTGATATAACTATAAGATGTTATTCAACAAGAAAGTATTCATTACTCTTGTGTAATTTCATATTTACCTTTCTGATCATTGAGGCCAACTGAAATCTTTGTTCTTTAATGTTTGTTGTTTAATGCAACACATGCCAATCTGGCAACTACATGATAACTATCTGTAAATAGTTGAGCCTTGACCAGACAATTCACTGGCTAACATGAGCATCATCTATGCAGTTGGAATATGACATGCATTAACCGAGTCAGCGAGCCTTACTGCCCAATTCTGTTAGTCACCTCTAACAACAAACATGGGTTGGTGAAGACCAATTCTAACACAGATCTTCATGGGTCAGCTGAAAGCAGATTAATCTTGAAGTATTATTCGTTTGAGTATAATAATGTTAGTGAACTCAACTTATTGAAATAGTTTTATTTGACTTAGGCCTAAAAAAAATGTTGTGGTTCCGATTACCCGACCGACCCTTGAATTCTGGTGCCGACCCTATTTTTTTTAAGTGGACTGAATAAAATAAGCTTTCAGATGCTATTGTTTTTTCCCCACGCCGACAGATATCGGTAATTCTGATAGAGGAAGTCGTCTTTAGGTTGATATGATGGCCATAAGCTTGATTGAATCTACAATTACACATTGATACATGTGTTATTAGTTTGTACTTTCCTTCTAAAAAAAAATCTGTAAAAAAAAAAATCCTACCTACCTACCCTGAAATTTAAAGAGGTGTAATCGGAACCTCGACATTTTTTTATTTGGCCTTAACACAGTTTTTCATCTCCTAATAGTAATACATGATAAACTGTTTTGCCTGGTGTTGGCAGTGTAAATGGTGTACACTGTGATGTAGTGGCTATGTGTTCATACAGAATCCAGGAGGCCTACATGCCGGACCAGCTCCCTGTGGAAGACAAGCTCCAGTATGATGAGGACTACATGGACATGAAAACACCGCCCAGTCGGAGCGGACATGACCTCCAGAGCGGCTATAAGACTCCTCCCAGCAAGACATCAACGTTGTCTGAGTTCCATCAACTGCCTAAAAGTGGATTCAGCAGCAAGGGAGATATGAGGCAGTGGCAGACACAGCAACAGCAGTATTATGATCAGCAGGTAGGGAAATAGTGTTGAACTCAACTGCAGTATTGTGATAAGCAGCTAGGAAAATAGTGTTGAGTTCAGCTGCAGTATTATTATCAGCAGGTAGGAAACTAGTGTTGAGCTCAACTGCAGTAATATGATAAGCAGGTAGGAAAATAGTGTTGAGCTCCACTGCAGTATTATGATCAGCAGCTAGGAAAATAGTGTTGAGCTCAACTGCAGTAATATGATCAGCAGGTAGGAAAATAGTGTTGAGCTCAACTGCAGTATTATGATCAGCAGGTAGGGAAATAGTGTTGAACTCAACTGCAGTATTGCGATAAGCAGGTAGGAAAATAGTGTGAGCTCAACTGCAGTATTATGATAAATCTGCTAGGAAAATAGTGTTGAGTTCAGCTGCAGTAATATGATAAGCAGGTAGGAAAATAGTGTTGAGCTCAACTGCAGTAATATGATAAGCAGGTAGGAAAATAGTGTTGAGGCCACTGCCGTATTATGATCAGCAGGTAGAAACTTGTGTTGGGCTCCACTGCAGTATTATGATCAGCAGGTTGGAAAATAGTGTTGAGCTCAACTGCAGTATTATGATAAATCAGCTAGGAAAATAGTGTTGAGCTCAGCTGCAGTATTATTATCAGCAGGTAGGAAAATAGTGTTGAGCTCAACTGCAGTAATATGATAAGCAGGTAGGAAAATAGTGTTGAGCTCCACTGCCGTATTATGATCAGCAGGTAGAAACTTGTGTTGGGCTCCACTGCAGTATTATGATCAGCAGGTAGGAAAATAGTGTTGGGGTTCAATAGTAGTATTATGATCATCAGTGTGTTCCAGTAGCTGTCTGTGAAGGATGAGGATGATGTTTGTGATGCACATTTCAGAGTGGGTACAGCAAGGGGGTTCGGCAGACCGGGATGGAGGGGGTGTTCCAGCAGCTGTCTGTGAAGGACGATGATGATGAAACCCAATGGGACCCCGTCAGGAGAGCAGCCGACAGCATCATCAAGGAGAAGAATATGATCATACACAAGTAAGTAGCTTGTATTCCGCCCTTTATCTACAACTTGCCCTTCCTAAAGTCAAACTGGCCAACAAGGCCCCAATGTCATTTATGAAACATCCCTGCACAAGTTTTAGATTTTGTCAGAATCGAACACTTATCTTCCTTTTAAAATGATATTGATATTGAAGGATTATCTACCACTGACATCACATCCATTAGATGTCAATTGTCGATTGTCATGAGAGTGCGAAAGGTCAGGGTCACAAGATAAAGTAAAAAGATGGTGTAAACCTGAACTTTATTATCTATTCTGGGACTTACGAACCTGGGTAAATTGTAATCCTGGAATCATTGTCCTCAGACAAAGTCTCAAGACAAAGGTAAAGACAATGGTCCAGGGGCTCCTTTCACGAAGCAACCTTTACTTAGATTAACCTTAACTCCCATTCTTTAACATTGCAGTAAGGTTACCATAGTGACTTACGATCACCTCAGTGCTTTGTGAAAGGAGGACCAGGTCACAGCAAGACTGGCAATACTAACATGTTGTTCTGAGTCTATTTTGGCATATTTTACCACGCTAACCTCATCTCGTCATACCTCTTGTCAGAATGTTGAGATCTGATTGGTCCATGTGATCTTAATACAATACAATGTAACCAGCCTTGGAGGGAAAAATGAATCTGAATGGAGATATATATCCCTTATACCCTGCCAAGAAAACATGATTGATATGGCTCAGCAGAAGTATAACAAGGGGTATATTATAAGTTGTTCACTGTTCCCTCGGGGCCCATGGGCTGATGTACCCTCGATGTTTGTTTATGTTCCTTGAGCCCGAAGGGAACATAAAGAAGCATCGATGGTACATCACCCCATGGGCCCCGAGGGAACAGTGAACAACGTAATTATCTTACCGAAGTCCTCAAGGGTAATTCTGAACTGTTTGAAGCAAGGGTATCGGAGCATAGTATGGTGTACCAGGCGACAAGAGGACAAAAAATACAAATTTAGAGTCATCTCCCTTACATCGATTTGCAGTCGCAAAACATCGGAAATTTCCATACATCATACGTGATTCAATGGTATTCGAGATAAAGATTTACTACTACGAAGTACCAAATGAGTTCGGCATTCCCAGCGGGGTACATAGAACATGTTACTCGCTTGTAAGCGGGTTACATTGAAAATAGTAGAAGAGCGCTGAGACAATCAGAAAATGACATTTATGTGTTGAGGCAAGATAAATGTGGATGAGCTGCGTCCCTTATGGTCCCTATGCAGCTCATAGTACAAGACCTTTGCTCTTGATATAATACCTAACATGGAACTCGGTCTGTATGAAGGAGACACAGCTCTCTTTGTGTGGATGTGTGAGATTTGTGTTGTTTCTTTCACCAGGTTGAAGAGCAAGATCTCTATGATGGAGGAAGACTTGAGTATATGTGAGAACAAGCTGCGCAGCGCCATTATCAGCAAGGAGGATCGAGATGATGTTCTTCATCTCAAACTACAGGTATAGAAGTTTCCACACTAAACCCAGCACAAGAGCTGTCTTCCAAAACTGGTTTATGGATCCAGTGGCCAAAACTCACAAATGTGCAGTAATATTTAAAGCAATTCATTTTATCTTCCAGTCAAGTTTGTTAGTACTTATTTCAGCTGGGAAAGAACTTGCTTAGATGTTCATGTCAAATATCATTTGTGAAGATGGCTCTGTGCCCTGTTCATGCAGAACACAATGTTGGAAGTAGGTCAGTCATACTGTTCATATTAGAGCATCTCTATATTCTGTACATATCAGTCAGTTCATTTGGAAATTAACATCATTGAGTCATTCTGCCATATTTTGTGTGAAATAAATGCTATTCCTTATTGGTCTCAGGAACTACAACACAAGAACAGTGCCATGAGAACAGATATCATTGACAGCAAATCCAAGAAGAATGCTGAGCTTGATGAGATGGAAATCAAGTTAGGGTAGGTTGCTCAGGATATAACACTGTGTTTTGAGGTTTGTTGATGTTGTGGATTGCTCTGTGCATGTAGTTTTGATTAGGAATTACTTGCCTAAATGCTGATGAATATAATAACTTACACTTATCTTAAAACACTGGGTTAGCAGTAGGACCATTTCTCTGGTTTTGTTGATATGAGTGTTTTGTTCAGAGTGAGGGAGTGAGTGAGTTTACTTTTATGTCATACTCAGCAATATTCCAGCTATATGGCGGAGGTCTGTAAATAATTGAATCTGGACCAGACAATCCAGTGATCAACACCATGAGCATCGATCTACACAATTGGGATACTATGACATGTGTCATCTAAGTCAGTGAGCCTGACCACCCAATCCCGTTAGTTGTTTTGTTCATTATGGCACACACGTGCATGCACACACATGCATATGCATATATGCACAAATGCACTTTGCTGGTTTGTACCATTTCACCTCACCTACAGATGTCAGTAATTTTTCTCCACCAGTGATGACTTCTACATGATGTAACTTGAGAATGACAGAGTGATGTCACATGCTTTGGTGACAGTGTAACTAGCCTCAATGTAGAAACAATTAATCATCGCTAGTCAAGAATTTTGCAATAGATATTAATTAACTACTATGTAAAATCCTGTGTGAGGATCAGGAGGTTGATGATATGTGACCGACCCGATTGTGTGACAGTTTATGCAAACACAAAGGGACCAGTAACTTTAGTTTCTTATAATTGTAGTCTGTTACTGTATTTCCGCTAATAAGCGCCCGGGCGCTTTCTTTTTTCAAGGGATTTCCAGACCTGGCACTAATTGGAGGCCCGGCACTTATTGCACTTCGGGCATAATGAATGATATCTTAAACCACTACTTTACCCCCAGCAGTTATTAGAGGCCTGAAGCTTATTATTGACCCGATGCTTATTAGAGGAAATACGGTATATACATTTCAATTAAAATATGAAACAAGTGGCTGGGACAGAAGAAACCTGTTCGTTATATCCGTCAGTTCATTGAAAGTGTGTCCGTTATAAATGTAGTTTACTGTCCCTAAAATCATGACTTGTTTCAAATCTGTTACTAGACCTCTTGGCCCGAGGTTTGATCATTTACAAGTGACTATGCTAGCTGGAATATTGATGTTTTGAGTGAATACTGACTCATTTACTCATCAGTGTGACATTTCTCAGAGGCCCAGATAAGCTGCATATCCGGGTAAAATACGCATAGCAAATTTCCAATTCCGCATTGAAAAATAATTGTTGCGTACCAATTACACATTTAAAATGTTAGATACGCAAAAGGGTTAAAAACAAATGCGTACAGAATATATTTATAAAAATCGCTTGCGTAATGAAAAAGATATCGATTGCTATCAAGTTGTACTGTTAGTATAGGACTAGTGTTGTACTGTCAGTACAGGATGAGTGATATTTTATGAAATCATTTCCATTATATTGAAGTTGGTTTTGATTAGGTATGACATAAGGCAGGACATACCTGCTTAGTAAAGTTACTCAGTGACATAATACTTAGGTGATTAAAATGACTAAAATAACGCACATATTTGAAAGCAGTGGGTAACAGAAAATGAAATACCCACTCAACATTCATAATACCCACTCCAAACTAATACAGTGGGTACAGTACCCACATGAGCTAAATCTTATCTGGAGCTCTGATTTCTCAGTATGATGAGTTACGATCGAATGTGTGTTGTTGATTATCTCAGTCCGGATGCAACAAACCTGTACCTGTACTATTCTGCCTTGTTCTAGTTCATTTAAAGCTAGGGGGCGGTGGGGTAGCCTTGTGGTTCGCTCGTCACACCGAAGACCTGGCTTCGATTCCTGACATGGGTACAATGTGAAGCCCATTTCTGGTGCCCCCCACACACACACACTGTGATATTGCTGGAATATTGCTAAAAGTGGCTTAAAACTAATGTCACACTCTCATTTTAAGCAAGATCAAGTGATGATATTTACATGTGCCTGCCAGTGATTCTAGCACCGTGATTGTCATGTCACCCTTACATGACATAGATTTATGATAGTAGTTGCACTGAAGTACTTAGACAATAATTGGATCACAAATATCAATGTGAGTGTTGTGGTTTTCCAGTGCTGCAGAGCATGAGGTGATGCAGCTGAAATCTGTGTTGAGGAACAAGGAGGTTCAAGTGAGGGAGGCTCAAACTAAGGTGAGTTGAGGCTGGGGCCAAAATGTGTTGATGCTCCGACTATGGTCAGTTGTGTCCTGAAACCATGGTTAATTGATGTTCAAGCCATTTGACCTATGCTAAGTCCAATGACAGTTGAGGCTCAGACCAAGGTCAGCTATGACACTTCCAAGGTCACTTTTATTTTGGCTTTCTTTGTTAATGTTTTGGTAGACAGAAATAAGTTAGAAATCTCAGCTTTATCAAATCAGTACTTCTATTGGACCTAACTAAAGCATTTTGTTTTACATTTCCATGCTGTCAACAGTAAGAAAGTATTTGATGACAAGTTTTTTCTTGTCAAGAGTATAAGTCAAGATTCATGATATAATATTAAAATACACTTCCGTGTTGTGTCTTCATGCTTGTGGTCAACTGATAGTTATGATGTTTTGCCTTCAAGTTGGTTGATGCTGAACGTGAGGTAGAAGAGTGGCGGTCCAAGTTTCTGGATATGAAATCCAACCACCAGAGCATGAAGGCCAACTTAGACAGCCTAGAACGCTACCTGGCAGACTTGCCAACAGTGGAAGAAAAAGCTCAAATGGCCAAAGAAATATCCTTTTGTCAGTCATGTTTAAACAAAGTTTAAGGGTATCTAAAGTGTTAAAATCCAGTCAAGTAATAATCACTGAATGTTGGCTTGGCGTTTAAGGATTTGCTGATAGTGGGTTCAAAGTATAGATTTAATTATGTTGCCTGGTCTGTTGGGGCCTATGGTACCTGGTGCTGAAGGTTTTTTGAAGGTGGTAATATCACATTTGACGTTAGCATCACATAAAGTTGACAGTTTGTTACATAATTGAAATTGTGTTAAAAAGCCGTGAAAAATGCCACCAAATCAATTAGTCTGTCAATCCATCCATCCATCTCATCATTTTGTTGGCTGCACTATTGTGTTTAAGGCAATGTAAATATTTTATTTTACTCGTTCACTGACAGTCTACAGGAACATACTTGTGATCAGAGTGGTATCAAACCCACTCCCTTCCTTTTCGTGTCTTCTGCTATGGTATCCTTATCTTAAATCTGAGTTTGACTTGGCCACCAGCAACCCATGCTTGTTGCAAGAGATGACTGAATGGATCAGTTAGTCCATATCAGTTACAGTGTTGTCTGGTTATCTGACTTAGAAAATGACACATCCACAAGAATCCTTAAAGTTTAGACAGACATTCATTAAGCAAAAGTCTAATGGTCTAAGATACCAGGTGACAGGCTGTACACAATTTAGCCCATCTGTGTATGACACATTCTGAAGTTATGTTTCTTGACTTGTCACCTGGTTGCATTGCGAGAGGGGGCGAGCTGTTAGCCAGGCTACACAGGAGGACCTGGAGAAGAAGCTGATCCTGACCAAGCAGACTCTGTCGTCCCGGGAGATGGACCTGAGGGAAATGAGTGAGAGGGAGCACCAGATGCTGGACCGCCTGAACGCAGCCACGGACGATGTGGAGAAGCTGCGGTCAGAGGGTTCAGGGGCTGCCCTCTACAAGGCAGAAGTGGAAGCACAAGAGTTGAGAGAAGAGAAGGAAAGATTGGCAATAGACTTGGAGAGAGAAAGCGAAAAAGGTATGTTTGTTTATCAAATTCAGATGTAAATTCATAACATTCTTATTGTTTTTCTCCAGTTATTTTGGTGTGGATAAAATACTTTTGATGCCAAATGTTTTAAGAATGGAGGGTTACCTGTGATTTGTTGCAGCTGCTTGAGACGACAGTACGGCGTTTACGTCACCTGGAGGCCAAGCACCAGAGTGAGTCTCGCCAGATGAGCGAGAGGGTCAGCCAGGAGGAGGAGATGGTGATTGCACTTCGAGGAGAGGTGGCCACAAAAGATTCCCAGGTTGAAGACCTCAGGAAGGCTATGAAAGAGGTAGGGCTAAGAAGTTTGATAATCTTGTCCCTCAGGAATAAATGATGTGTGTCCCAACATGCCCGAAAACCTAACAGTCCTTCACTTAAATTTGTTGCAGGTATGAAATTCAAACTGGTATACATTCCAGAGTCTGTCCTTTGTTAACAGTGTGCTGAGGGTTAAAAGAAGTAAATATTTCCATAACAAAATATTATCATGTATAGTAACCTGGACATTGGCCTTTTTACTATGTTTGTTGTTTCTTCTCTCCCTCTAATCCTAGCAAAGAGATCACTAAAATGAAAAAACAGCACTTCACCCTGCTCCCTTATTTTTAAGCTAAGAAAATACTGATGGGGGCACAATGGACACTTGACATTAATAGATAGTTTATTGATAACTGTTTTTGTTAGTGTCTTTTGAGGCAAAACTATGTAACATTTTTAATTTCATTGGTCTGGTCTGATGACCTTTAAGTGCTGGTCACCATTTCTGATGTATATTCACGAGTTGCTAGTGATGCTGTAACCATGTCCTCTCAGCTGGGCTCCACCAACCAGGATCTGATGGAGCACAACCTCATCATGCAGGAGCAGTTGAAGCATCTCGAGCTGCAGTGTACAGACGAGACACTGAAACGTCAGCACCGCTTGATGCGGGAGCTGGGCTTCTGCTTCTCCGAGCTGCAGTCGCTTGTGCAAGTGTGTATGCAGAGAGCCCATGGAGAGGATCCCAACATTTCCATGCTGCTGGGCACTAAAGGTGAGACGGAAATGTTACTGAGGAAGTACATTAGTAAAGGTGAGACAGAAATGTTACTGAGGAAGTACATTAGTAAAGGTGAGATGGAAATGTTTCAGAGGAAGTACATTAGTAAAGGTAAGATGGAAATGTTACTGAGGAAGTACATTAGTAAAGGTGAGACGGAAATGTTACAGAGGAAGTACATTAGTAAAGGTAAGACGGAAATGTTACTGAGGAAGTACATTAGTAAAGGTGAGATGGAAATGTTACAGAGGAAGTACATTAGTAAAGGTGAGATGGAAATGTTACTGAGGAAGTACATTAGTAAAGGTGAGATGGAAATGTTACAGAGGAAGTACATTAGTAAAGGTGAGATGGAAATGTTTCAGAGGAAGTACATTAGTAAAGGTGAGATGGAAATGTTACTGAGGAAGTACATTAGTAAAGGTGAGATGGAAATGTTTCAGAGGAAGTACATTAGTAAAGGTAAGATGGAAATGTTACTGAGGAAGTACATTAGTAAAGGTGAGACGGAAATGTTGCAGAGGAAGTACATTAGTAAAGGTGAGATGGAAATGTTTCAGAGGAAGTACATTAGTAAAGGTAAGATGGAAATGTTACTGAGGAAGTACGTTAGTAAAGGTGAGACGGAAATGTTACGGAGGAAGTAAATTAGTAAAGGTAAGACGGAAATGTTACTGAGGAAGTACATTAGTAAAGGTGAGATGGAAATGTTACAGAGGAAGTACATTAGTAAAGGTGAGATGGAAATGTTTCAGAGGAAGTACATTAGTAAAGGTGAGATGGAAATGTTACTGAGGAAGTACATTAGTAAAGGTAAGACGGAAATGTTACTGAGGAAGTACATTAGTAAAGGTGAGATGGAAATGTTTCAGAGGAAGTACATTAGTAAAGGTGAGACGGAAATGTTACAGAGGAAGTACATTAGTAAAGGTAAGACGGAAATGTTACTGAGAAAGTACATTAGTAAAGGTGAGATGGAAATGTTTCAGAGGAAGTACATTAGTAAAGGTGAGATGGAAATGTTACAGAGGAAGTACATTAGTAAAGGTGAGATGGAAATGTTACAGAGGAAGTACATTAGTAAAGGTGAGACGGAAATGTTACAGAGGAAGTACATTAGTAAAGGTGAGACGGAAATGTTACAGAGGAAGTACATTAGTAAAGGTAAGACGGAAATGTTTCAGAGGAAGTACATTAGTAAAGGTGAGACGGAAATGTTACAGAGGAAGTACATTAGTAAAGGTAAGACGGAAATGTTACTGAGGAAGTACATTAGCATTACATGTCTGGATGACCTCGTAATGTTAAAAATGTTGCAGTGTATAAACGGCTGTGGGACAGACAGTGTGCACAGATAGACCACCACCACCATGCAACAATGACCAACACCTGGCTCTATAGTAGAAGCAGTGACAGTGTATTCAGACATATTGGAGGGTGCATGGATGGAACACCTCTACATGACCAAGACTCATTGTCTGTGGTGGATTTGGTCTCCAGAGTTGTGATTATTTTTGTAAGTGGAATTTGTTCTTGGTCATAAGGCTGAGGATGAGCTTCACATGAAAACATAATCATGACTCTGAGGGCTATATCCAACTTAAAACAAAGTCCCATTCAAAATGCATGGCAAAGTTATGTCCATTCAGTGTGCACATGCATAGATAGAGATGGACTGAAAGGAGTCAAGAGAGGTTGTTTCTATGTGATCATGTTCATTCTAAATTTCAATATCAATTAGAATGTGTACACCATATTTTCAGACTATTAGAGGTTTCATCATGAATGCACATGACCAATTCATCTGACTTTGTTTTCATGCCTTTCATCCATCATTGACCTCTGGGGGCGGTGGGGTAGCCTAGTGGTTAAAGCGTTGGCTCGTCACGCCGAAGACCCGGGTTCGAATCCCCACATGGGTAAAATGTGTGAAGCCCATTTCTGGTGTCCCCCGCCGTGATGTTGCTGGAATATTGCTAAAAGCGTCGTAAAACCAAACTCAGTCAGTCAGTCATTGACCTCTGACAGTTTACGTTATTGTCTACCGTTCACCATGCTCAGGTAGTCACATAGATGGAGTTATAACACCACAGTAGCAACATCTATCACCTAGCAGTTTTTGGTAACAAGTGTTGACAATCATTATATCCCTTGGGGCGGTGCGGTAGCCTAGCGGTTAAAGCATTCAGTCGCCACGCCAAAGACCTGGGTTCGATTGCCCACATGGGTGCAATGTGTGAAGCCCATTTCTGGTGTCCCACTCCGGGATATTGCTAAAAGCGGCGTAAAACTAAACTCACTCACTCACTCATTATATCCCTTGTTCCAGGAATGTCATCTGATTACTCTGATGATGGTCCCAGCAACTCAGAGGATGAGACCATCGCACAGTGGCAGAGCAAGGTGACAGAGCTTCGAGGCGAGGTGGACCAGCTGAGGAGCATCATCTGTAACAAGTATGCAGAGGACCAAGGAGGCAACATGGAGTGTAACCCACAATGAACACTCTGTAATCTCAGTGCTGGATCAAATCTAATGATCATCTCATTGTGATGTATTATGTTATCTGAGTAACAAAAACGACTGATATGACAAAACTACAGTTGAAAAAAGTGTAAAATTTGTGATTGTTTTGAGAACAAATATACTACCACAAAGGAAGTGATGTTCTATAAACCTCTTAAGGGTCAGTGCAGAAAATTTCATTAACGCTTTGGTTGATGTTGACTTTGCTGTCAGTATTAATTTTGTTGGTGGATACAAAGATGACAGAATCTGGTGAAACAGGTGTCAGCCATTGACAATCAAGACCAACTATTTTATACATTCTTTTTACAACTACCTACATAGATATAAGGCAAATCATTTGTAGACTAACTGATAAGAAATTTAAGGCCCCGGTGTGAGCTTGTAGGGCACTATGTCTATTTGAAATTGAATCGGTGGCCATGAGAATAACATAAACCACATTATTCATCAATCCTTTGTTAACTGTTATGAAGCTACTCTTGTAGACTGTTTGTCATACCATGTGCAAAAAGAGTCTTCGTTTGTTGTATATATGTTTTGATTTTGAACCAAAGCTAATGTCATTAAGAATAGAGACAGTAATTAAAACTGTCATGAAAATAATACAACACTATTAACAGCATCAAGCATGGCTGAGATTTTGTTACTGTTCTATACAATTACACATACTTGTGGGATCGGCTATAGTTACAATGTACATCCAATCCTCTGCTGGTCAATGGTAGGCTTTCTTCCAGACTGCCAAGCTCTTCCTCAAAACAAGAACCAAGAATGTTTTATAAACTGTTTTAGAGTCTCAATCCAGTTTAAGATAACACAGTTATGTTTTTTCCATCTTCAGATCCGTAAACCCAACGAGTGAAAAATAAAAAACTCCCATGATCCCTCATTGACTGTCCACACACTATGTGGTGTGGTTATTGTTTTGACTTAGCAGTAAATTTGTGTTCGAAATGTCCAAGAATCTCAAGTATAATCAGAAGTACACATTTCTACACATATAATGGCCCTGTTGATTTTGGATATTTAAGATGAGCTGTATATCTTGCCAGGGAGAATCACATGATTGTCTTCACATGTCGGATGTGTTTATCACAAGTTATGTTTATTAGTATTATGAACAACTGAAACGTCTTGTTCCATTATCTTAATGATGCATGAATTAGAAGATAAAGCGACTCTGTTTTCAATTTTGCGGTCCTTTATCGTTGATTTAAGACCGCTAAATGTAATTTAAAAACCGAACACGTTTGGATTCTTCTTCAAACCATTCGCTTTTTACTTCAAAAACACCAAAGATGCTGCTGAGATAGAAATTGCCGATGTCCGACATGTTTGTTTACAAACAATAGGGTCAATAAGTTCGTTGTATTCATACATGGTGAATCGGTCACTTTAATTAGCGGTCCTTAATCTGTCATTTAAGTACGGTTTTGATGAGCTCTCAGTCAATCAGAATCGAGTATCACACATTGTCGTGCTAGAATGTGTTTTCATGAACAGAAATCAACAGAAGGTGCTGAGAACAAGTCAAAAACAGTACAAGACAATGTAATGAAATCTCAGTTTTCTATCTTGTACAACCTTTTTCATTTAAACATATTTTTGTGTGCCTGCATATTTTCATACCCATATGAGAGCACACCTACAAACTATGATAGACTACAGGTCATCTATCTACATTCATGGGACAGTCTCCAAATCTGACATGCAGGTTTTATTTAGAGTCTGCCTGTGATGAGCACTGACCACATTAATGATATTAAATTAACAATGTGAATATGTTTATAGATAGTGAAATATTGTGCTGTCTCAGTTTGCAATTGTTGTTTTTGAGATTGCAGCATTTTGAGATTCTGTGTATTAAATGTATCTGAAGATATACCATTATATGAATACTGGAACTTGGAGATAAATTATGTTTTCATGGTAACACTCACCAGGATGTAATGAGAATTGATTGTATGTATATGTAAAAAATTGTTGCTAGAAAGAGATTGTCAGACATTCCCTTAGTTTGTTGAAAGCAACAAGCAGATGGCTCATGTAACTTGTAAGGTGAACCAACATGCATCTGTGCCATAGTGATGCTGGAATACATCTCTGACAGGCAGTCTGGGATGTATGTTCCTCAGGGAACTGAGAACACAGTTTTAATGCATGCTGATGAAGTTGTAACATGGTAATGAATTTCAACATTTACTTGTGGCACTGAGTCTTTTGCTATGAAAGTAGTCTGTCATTTTGTGGGCAGTATGTGTTAAGGTTTACTTAGCACATTCTTACTGATGTAAAAATGACGTTTTGACAGATCTACTCTGTACATATGCTTATTGTACATGTGTATCCATTTTTCCTGTAACCGATGCATTGTAATTAGTCACAAGTTACTTTATCAACAGTAGACATAAAATCTGTGCTACCCTTTTGATATTCCAAGAGACATAATGAGGTGAAATATATATTCTTGGCCCCATTTCACAAAGCAATCTTAGTGGAAGAACTGTCATAATCCTATGTTAAGCTGAGAGAGTTAAATCACCTTAGAGCTAAGGTCACTTTGTGGAATGGGGCCTGGTTCATTTGGATCCCAAGACCCTGCTTAAGAGACATGACAGTTCATAATGTATTGGTCATCCTTTGAAGAACTTCTTAAGCAACCTGATGAATGTTGGACAGTCTGGTCAAATTAGGCTAGGGCTGGAACGGGTCCAAATTTCCTACCCGGATACATGACCTGGGTTCCCATTGTAGCACTAACTGTGAGTTATTCCCCTTCAATAAAATCAGTCATGGCCGAGCATAAGAGCGGCATCTGGAAATATTTTGAATCCATTGCATCAGGCACAAAGATGAACACATTCAATTAATTCTTCATTTATTAGTCGGGTCCTTGTTATGTGATGGGTATCCGGGTCCAACTCTTTACCCACCTGTCCTGGGTATCCTTAAATTAAGCCTTATCAAAATACAAGGAAGTGCAGGTACATATGGATCAATATATTCCTATTTGCAATTGTACTTCAGTATTGTGTTGAAATGATTTCAGGGCAATTGTGGTTGCATAATATGCCTTGATCCACCGACTCCATATTGTTTCACTCACTGAGTATCCAGCCTTTGATATTCCATGTCAGAAAGGATGTTTTCATCTGTTGATATAAAAATGTTTGTACTATAGAACACTTTGAAAGTTTGCTAATGAGAGTTCAAAATTAAGAAAGAAATCAAGAGGTCCTTTCTACTGCTGAAAATCATCATGTTCCCAGATTCCAATTTGTTGGAGAAAACATTGGGAGCAAAATAGTTTTGAACACTGAGCATTTCACAATCTATTGTTCATTTTCTTTTCATTGTTTGACATTAACTTTAATTTCTCCAACAAGTGGCCTTCATTTGTGTTGTACAAATGCTGATTGTGTTCCATGATGCCTTGTATCACATGTAGTTAGTGATATATTTGCAAATATTAGCCAAATTTCGTGATATGCATTATACATTATATCCGTCCATTATTTTCACAGGTGCTAGTCAGTTTGTCTTCTGATTCAGGCAAACCTACCTTGTCACATACACACATTACTGCAGTATTTGAATAGTCATGTTTGCAAGTTGCCTTATTTCATACAACACATATGTATTGGTCTTTTCTCATTCCACTTTTCAGTGTTTCAGGGTGAATGGTGTTTTGTCATGTTTTGCATGAAATGTCTTCTGAGTACAGTTTGGACGAAAGGAATACAAAGACGAAATTGTACAGAGTTTATTATCTGTCCTACAACATTTTCATCCTTTTGTCTTTTTTGATTGGAAAAGAGTTCATCCACAAGAACAAGAAAATATATTAATCCAACTCTAAGATTTTTGTACAGGCATTTTGACAGACATATTTTTTGTTTTGCAATCATCCTCTCTTTTTTTATCAAAATCATATCTTCTCTTGTACTTTCAAAACATGCTTTTGCTGTCATTCCCATTTCATAATTACTGATACAAACGACAGTTATTAAGACAGAAAAAAGATTGCATAATGATTTATATTAGACAGTAGGCTTTACAGGTTGCCTACAGTGTTTATATTAAGATGCAAAACTGATTATGTATCATCCATGTCACCCTGTCGTATTTCTTGTCTGGAGTTTGTAATGTTGTGAATAATGTACATTCCTAGCTCACACCAGATGTGCAGGATCATTCCTAAACTTTCTGTGATAGATATTAAAAGGTGTTGGAGGAGAGAGAGAGAGGACAATGTCATAGTGCCAAATGTTGATACATTTTCCAAGTATTATTCCCTCTGACATTCTGGTAATATAAAAGAAAGAATTATGATCTGCCATGAATATTATGAGGCAATAAATAAGGGAACATATGAAAAATACTTGGTTGAGACATACAAGATGATAGACCAGCGGTTGTTTGGTGATGTGTGATCACAATGTTAATCATTTGTTCTGTGACATGTGCTTTGAAATGTGGCCATGTGCTGGTCATGAATCAGCTGAAGTTAAACCACATTGGTCATGGAAAGTAGGTTGGTGTTGGTGACCTCTTCAGCAGATTGCTCATATGAGTTTCTGGTTCATTGTTCCTGGTCTATGCTGAAACACAGGTTACACATGGTGTCACCTCAGGCTGCTGACCTTGTTCGTAAAATGCTTCAGTTCACTCCCCAGAGAATGGATTTGATGCTAATATGACTTAACCAACTGGTGCCTGACAGGCGGTTAGGGTTGTATAATCCCAAGGGAGCTGAGAATCAGGAATTGAGTGCACTCAGGTCCATTGACAATGATAATGTAGTGTCATGAGTGAATATAATTTGGGGCATTATGAATGGAAGCATCTGTATTGAACAAAGCAGGGAACTTTATTCTGCACAACTATTACAGGAAGGGCTTATGTGTCAACATTAGCATCTATATGTCCCACTGGTATTGACAGAGATGAGACTTTTCTGTGGATCTGCGGATTTGATCGTGCTGGGTTCATTCTCGTTTTTCACTCATACCCATTCTTATCCCTGTATTGATACTAAATGTGGAATCAGTAATATTTATAATAACCTGATATCATACAGTTTGGCACTGATGGGGTAAGTAAGACTCACTCCCTTACTCTCTTCTCCTTACCATACCACACATACATAATCTTGTTGATTCAATATTTACTGTGATCAACAGCATTGCTCACTGCCACAGACACTGTTTACACTTTTGTACAAAATATGCAAATGTATTTAACAGAAGATAAATTGTTATTCCTATAAACTGTCTTTGTCCTATCTTGTTGATATTAAGCTCATCTTGATGAAACATCGTTGTGCCTTGGCTGTATGGAATCTAGCCTTGGCATCACCTCAGGAACAAATTGACCAATGAAGCTGAAATGGGGCTTACCAGTACCCAAATAAGTTGACATTTGGACTTGTTCACCCAAAAAATGTCATCCATGATTGTATAATGACCCACTATTGAGTGAGTGAGGGAATTTAGTTTAACGCCGCAGTCAGCAATATTGCTGTTATATGGCGACAGTCTGTAAATAAACGATTCTGGACCAGACAATCCTCTGATCAACAGCATGAGCATTGATTTACGTAATTGGGATATGATGACGTGTCAACCAAGTCAGCAAGCCTGACCACCTCGTATGACAAGCATGGGTTACTGAAGATCAATTCTAACCTGGATCTTCACTGGTGGACCCGACCGCCTCCGTGGTGTAGTCCGTGGAAATCTGCAATGAGAATAAACACATAATGTATAACATGGATAATTAAATAACACATAATCCTCAAGCCATGACACGCAAACATAATACTATTTATTTGAACTGAAATTTGGTTAAATTTCAAGACACAAAAATCAGATGTGCTGGTCTAAATGCCTTGCTCACATATACTAAAATAGTTTCAGTGCTGGTTCAAGGGTAATCAGGAAATTCACGGCATAGCATTTGTCGAACAATACACTCTAAAACTCACAGCAGAGTGACAAATAAGATCCTGGCAAATAAAATGACTGAATATGGAGGGATGCAGAGAGCTATTGTAAAGAGTATTATAGGTGCATATGGTAAATGCACTTCATGCTGAAATATTTACACAGAACAATAAAATATTAAGACATAAATTTGTTAAACACACAACAAACACAAACACTAGTGTATATATATTTCAAACATATATCTCTCACTCCCACAACATACATGCATACAAAAATATAAATAGACACACATACCACAAATCCCATCGTGAAAATAACTAACTGAATAAATAATATTTTTTTTAAAAATCACAAGGCCAAAAAGAAAATTAAAAAGGGTTCGATCCTGCCAATAAAAATTACCATTGTTTGAGCCACTTGGCCGGTAAGCTTTAGAGTAACCTCCCCTTCCTTCACGTCTCATCTCTGCACTTGACTGAGTTTGTTTTTCCTGCATGATAGAGAACATCTCAAGTACATGTCATCTTGCGCCTATCATATACAACGTAAGTATGTTAACCGATATGCAGTCTGTGATAACACAATGTATCGTGATTGCTTTTTATTGAAAGAAAACATGAGTTAAGACTGTCGTTTGAAATCGGTCATGGCTCCAACATCATCAGTATCGATAGGGACGCTAAAGACGATTGAGCTGTGACATCGTACTCGTGTCGCTTGTTAATTGATTTTCCTCATGCAATTTAACATTGTCTTGATGCTTGTCTCTTCCTTTCAATCTAAACAACGATGGAATCCAAAATATTTTGGAGAAATTTGGTAAAGGTTATTAAAATAAGACTGATATTAAATCTGTCGATGATTGATTAATGATAAATGATGAATGAGAATGATGATTTATAGAGTTCTTTCTCTGTTTCCGCCATTTAAATTTACTTCATTTAAATTTGGTGTTGATCATTTAAGACTGCAGTTACAGCTTGGTACAAACGAAACTTTGGACCCAGTATGAAATCTACCTCAGTGCAAGCATGTGCATTTCAAACACTGGCCCGATAACCCATGGCTACTGGCTAGCGACCAGTTATCGCCACGTACCAGTTATCGCCAACACCTGGCTGTATCGCTTGCATAGACAGCTTGATTTTAACTCTCGTAGCCTATCGCTTGTGTGATGTGTCAATGTGAGAAATACTACGGAAGTACAAGTAAAGCTGTCTGTGCAAGCGCTACAGACAGGTGTTGTCCATAACTGGTATGCGGTGATAACTGGTCGCTAGCCAGTACTATATTTTCTTATTAGTGTGTAAATAAAAATCAGGGTAGTCAGAGTGAGCTAGAAGATTTTTTTATTCACATCCTATTAAAACCAGGATATATATTAATTGCATCATTTTTGAGAGTCATGAGGACATTTTGGATTAATGGACAAGATACCAATGACAGAAAAATGATGTCATACCTTAGACAGGGGCTTGTCAAGACAATTTTCTAAAAGTTCAATTTCCATCAATCCTTTGAATGAAATTGTTGAAAGGATAGTTTATCTAGTAAAATTAGACAATACTAATTGATAAGAATATTCTGGGTCTAAAATATTATTTCTTTTGAAAATTGCAACAATTATGAATGATTGTTGTGTTTGAAACCTAGATTGCATGAACAAAAAGGAACATGGCTGTGATTCCATTGCAGAACACCCGATTTCTTACCATCTTCTATCTATACTCCTCCAAAATAATAATTTAGCAGCCAAACCATATCGGGATAAAATAGATTAACCGATTAAATAACTGATATGCAACAATGTGAATATAGAAGTGCACAAAATGCATGTGATAGGCACAAAAGTAGTGCATCAGTTAACTCAACAACAAAGTGATGTGAATCGCCCAAATGCAACAACAGTTGAAAAAAGTGTGTGCAAATGTGACCCAACATGTTATCGGGGCTATAAGCTGACATGATGTGAGAGGAGTTGGATACAGATGAACAATGAACGTGGTTAGACGACACCGAACAGCAAATGAGGTAGCATGGACAGTTGGAATGGTTGATGCCAACATGCCATAATCAGCTGTGGCAGACAGGTTCACAGAGACACTTCGTTCAGATCGTCCACCCATTGCAACAGCAATGGAGGATCATGTGCTTTCGTCTCTTCCTGCATAACTGAAAAATTAATGGCACATAAAATATACAGACTAATGACTTGCTAGTTACAACCAGTAACCCACCATTTTCCTTTCATCACCATCCGATTAGGTACCTGATTGAGAGTGTGGTTTCGAATGCCGACTCAGCATAAAAAATACAAAATGAAGTACTAGATTCTGTACTTCATTGTGAAAATGTGATGCCAAATCTAACACATACTCAACAAAAACAACTTAAGGACCACCCAATATAAATATCTAAGTATTATATGGATCATAGTATAAACTATTAAATACTTTAATATTGAAAATTGGGGTGTTCCTTAACTTTCCTTGTTGAGTATATGTTTCATTTGACCACTTTCTCATGGCATTGTGTATCCTTTTGTGCCTATCCCTTTGAAACGTTCTGATTATATTTACTTTGCACTGGTTATATGATGCATGTTCCCTGTGCTATTTCAACACATGCTTTGTGCCAGTTTGGAACTGACAGCTCCTCAGCAATGTTGTTTATAAGTTGGCACAGCAATGTTTGTTGATGAAACATCAAGCATCTGATGTCATTGTTTGAAGTTCAAGATAAACAGGTTTACCCAGCTGCAGTCATTTGTATGTTGAATTTATGTCCCTTTGCAATTATCAATGGCCCACAGAGTGAATTTAATGGCCTTTACTTGCCAGGAATGGCCCTTAGATTTTGTAAAGATGGTCCAAATGGCTATGAATAAAATTTCCATCCCAACTGCCCTTCAATGGGCAACTTGAAGTTAAGCAACACTGAACGAACTGTACATATATCTGCGTGCCATCATGTTCTTCCATTACACTACTTTATAGACCCATGAGAATCTGTTAGAATTTGTCTGCACCAGAAACACTTTCACGACCACCTTTACCACTCGCCCTATCTGTGTCTTCAGTTACCCTTGCTTGTCGTATGAGGCAACAAAGGGATTGAGTGGTCAGGCTTGTTGATGCATGTCATCATATCCCAGTTGTGTAGATCGATGGGTAAGACTTCCGCCCGTATCCCCCCTAAATTTTAACATTTCCTTGAGGGGCATTTATATAAGTTGATATGTCTTTCAGTATGTTCTGATACAATTAAAGAAACATGTTAAAACTCATCCTTATCAGATGAGAAATATATATTCAGGTGATATGATTTGACTAGAATGATATTTACAGGGGGATACGGGCGGAAGTCTTTCCGATCGATGCTCCTGACGTCAATGTCGTGTCCTGAACGGATTATTGACAGACCACTGTCATACAGCAGGTATATGGCATTAAATAACAGACAAACAGACAAGCTCATTTCTGATGTCCCCGGCTGTGATGTAGCTGGAATATCGTTAAAAGTGTCGTAAAACTACACTCACTCACTCACTCACTCACTCACTCACTCACTCACTCACTCACTCACTCACTCACTCACTCACTCACTCACTCACTCACTCACTCACACTCACTCACTCACTCACTCACTCACTCACTCACTCACTCACTCACTCACTCACTCACTCACTCACTCACTCACTCACTCAAAGAGATAAAGCAAGGCCAGGTTGACTGGAGTCAGTATACTGTGTCTGAGTGGGGTATCCATGTTTAAATATGGCGTGGTATCCCGGTTGGCTAACCCTGGGAAGCCAAATTCAGTCTTGGCAAATTTGTTGCTGGTAACTCAGCAATATTCCAGCAATATGTCTGTGGTCCATATGTCTCTCGCCTCCTGAAGAGGTGGTGGGGTAGCCTAGTGGTTGAAGTGTTCGCTCTTCATGCTGAAGAACCGGGTTCGATTCCCCACATGGGTACAATGTGTGAAGCCTATTTCTGGTGTTCCCCACCGTGATATTGCTGGAATATTGCTAAAAGCGGCATAAAACCAAACTCACTCACTCACTCTCCTCCTGACAGACAGGTTCCTGTGTGCACAGTGAGACACTGAAGACTGACCCTAACTGGCCTTCTGTCTGGATTAACATGGATTAGATAACCAGTTTGGGAGGTTATCATCACATGACCTTGCTAGCATTCCAGTTTGTGAGTGTTTTGTTGACAATGCATGTTTGAGTTGCATTGAGTTGCAACTGTGACCCACTTGAAGGATCTTGGACATCTCACACACAGCGTCTCTGAGGCTCCCTTGTGTGCAGGTAGTATTGAATGGTTTCTTGTATTTTCAGGAAGGGCAATATTTGTGGGGCTAGAATAAGATTGTTGTTGATATTTCAGGGGTTTGTGCACATGTCTATACATCTGAAGGTTAGTGATGGCTGATAGCTGCAATGTCACTTTGACAGGCAGAGGTTGGGGACTAGGATTATTTGTGCACTGAGGAGAGGAGGTGAAGTGGAATTTAATGTGGTGTGTGTGTGTGCGTGCGTGCATTTGTGTGTGCATGAGTGTGTGTTTCAAGTGTTTATGTGACTGTGGCAGATGGGTTGTGTCTGTGTGCCTTTCCCTTTGTGTGTGTCTGTCTTTGTGTCTGTATGTTTGTATGTGTGTGTCTATTTGGCAGCTGATCTGTCTGTCTGTCTCTCTGTCTGTCTGTCTGTCTCTCTCTCTGCCTCTCTGTCTGTGGTGTCTCTGTCTGTGGTGTCTCTCTGTCTGTCTCTGTGTCTCTCTCTCTTTCTCTCTCTCTCTTTCTCTGTCTCTCTGTGTCTGTCTATGTTTCTCTGCCTGGTTCCTGGGTCTGGACTAAGGTTGGTTTTATTGTTTGAGCCAAGTGAACCACATTCAAACACAGTATATTGCTAATTCTCTAGGCAAACAATTCTGCCTGCCATTCTCTGGGTAATCAACTTGAGCATGGTGGATGATGTGGTTCCACAGAGTAGTGTCCATTTGATGTTAAGTCAGCCTAATGCCATGAAGACATTAGTCACTATTGGACAACAATGTCATGCTGAAGTCATAATCATGATCATCATACCCACCTATTGCAGGAAGTTAACTGTTTGACCATAGTGGTTGATGGTCAGGGAAGTGGTTCAGTCATGGTGACTATGAGAAAGGCAGGATGACAGTGCATATAAACTTTCTTCATCATGGCTTTACTCCATGCCAAATTTTGTGTTCTTTATGCAAAGCTATTTGTATTGTCAGACAGACAAACAGAATTAATTAAACAGGGGCGGATACAGCTTTTTGAGAGGGTGGGGGGTGTTGTACACTATAATTATGGTGTTGTACACTATTGAGAAGGAGGGGGGGGGGCACACTTAATTTTCATGAGAATTTCAGTGGTCAATTAATAAACTTTCTGGATCAGCCTATGTTAAGAAATACTAAAATCTACTTATCCAAATGTTGTGAATGTTTAGACTTCATCAAGTTGATTACATTTTCCAGATTAATTGCAACTGTTTTCGAAAAGATCTTTGACTTTAGGAGACAAAAAATATAAATATATATACTGAACAGCAAAAGAAACGCAAGTCTGGCTTTTTCTGACAACCCAAATTATGTCTAATCATTTATTCTATAGAAAACACTGTCAATGTAACAGCTAAAAGTTGCTGTTGACATTGAATTGCAATAAGTTCAAATTGATCACAGTCCGTCAAATGGAGAGATACCCCTGAACGCGAAAAGTGACAGTCTCTTTAGTAGCGCGTATAGCCACCTTGAGCTTGCACACAGGCCGTGCAACGTGGCCCCATTGAGTTCACTAGAGTCTGAAAGAATGCCTGAGGCAACTGGTTCCGCTCAAACACCAATCTCTATTCCAACTGTGCAAGTGTGAGAGGCTGTCTACCTGCAGCAATCCTCCGTCCAATTTAGTCCCAGAATGTTCAATGGGAGCCATATCCGGGGAAAGAGACGTTAATGTTGTTCTGAGCCAGATAATCCATCGACACCCTTGCTGTGTGAAGACTGCAAACGTCGCTGGCGTTGTTGACGTGCCAAAATTGGCCCCACATATGGCCTTCGGCAGTGGATTCCAGCAGCCCGAAGACAACCCCTAATCGTATTGCTTGGCACTGCTCCCCCTTGACCCAAGAACAAAGGCTGCTGTTACTGTTCCTTTATAAAGGATACCTCAGAGTGAAATGCATGCTTTTCATCCATAAACTTCGATGCACGTGCTAAAATTATGGTTTTGCTGCACTGTTGGTGTGTTTGTGCGAATGTTTCGTATGGACGTCAAATTGCATGACATCATCTCATATGGGACTTTACCATGAACGTTTCATAAACATGAACGCTTACCTTCATGAGATTTCATTTTTTCAAAACTTGCGTTTCTTTTGCTGTTCAGTATATTAGAAAACTATAGACATTTCAGCAGTTGTTTTTTTTTCTGTCCGTTAAGATGTATTCTGCTATGCGATCATTCTAATGTTTAGCTCAAGAGAGAGTGAGTATTTGTGGTTTACACCACTTTTAGCAATATTCCAGCAATATCACACTACAGACTTCACACTTTCTACCTTGTGAGTAATCACACTTCGGTGTGATGGGCAAGTGCTTTAGTTTAACAAAAAGGCTGCCCCTCCGCCTCTTCGCCCAACAGTGTTGGTGTATTGTATCCACTGTTTTTATTGGTCAGTATGGTAGTTTGCATTTAGTGGAACAAAAAAACTGCACCTTTCAGATTTCATGTTTTTGAAATATTACTCTTTTTTTTATGTAGATAGGTGAATCAAATATTTTGAAAATGTGTAGTTTAAACTTTAATTCACGGAAGCAAATTAGGATATCCTTAGCTTATAGTACTACTGTGGGTTCCTCAAGGACATCATGACTTACTTGTTCACAAAGCTGATGACACAGGGTAAACATTGCTGACTAAGGGGTTTTGTGGAGAGTATTTTATCTTTGACAAACAGTTCGGTTACAGTGACTAGGTCAAGGTGTTCAACATATTCAAGGTAGGGCAAGGTCAAGTACAAATGTACTCTAGTACCTGACAGCGTATACAGCAACGTGCAGTGAACGTGGACAAAGTACTGTCACTATGTGTCCCAGTCCACCCAGCTGTGAATGGGTACCTCGTTAGGATGAGAAAGCCACAATAACTCGGTGCGCCTAGTGGCTGCAAGAGTTGTATACTCCCCAGGGAGTTGAGATTGATAATGCAATATGCCGTTGAGATTGACATCCAATGATCGAGGGAAAAAAATACCAGCGCCTTGAGCATGCACTAGTGCGTGGATATGTGCGCTATATAAATATTCTATAATAATAATAATAATACTCAGCCCTACCTCTGTATTTACTACATGTCACAAGAGTAACGTATTCTGAATGGGAATTATTTTACCATAACTAACATGTTCATTGTTGATTGATCCTGCCTGAGTCAGGTATTGCATAAAACTAAGGGGATCGGGTGGTCAGGCTCGCTGACTTGGTTGGCAGATGTCATCGTATCCCAAGATAAGATAACTACAGATTTCTTTTGTTATAATACTGTTCTATATCGTCTTTACCAAAACTCAAGCATTATATAATATTTTATTGAGCGGCAGGTGCAACCTGTTTTTGTTTGGTGCAACAAGGTGACGGCCTTAGGTTGCACTAGGTGCAAGTAGGTTTCATTTCCTTTAATTGACCCTTGCATTTTTTCTGTATTGATACAAGATGATATGTTTAATAAATATTCCTACTAGTTGTTTAATGACACTCCTGATCCAGTATTTTGTGAGTCCAATATCACAAAATGAAGCAGTCTTTCAAGGTTACTTACTACTTAAGGGTCAAGTTTAGAACCTTGCCGTATCTATTAGATCGGCTAATCTACAGCCAAATACTGTAGTGACCAGGGATTTACCTTGAGTCCTGTCTTTTAGGGTCCCTGGGACTCATACTCTTAATTTTCAGGGTCCTGGACAACAAAATAGGGGTCTCAGACACTTAAATGTTATTATATATACTGTTATTGTATTGTGTATCATGACCAGCACATTGTTACAGTAATTGAATTGCAAATGATACCATAACCCAGCTCGTAGCAAACTCTTTGATACCTTATTGTTACTTGATTGGAATTTTTACAAAAAGTATTTAGACTTTTTCTGCGTCCATGTGGATGCGCTAATAAATTCTCTAGCGTCCATTGTCAATTTTTATGTGTATAGGGTGCAGGAATTCGCGTCCTGTAAATCCCTGAGTGACAGATACTGCTTCCATGAATGTTGCAGTTGTCTTCATGTTCCTGTTGGTGTGTTTCAGGATGGACCACCCAGTGTTCAAACATCGGAGGACTACTCTGGAGAGGGCCGAGAAGTTCATTTCTCCTATCTACTTCACTGATGTCAACTTGAGGGGAAAGTGAGTATGAGGATTTTTCAGGGACTCTTACTACTTTCAGGTTTTGACATGAGTGAACCTAATAATGAATCACAGTTTTAGTCTGGTTATATTTGCAAGACAACTCTCTTCTTGATGAATGACAATAATACAAGATACATATACAAAGATATGAGATGACTGTATGTGACTCACAAACAATACAAGATACCAATACAATGATCTCATAACATGACTGAATATGACTCACAAACAATACAAGATACGACGATCTCATAACGTGACTGAATATGACTCACAAAATATACAAGATACAACGATCTCATAAAATGACTGAATATGACTCACAAAATATACAAGATACAACGATCTCATAACATGACTGTATGTGACTCACAAACAATACAAGATACAACAATCTCATAACATGACTGAATGACTCACAAAATATACAAGATACAACGATCTCATAACATGACTGTATGTGACTCACAAACAATACAAGATACAACGATCTCATAACATGACTGAATATGACTCACAAAATATACAAGATGCAACGATCTCATAACATGACTGTATGTGACTCACAAACAATACAAGATACCATGATCTCATAACATGACTGAATATGACACACAAAATATACAAGATGAATCTCATAACATCACAAAATGTACAAGATACAGCGATCTCATAACATGACTGTATGTGACTCACAAACAATACAAGATACCATGACAATGACGATCTACAAGATACAACGATCTCATAACTGTGAATATGACTCACAAACAATACAAGATACCATGATCTCACCATGATCTCATAACATCTCATAACATGACTGAATATGATTCACAAAATATACAAGATACAACAATCTCATAACATGACTGAAGATGACTCACAAAATATACAAGATACAACGATCTCATGACATGACTGAATATGACTCACAAAATATACAAGATGCAACGATCTCATAACATGACTGTATGTGACTCACAAACAGTACAAGATACCATGATCTCATAACATGACTGAATATGACTCACAAAATATACAAGATGCAACGATCTCATAACACGACTGTATGTGACTCACAAACAATACAAGATACCATGATCTCATAACATGACTGAATATGACTCACAAACAATACAAGATACAATGATCTCATAACATGACTATCCTGGAACACTGTGATAGAAATGATATTGGCCGTATTGAAAGTGTAGGGATAGAATTGTATCTTGTTTTCCTGATGTAGAACAAACAATTTATCAGGTATATTCTGAACTCGTTTTTTGTTTTCAGTTGTTGTATTCTTCCAACTGACTGTTGAACTTGCCTATGAGAAACACACAAAGTAATGTGGATGTGCATATTCAGAGAGTAGTTCAAAGTATAAGTGTACACAGTTTATTTGAATGATCAGTAAGGCCAAATAAAAAAAATGTTGTGGTTCAGATTACACATCTTTAAAATTTAGGGTAGGTAGGTAGGAAAGAATTTTTTGTTACATTTTTTTTTAGAAGTAAAGTACAAACTAATAACACATTTATCAATGTGTAATTGTTTATTCAATCAAGCTTGCAGCCATCATGTCGACTTTCTCTGTCAGAATGACCGATGTCCTTTGGTGCGGGGAAAAACAATGGTATCTGAAAGCTTATTTTATTCATACCTCCTAAAATAACTAGGGTCGGCACCAGAATTCAAGGCTCGGTCGTGTAATCGGAACCACAACATTTTTTTTTAGGTCCTAACAGAACAAGCTGAATGAATATTTCCTCCATTTCAGAGTGTACCCCAAGAAAGCTCCACTGACAAAGATCCTCCACTATGCCACAGCTGATAGGATTCCTTATGAAAAGGCTGTAAAGGAAAAATACACTCCAGCAAAAGTTGGAGAATCATTTGGACCAACGTAAGTTAAAGATGTATGATTTTTACAAAGATTGCACAGAAATAACACTCATGGTAGCTACCATATTCACTCAGTTATGCACCGTTATGGTGAATCTCTTACAGCAAATGTACCTCATAGGTCACAAGCACTACCATTTGTCAGCCTTTTAAATGAAAGGGGAGATAATTATGGCAAATATGGTAAATCACTTGAAGCACATATGCATCAACAGTTCTGAAGTTTGGTGCAAGCCTTGCAGGATTAAATAAGGGTCCATTGAGTATGTCCTGTTTGTAATAAACAATAAACATTTCTACTTATAAAATGTGTGAATCCCATTCCTGGTGTTCCCTGCGTGATATTGCTGGAATATTGCTAAAAGTGATGTAATACTAAACTCAGTCAGTCAGTCTACTTATAAATGGATATGCAAGGTAAGTCAGTCAATTTCCAGGGACGCATTTTAGCCATGTCATTTGCTCTCTAAAATCAGGACTATCCAATCCTGTATTGTTGGGGGATTATGTTATGTTCACTGTATGTTGTGTGCAGATGGTCAACACACTGGTTCCTTCTGGAGATGGAGGTTCCTGCAGACTGGGAAGGGGAGGAACTGATCTGGCACTTGTGTGGGTCTGCAAACCTGTACAGGTGAGAATAGAGAGTTGTGTGGGTGATGGCAAACCTGAAGGTGAGAATAGAGACATAACTCCCACACCGAGGCACTTGTGTGGGTGGACGGCAAACCTGTACAGGTGAGAATAGAGACATAACTCCCACACCGAGGCACTTGTGTGGGTGGACGGCAAACCTGTACAGGTGAGAATAGAGACATAACTCCCACACCGGGGCACTTGTGTTGGTGGACGGCAAACCTGTACAGGTGAGAATAGAGACAGAATCACACACAGGGTCACTCTCACAACATCACAAGGAATATCAATTTCCACTCTTTCATATTGCTGGTCTCTATCTCCTATTGCTAGTAAAGTAGAACTCAAAGAAGCAGACATTTCATCACAACTGATGAAAGAATACAAACATTTCAAAGCAGAATTTAATTTTGGAACAATTGTTATGTGATTTTAATGTAAAAGAAACACTTTGAGGAAGTTCCTTTTTAGGGGTAGGTTCTTTTAGCCTAGTTGGTCCTATCTGACATCCAAAATGATGATGATGATGGTGGCTTCTATGGCCTTTGAGTTTTTGTTCAGTTGTTTGAATTAGACTACCAGCTTTACATGATCGATAATCATCCACAGGGTTTGAGTGGGGAGACCAAAAGACATGACTACATCCTGACACGGAAGATGAAGAAGAAGCAGAACAAGTGAGTGGTTCTGTTATTTTATGAGCATGCCTTACTGGCATCCAAGGTGTCAAGTGTGGTAACTGGATCCAACTATTTTCTGATGCATTGTGTTACTGATACACAGTGTACATCGAGATGGCCTGCAATGGTATCCTTGGAGTCAAGCGTGGTAACTGGATCCCACTATTTTATCACGTAATCGTGTAAGACAACTATGGTAGCTGGTCCGAGTGCTGTGAACACTGATTGTGAATAGTCCAAATGGACTGCATCCATGTCTCTGATAATGGATCCCACTAGTATCTGTTCCAAAACATTCCCAGTACTCATGAAACAGGAATGTCCACAGCTGAGATCGCAGTGTTTGATAGGCCTATGACCTGCTTCTGGAATTATCCTAATGGCTTGACATCAAAATAATCTGCAGTGAGATAGTATACAATATGTTACAACTACAGTTGTAATAATTCCAAGGACTGCATGGTGGATTATCTGGGAACTTCTACTCATGAAACAATGAGCCAACTCTGCAGTGAGATAGTATAATATGTTTTACAGTTGTAATAATTGACATGGTGGATTGGGAACTTATAGGAGCCAACTCCCACATCCACAAACATATGGCAGCCACAGCAGCCATCTTGACAAATTCATCTCACACTCTGTTTACTTGAAGGAAATCCCTGAGAAGAGGGAGCGGAGTTACCAGGCTCTCTACACCGTCAACAACATCATCAACATGTGTGACACTGCCGACAGATCCACGTACAAAAAGTAGGTTAATGTTGTGAAGATCACCACAAATATGTCCATGAAAGATGTTTTTCTTAATGATGCAAAGGGTTGACTTGGATTTCTTTTTGTCTGTTCTTCATTGTGATGCTTCAGTACAGGTGCTACTATCTTTATCAAGCAACTGACGTAACAACTAAACTGTGGCAACTTTCACCTGTCACAGTTTTGTTTTTGCTGTTTGTTTTTAATATCATGCTCAGCAAAATACAGTCAGCTCTCGTTAATCCGACACTCATTAATCCGACAATCACGTTAATCCAACAAAAAATTAGGAAACCATTTAAAACTGTGATAATGACTCTCGTTAATCCGACATTCTCGCATTCCGACTCCGACATACCAATCTGGCAAGTGATCATTGTAAATACATTGTAAAAACACCCTTTTATCCGACAATCAACACAGCCGGTCGGATAATTCGACCGTAAACAAACATCACACATGAAAGGTGATTAGCGCGTGCCTTACTGGCTGCTTGACACCCACGTCGGTGAACATCGCACTTGTTAATTAGAAACACATGATAATTAATTGAGACGATTTAATCAAGAAATAACAATAGAGCGAGCTGTATAAAATGTTTACAACCGACCTGAGCATTCATCACGACAAGATGTCTGTCACGAGTACACCACCTGCTAAGCGATGAACTGTTAAGAGAGCAGGCTAAGATTCTAGGTGAGAAATTAGGGGTTACTGACTTTGCCTACAGTAGTGGATGGGTGACCAGATTTAAGCAGCGACATGGAATTAAGACGCACAAAATTCATGGTGAATCAGCCTCAGCCCCACAGATCGCTGTAGACGCAGGTAGAGAAGAATTGCAGCAAATCCTGGCTGAATACAAGCCGTGTGACGTCTACAACTGTGATGAAATAGGCTTGTTTTACAAAATTGAACCCAATACCACACTGAGCACTTGTCCTGTGTCTGGCAAAAAACAAGCAAAAGATCGTCTTACTGTTATGCTTGTGGTGAACGCATCAGGCACTGACAAACCTAAACCACTGGTAATATGGAAATTTAACAGGCCAAGATGTTTTGGTAGAACTTTTGATCCTAATTATGTGTGTCACTGGTATGCAAACAAGAAGGCTTGGATGACAGCACTGATCTTCAAAGACTGGCTTGTGAAGTTTGATAGGCACATGCGCACACAGCGATGACATGTGATATTGCTGATTGACAACGCCCCTTCCCATGCCTCCATAGATCTAACCAACGTCAAGCTTCACTATCTGCTTCCCACATTCAGCCCCTAGATGCAGGAATAATCAAGAACTTGAAACTTCTGTACAAGAAGCAACAGATGAAACTTCATCTTGACAACGCCAGCGCAGTCACGCCAGTACCACTTGATATCAAGCAAGCCCTACTGTTTATTCGATCAGCGTGGAGAGATGTGAAGCAGCTGACAATCATCAACTGCTGGCGTCATACGAAAATCCTGCCACCTACTGACCGACTGAAGACGTACGAGATTTACAGGAAACTCTTGACAAGCTCTACCCAGATGCACCCGTACCTGTCAGCGAATTCATAGAATATGACGCAAATCTGCCATGTGAGGAAGCTATGACTGAAGATGAAATAATCGAGATTGTCCGACCTACTGCCGAAGAAGAAATCAACACTGAAGAAGACCCGACAACCGAGCCAGTCGTTCCCGAGCTATCTGAGGCCAAAACATCTTTGAACATTTTGCAGACATTTGTGACACACCACTTAGACGTGTTTGATGTGAATGACCTCGACTTCATTGACATTTTGAAAACTAAATTGCAGAAGACCTCAGAAAAAAATGAACAACAAAAAAACATCAAAGACTTTTTCAAGTTTCAAGTGTATCATGCTCAGCAAAATACCAGCTTTGTGATGGCGTTCTGTAAATATTAAAGTCTGGACAAGATAATCCAGTGATTGATATCATGAGCATCAATCTATGCAATTGGGATATAATGACAGGTGTCAACCAATTCCTCAAGACCACGCGATCCCCTCTTAAGACAACATGGGTTGCTGAAGACCATTTCTAACCCAAATCTTCATAGGTAACTTTCATAGTATTCCATACAAAGAATGATTTAGTTCACATAAAAACACCATGCAAGAACTGGTCATGTTGGAGTACTTGAGTCATTTTTAAGTCTGTGTATAGATGCAGGGAGGTTGCCCAAGCTTTCTTGAACCAGAGGAATGGAGAGAGCCAACATGTCATCCATGCCATGGGACATGCTCACATTGACTCAGGTGAGAGGGCAATTTTATATACATAATGTTCATGGAGCATATTTGTTTGGTTGCTACAAATGTGCGTAGTGCAGGAACAGCAAGACTATGATGTAATGATGATTTTATACCAATGCGTGGCCAATCAAAATGCAGGATTTTAAATGTCATTTTTGTTTAATTGTTTACTTGCTTTTGCCCTTCACTGTTTTGAGCTTATATTGCACATATGAATGAATGTTGGTATTTTCATTGTGTGGATGGTGCACATACTGTGCAGCTTGGTTGTCAGGTAGGAAATTGTTCACATTTACGCTGAGACTGTCAGGAAGTGTGCACCATGTGTTCAGTTGTTCACATTTAGCTGTTCTCAGGTGCGGTCAATTTACCTGCTGATGTAGGAAATTGTTCACGAATATGATTGGAAATAGTTCACATTTACATGTTCTCAGGTAGGGAAATAGTTCATTTACATGTTTATATGTTTCTCAGGTAGGGAAATAGTTCACATTTACATGTTCTCAGGTAGGGAAATAGTTCACATTTACATGTTCTCAGGTACGGAAATTGTTCACATTTACATGTTCTCAGGTAGGGAAATAGTTCACATTTACATGTTCTCAGGTACGGAAATTGTTCACATTTACATGTTCTCAGGTAGTGAAATTGTTCACATTTACATGTTCTCGGGTAGGGAAATAGTTGACATTTACATGTTCTGAGGTAAGGAAATTGTTCACATTTACATGTTCTCAGGTAGGGAAATAGTTCACATTAACATTTACATGTTCTCGGGTAGGGAAATAGTTCACATTTACATGTACATAGACAGGAAATATGTCCCAGTTACATGTTCTGAGGAGGGGTCATAGTTCTCATTAAAGGTTCTCAGATGATGTTGTTCAGTCAGTGGGTTTGTAAGGGATAATACAACTGAACACTCTGGATGATGGGATTGGGACGTTTGTGAGGGGCAGGGTACGTTTCAGTCACTTTTTCCAAACATAAAATTGTTTCTGTCAGCATGGTCAAAGGAGGCCCCCCCAATATAATTTCCAGAATGTTCAGCAGTGACCCGTTTGTCTTTGAGGACAGTTTTTTTCCTTGTTTTCTGGAATATCCTAGGACCACCACCCTGGCAAATCAAAAGGTCTGTGATGAAATCGGTTCTAAAGTGAACTTAATGAGTTTTGTGGAGGTGCATGTGGTATTTAAAGGCACATTCTTTCCCCCTATATCTGGCAGGCCCAGCAGTTCCAGTGGATAAAAGACCACTACCCCAGCCTGTACAGCAAGATTCAACACTTTGTGAAGGCAGGCAGGTTCATACCTGTCGGAGGATCCTGGGTAGAGATGGTGAGTGACCAGGATTCACACAGGCTGAAAATATCCTTGAATTTAGAAACCTGTGTTACATTTAGCAAACTCATTCTCAAATCAAAGCTGGCAATCTAGTCCACTCAGACACCATGGCCTCCACACAGAATGGAAATCTGACAACTTGGTAGTCTAGGTCACATACTTCATGTACCCCTCCTGAAGAGTAGATTGACATGGCTACCAGTAGTGAGTTACTGGTAGATCACTGACTTTAATGTATTTTCTCAAGTAATGGGTGATGATGTGGTCACCAAACGATTGATCCATAGGGTCTATAAACAATTTAGAAACTCTACAATGTGGACAGCAGTATGTCACTTGTGTATTTGGATATAGAAATAAAAAAGCCTGCAAACGTTTTAAGTTTGGTGGCTCAAGGTTTGTACGAACTCATACTAGGACAATTTCACTTTCAGGACGGCCTTATTCCAAGTGGTGAGGCTTTCATCCGCCAGTTCCTGTACGGTCAGCGGTACTTCCAGAAGGAATTTGGTGTAACCTGTTCAGAGGTTGGCAATGTCAAGCACAATTGATGTTTAAACAGATTTACTCTCCATACAGTTAAATACATTTTGAATGAACACACTTGTAACAAACTGACAGTTACGACAAACTGTTTTTATGTCCTGGTCTTTTGCTGTATATATTAGTTTAAATGAGTATAATGAACTAAAATTATTAGTCCCTTTGTGTTCGTTACAACTGTAGTTTACCAGGGCTCCAGATAAGGGACATATGTACGGATAAAAAATATGCACGATACGATAGGAAATAATTTTGAAAACGTAGCAGATAAGCACCACAGCAATGGTGTACGAATCATTTACAGAGGTATTTATATGAAAAAGGATTGTTTTATTGTTTATTGACCTGTTTACACAAGAGTAGCAATGTTGTGGTGCATATACCAAACGAAACACAAGAATACTGATTACTGATTTCCATTCAGTACTCTAAATGTACTCTTAAGTTTTTCCAGTACTCCTATATTGAAAAAATAAGGAGTACGTACTGCTGATGTTGAAAAATTATCTGGAGCCCTGTAGTTTACTGTATGTATATGAACAATTGGTTTAGAATTTCAAGGACATTTTGTCTGAAAGAAGATATATATTTTTAATGTATCCTGCATTACATATTGAAGACCTGCCCCCTCTGCGTCATTATTTTCTTCCTAGTTATCTATGAGGGACTTTCCTTATTTTTTCAAAGAATCTATCCATTGCTGATTGGTTTTCAAACTGTTTTGAGATTGTTTTTGTGTTATCCATCCTCTTTATCTCAACAGACAAGGGCATTCAGCATTTTCAGTTCTCGGTTGTAGATTTAGAAATTTAAGGACATGTAGCAACTTAGTTTGAAAGAAGAGGCTGCCATGATATGGATGAATCATTTGTTCTGTTGCATGAAGCAACAAACAGCTCCTGTTTCAGACAACCTGTCTGGCAGACTTGTATAACAAAGACAAACATATATGACATGCTGACTGATAGATTATGATTAGTGTCACAAGGTGATCACACTTTGATTCACAGTGGAATCCTCTAAATTTGTGTTTCAGTTCTGGCTACCGGACACTTTTGGGTATGCTGCACAGTTGCCCCAGATGATCAAGATGTGCGGGATGACACGCTTCCTCACACAGAAACTCAGCTGGAACATTGTCAACAAATTCCCGGTCAGTACAAACCCAACTCATCAGTAGAAAAATGGTTGAATGACATTTTGAACAATCAATTTCATCATAGCATGTCAGCTTGTAGAGGAAAGCCAAAGTCATACATGTCTTGGATGGATGCTACTTAGGTGAAACCCACATGCTCAAATGCTGAAGCCATGATCATTGGATCCTGGCATGAGCAAGGGATGTAACTCACAGCAAATTTTGGTGCCTTACACAAATGGGACAATTGTGCCTCAATAGAGGCTAATTATAAACGTTAAGAAACTTTGGAAGATCGATATTATCTTGAACAAATGAAGCACTGTATTTGTTTATGTACAGGGTGTAATACAAGCAATACTGAATGCAATTTTGTTTTAAATTTTAAGACAACAAACATAAAGTTCTGAATCATAATGAACATTATTTTAATGTAATAACAGGACTATGTTATGTTTTTCAATATGAACATGTTGACATGCAATTTCTGGTGTATTTACTCACAGTAATGTTTTAAAGTTTGAAATATTTAAAATAAGAATTGTATATATAGTTTGCTCATCACTCCCAACATTATAGTATAGTTTGTACATGTGCACATCACAGGGAAATATGGTATTGTCAGATATGACAGAATAATTTTGAGAGCAGTTGCTTGTCTGTATGAAGGTGATGTGTCAACCTGCCATGGAGGTGGTGGAGTAGCCTAATGGTTAAAGCATCGACTCCTCACATTGAAGATCTGGGTTCAAGTCCCCACATGGGTACAATGTGTGAAGCCCATTTCTGATGTCCCCCACCGTGATATTGCTGGAATATTGCTAAAAGCGGCGTAAAACCATACTCTCTCACTCAATCTGACATAACAACATAGAAATTATTCCCTTCATATGTCACGGGGATCATTTACCGATTACGTTTTTGTTGGTCTTTCAATCAGCACAGATTTATCCTGAGAAAGGGAAATAATTACTTGATTTATGTGAAGTGTGACACTGTATGTCATTTTAATCAAGCTGTAAAGTTTTGTAAATCAGAACTAAAGGAAAGTATTGATCCTGGTCATGCATGCTGGTGGGCACCTGGTTTGTTTATTGTGACAAAGTTAGGGCACCATGTCACGCTTTTCAACAATATTTTGGCCTATATTTTATATATTGGGGGCATATGCACTCAGTTTAGCTTCCTATTGATGCAATGAAGAATTATTATCCCTTACGACTTGCCGGAAATGGATATTGAAACTTCGAGGCAAACGGCTTCCAAACAGATAACACTTGCCATATATGGAATGTAAACGATTGTTCCATACATTGAAAACTGTCGCACGCACTGTTGTCGATGTTAGCCAAACTGGTTTCAATCACAAGTTGTGCATAAGACATTTGTAAAGAGCGCTCTGAAGGACATAACTCTATGGGGTTCGCTTGAAATAATGTTTGGTCGGTAGAGGGCGTGAGAGTCGATTTAATGCAACATAGCATTAATTCATTCGAAATTTAATATTGTAAATCATTTTGTTTGGAATATATTATATGGTAGCTTTCCTGAAGGCTGATAGTATTATTGAGAGAATTATGTTTTATGTTATGTTAATTACTGGGGTATCTGGTGCAGACACCATTATTCACAGACCATCACGTAGCAAGAATATTCATTTAAATATTGCATTTAACAACAAACAATGTTACAGTGTACAGTGTTGCAGCAGGATACGGAGTCATCCCACAGATAGCATCCTTAATGGCACAATGTTACACCACATTTCTCTAAAAATTCATAATACATTACACAATAACCCATGTCACCATGGCGGACCAATCAATCCTTTGAGTTGCCTATCACAAGCGCAGGCTGATGGGGACACAGTTCTTACTAGAAGTCCAACTCCAGTGAATGAAAGTTAAAACCTGTAGGTTCTGCTTGTTTTCCGTATTTTACTGACTTAAGGATTAGATAACATCTGACTGGTTCTCTATCAGTGTGCGAAATAGTTTCCAACTTTTGCTTGCCAGTCGGGCCAGCTATGCCTGAAAAGATACTAGCCCACAAAATAATTCACTTCGCCTGAAATTTGAATGTAGACACCGGTTTCATCATTAAGCTGCTAATATGATGAACATTTTTATCAAGCCATAATCTTGTATGATTTAAAATTGTATTATAACTTAACAAGTCAGAGAGAGTGATATATTTTACAAAATGACCCCATGAAAATTCACTAGCCAGTTGGGCCAGTGACTGGAGATTTACTGGCCCGACTGGATTTTTACTGGCCACGGGCTTAGCTAGTGGGCCAGTGGCTATTTTGCACACTGTTCTCTATGCTACAATATAGATTTCCCAGCACCTTCTTGTGTGGAACATGAGCTCTTGTGTTAATTCTCTAATTTCAACTTAATGTCACTCTTGCAAAAATAGGCCATCCATTGAACACCTAGCTATGGACTGATTGACATTTCAGCATCACACTTTCTTCTGGGCAGGCATCGATGGCACCAGTGTACTCACACATTTCCCACCAGGGGACAATTATGGTATGCAGGCTGAAGTCAAGGAGGTGAGAGTTATCTCCCCTGTTTGCATGACTTTCTCATTTACACATGTTACAGAACCACACATTCTGGTGGGAAGGCATCGACGGCACGCCAGTCCTGACTCACTTCCCACCCGGGGACACTTATCATATGATGGTTAATGTGAAAGAGGTGAACAGATACCAGCCAGTATTGCTTATGGTGTCAGGGCTTGTTTGAGAGTTGGTGGATGGTTCCACACTAATTAAACACAACTGTTCACCAGCTCTCTAAAGCACTTCCTTCCATTATTAAAACTCTGGTAGCCATTCCTTACCCAAATGTAGTCATGAAACCTTACTCTCCCAGTGTTCATTCTAGACCGTGCCCTTGAGCCATTCGTGCACTAATATTTAACATGGCGCACTGGACAGGTATGGGCGGGTTGTGTCGGCGCATCAATAAGTGTAAAACTGAAATGCATCACGAGTTCGCTTGGCAACTCAACAACAATACACCCATTTGACAAAATATTTTCTAAATGACCCACATAACGGAGGGTTGGTGGGCAATGGGCTCACTTTAAGAAATGCTGGAATGAACACTGCTCTCCTCCTCCCTCCCTCCCTCCCCCTTCCTTCCTTCCTTTTCTTCTGAAACTTTCTGTTGTCTTTTCTTTCATCTTCGATGCCCAGGGTCAGACCAGTTGGTATTCTTTTTCGTGGATGATGCTATTATGACTATTTAACAAAACTATCGAAATATGTGTAATATTTTATGCTCCAATTAACTTTAAACCCATATACTAAAACAAGTTTTTGATATTTTGTTGCTCTGTCTCTGGCAATCTGCATGTAGACATGTTAGATCAAGAATATATGTAAAAGAAGAACTCAAACTGGTCTTTCCTCATAATATCAAAGATATTTAATCTTGCAAAAATTTATATGTGTAATGTATGTCGTTTTAAGATGTTGATTTTAAAAGTTTAGTTGAAAGTCATGCTGAATAAGACTATTTAAGTACTATTCGTTAGAACAGACAAATATATTCATTCTCCAAACCAGAAAACAGGTTTGTACGAATTTACATTTTCTTGTGTGTGTGTCTGCTATCATTAGTATCATCATGAATATTATATAAGGTTCTAACGTCACAAGTAGAACAGAGCGATGTGAGACTTTAGATGGAGATAAGTCAAATATGCTGGTTATCATACAGGAGGAATATACAGATTTAATTTGCTTTCCTTTGGTATTTCCTTTTATATTTATTCCTGTAAACATTGTTGAGGTGAGTATATATATTGTCAATACATATTATATTCCTGTAAGTATTGTCAAGGTGAGAATATCGTATGTATTTATATTCCTGTAAGTATTGTCAAGATAATATAATGTATTTATATTCCTGTAAGTACCAGGTGAGAATATAATGTATGTATATTCCTGTAAGTATTGTATGTATTTATATTCCTGTAATATCAAGGTGAGAATATATGTATTTATATTCCTGTAAGTATTGTCAAAAGGTGAGAATATTTATATTCCTGTAAGTATTGTCAAGGGTGAGAATATCCTGAATTTATATTCCTGTATTGTCAAGGTGAGAATATTATATATTCCTGTAAGTATTGTCAAGGTGAGATATATAACAAGGTGAGAATATAGCATTATGTATTCATATTCCAAGTATTGTCAAGGTGAGAATATAGCGTGGGTATTTATGTTGTATTTATATTCCGGTATTTATATTCCTGTATTTATTGTCAAGGTGAGAATATAACATCGGTATTTATGTTCCTGTAAGTATTGTCAAGGTGAGAATATAAAATATGTATTTATATTCCTGTAAGTATTGTCAAGGTGTGAATATATTCTATGTATTTATATTCCTGTAAATATTGTCAAGGTCTGAATATATACTATGTATTTACATTTCTATAAGTCTTGTCAAGGGTGAGAATATAACATAAATATATTCCTATAAGGATTATCAAGGTGAGAATATGACATATACATTGTTGTATAGATTACCTAGGTGAAAATAACCCATATATATTTCTGTATGTGTTGCCTTGGTGCAAATAATTCCCAAGGCAATGATAATGCACGTATTTATTCCCAGTAGATGTAGATGTTGTGTGTTGCCAGCTGCTGTACACAGTGGACAACTTCCAGGACAAGGGCCGGTCTGCACGCAACATGCTACCTGTTTGGTTACGGAGACGGAGGACATGGGCCAACGTTAGTCCCTTCATTAGCATCATTGGTCTCTTCATCATCTGTTCATTTTGTATTGCTTCTGTATTTACAGTGTAAACTACATGATACTACATAAGGGGCCGTTCATAATTTGTGGCTAGGTGGGGTGATGATGATTTTATGTAGAAACCTGTACAAAATTGATGAACACACACACACACACACACACACACACACACACACCCCACCTCCCCAGAACAAAATGTGTGACCCCCATAAAATCATCATCAACCCACCTTACCATAAATTATGAATGGTCCCTAATACCGATATTTTTTTCATTGAAATATATTTCATCATTTTCACTGTCCTGTTCACTTTGGTTTGTAGAGAAAACAAATGGAAAAATGAATGTTTATAGTAGTTTCTCTCAGTGGTCTGAAGCATGGCTATTTACTTAGTTGTGTTCCTTACTTGTGGCAGGATCTGCTGATTGTGAGTTTGAAGCCATGTTCAGCTAGCTAAATGTCCCTGTTTTGTCAGTACCATACCTATGCGCTTACAAAGTGGTAAACGATTACAACTGTATGACATGCAAATTCTTTCCATACCGATGGTGGTCCTGAAATATGCTGGGACAGGAACCTATCTCACTTATTCTATTCTTTCTGATCTCATGTTTTTGTATTTTAATGTCAGAGAGGAGATGCTTGAGAAGCTGCAGAGGATGAAGGATGTTGATGGGCTGCCAAGGTTGGTGGAGATGCACGAATGAACTTTTGGGGAAAGTGGGGTAGCCTAGTGGTTAAAGCGTTCGCTCGGTTACACCGAAGACCCGGGTTCGATTCCCCACATGGGTACAATGTGTGAAGCCCATATCTAGTGTTCCCTACTGCGATCTTGCTGGAATATTGCTAAAAGTGGCGTAAAACCAAACTCACTTACTCACTTACTCACTCACAAAGTTTTGTCAACCAAGTCACATGAACCATGTAGGCCTCATACAACAAGCATGAGGTAATGGAGAACGTTTTTAACCTGGAATCCCTTCAAAGAATAAGGATTGATTGTTTAAGTCTATAATAATTGTAAGCTGCTATAATATAGCTCCATGACTACTGAGTTCGGCTAGTGAATGTTGTTTTAGCCCGTGGGGCGGTGGGGTAGCCTAGTGGTTAAAGCTTTGGCTCGTCAGGTCTGGACTAGACAATCCACTGATCAACAGCATGAGCATCAATCTATGCAATTTGGATACGATGATGTGTGTAAACCAAGTCAGCGAGCCTGACCACCCGATCCCGTTAGTCACTTCTTAGGGGGCAGTGGGGTAGCCTAGTGGTTAAAGCGTTGGCTCGTCACGCCGAAGACCCGGGTTCGAATCCCCACATGGGTACAATGTGTGAAGCCCATTTCTGGTGTCCCCTGCCATGATGTTGCTGGAATATTGCTAAAAGCAGCATAAAACCAAACTCAGTCAGTCAGTCAGTCGTTTTAGCCCTTGGTTATATCTATTCCAGGGTAGAGATGAGTACACCGGACGACTTCTTCACAATGGTGGAGAAGGAGAGTGGTCAGGACAAGCTGTGCACATGGAGAGGAGAGTTGTACCTGGAGATGCACAATGGCACCTACACAACACATGCTCAGGTCAGCGGCAACCACTTCCAACATGGTCAACACTTTCTCATTTAAAATTACAGACAAGGCCATGACACTTCAAAGTGTTCATCAAACAAATATCCTGAACTGCACAGTTCTGGTCTGGGCTAGTTGGTATACTGTTTAGCACCACACTCAGCAATATTCCAGCTATATGGCTGCGGTCTGTAAATAAACAAGTCTGGACCAGACAATCCAGTGATCAACATCATAAGCATCAATGTACGCAATTGGGATACAATGACATGTTGTCAACCAAGTCAGTGAGCCTGTCCACCTGATCCCATTAGTTGTGTCTTATGACAAGCAGGGGTTGCTGAAGACCAATTCTAAACCGATGTATCAGGCCAAACTTTCCCCTGGCCAAACCTTCCTCGGGGAAACTTTAGTCTAGCCCGATCTTTCCCCAGGGTAAGAATATCCTAGGACAAAACTTCCACGGGGAAAGTTGGCCTAGGCCAGATTCTCCTCAGGGAAAGTTTAGACCGGGGAAGAAATGGCCTGCTACACCGGATCTTCACGGGTATTAAAGGGCTCAGACACTTCAAAGTGCTGATCAAACAGTTGTGTAATTATCCTGAACTCACACAGTTTTGAACAGGTATTGATGTTTGTCTCTGCTTCTCAAGGTCAAGAAGAGTAACCGCAAGTGTGAGTTCCTGCTCCATGATGTGGAACTGATGGGAACCATAGCAACCGTCCTGGCATCCACTGGTGGGAAAGGCTACGCATACCCCAGTGTAGAACTGGAAAGAATCTGGAAGCTGTTTCTCCTCAACCAGTTCCATGACGTGCTGCCCGGGTCCTCCATTGAAATTGTAGGTACTTCCTATCTATAGGCTGTAGGTACTTCCTATCTATAGGCTGTAGGTACTTCCTATCTATAGGCTGTAGGCACTTTCTATCTATAGGCTGTAGGTACTTCCTATCTATAGGCTGTAGGCACTTTCTATCTATAGGCTGTAGGTACTTCCTATCTATAGGCTGTAGGCACTTCCTATCTATAGGCTGTAGGCACTTCCTATCTATAGGCTGTAGGCACTTCCTATCTATAGGCTGTAGGCACTTCCTATCTATAGGCTGTAGGCACTTCCTTATCTATAGGCTGTAGGCACTTCCTATCTATAGGCTGTAGGCACTTCCTATCTATAGGCTGTAGGCACTTCCTATCTATAGGCTGTAGGCACTTCCTATCTATAGGCTGTAGGCACTTCCTATCTATAGGCTGTAGGCACTTCCTATCTATCTATAGGCTATCTATAGGCACTTCCTATCTATAGGCTGTAGGCACTTCCTATCTATAGGCTGTAGGCACTTCCTATCTATAGGCTGTAGGCACTTCCTATCTATAGGCTGTAGGCACTTCCTATCTATAGGCTGTAGGCACTTCCTATCTATAGGCTGTAGGTACTTCCTATCAATAGGCTGTAGGCACTTCATGACTATAGATTGTAAGCACTTCATGGGTGTAGATTGTAGGCACTTCAATGGCTGTAGATTGTAGGCACTTCATGGGTGTAGTTTGTAGGCACTTCATGGCTGTAGATTGTAGGCACTTCATGGGTGTAGTTTTTAGGTACTTCATGGCTGTAGATTGTAGGCACTTCATGGGTGTAGTTTGTAGGCACTTCATAGCTGTAGACTGAAGCCAACTCTTGTCTATGAATTGTGGGCACCTTCTGATTACATTTTCTGAGAATATCTAACTGTAGACACTTGATGATGTTAACTTTTATATTGATGCATTTCATGGTGAAAGGTTATCGGCATGTCTTGGCTATAGATGGTAGGCACTTTCTTGCTTGAACTTATTGGCAGTCCTTGTCTATAAACTGTAGGCATTATTTTTTAAATTGTCTATATACTGTTGGTACTTTATGGCTATAAATTGCAGGCACTAGACTGGAGGCATTTCATAACTAAAGGTTAAAGGCAATTCATGTCTGTAGATTGGAAGCATGCCATGGCTATAGAATGTGTTCTCATATTCTGTATAGACAGAATTCAGTATTTGTATGCAGAAAATGAAATGGTAAATAGGATCAGCACAATATTCACCACTATTTGTCATAAAATAATGCTTCATTATAAATTAGAGACTGACTGTTAACCTGTACTATATGCATTCCAGGTGTATGACGATGCACACAGGTATTACAAAGGTGAGTTTTAGCTTTGTGTACTATTTGTTATTTATGATGGAGAGAACATCCACATTGGGCCTCTGAGGTTGCAAAATTCCAATTAGCTGTAGTGATCTGTGAATCTGATCACTATTTGTCATATATGATGGAGAGTACATCAAGTTTTGGTGGCTGAGGTTGCATTTGAATACTTTGGAGCCTATATGTGTATAACATTAGAATATGTTAAGTGAATCATCTATGGTTACAATAAGACTCAAAGTCTTTGCCGCCGTACTTCTCTTAAGTCTGTTCCATATTATCACTACCAGTGAAGATCCAGGTTAGAATTGATCCTCAGCAAACCATGCTTGTCGTAAGAAGTGACTAACGGGATCGGGTGGTCAGGCTCGCTGACTTGGTTGACACACATCATCGTATCCAATTGCATAGATTGATGCTCATGCTGTTGATCAGTGGATTGTCTAGTCCAGACCTGATTATCTACATACCGCTGCCATCTCGTTGGAATATTGCTGAGTGTGGCGTTAAACAACAACCAACCAACCCAAACCCAAACCATATTATCACTGATTCCGTAATATTGAATATCAGTTGCCATGTGATGTTCACAGATGTGGACACGTCGGGACGGAAGTTGTTGAGAGAGGCGGTGTCAGCCGTCGTCAGACAGGAGGTGTGTAGCAGGGAGTAGCTTCTCGGAACATTTTGTCATGCAGTTGACTGTCTAAAATATTTATAGTAACATCATAGTGTTGTGATGTCATACTGCTGTAGCAACATTGTATTGTATGTAGGGCGTACACTGTATTTTTCTGAGAATGTCTTGGTTTGCCCACTATGCTTGATCATATGTTGATATATGGACAATCATTGGATCATGTATTGATAAATGGACAATCCTTGAATCATGTGTCGCATATGGACATTAATTGAATTATGTTAATGTATGGACAATCATTGAATCGTTTGTTGATATATAAACCCTTTGAATCGTTTGTTGATATATGAACCATTCTTAAATCATGCATTATTATGGATAATTCTTGAATCATGTATTGATATATGTACAATCATTGAATCATGTAGTGATAAGGACAATCATTGAAAATTGTACATATGTATGGACAACCCTTTGATTTTTGTATGTATTTGGATGACACATACATTTTTTATCAATATATGAATAATCCAGGAACAATGTAAACATATATGGACAACCCTTGAATTTTGTGTCTGACATATACCTTGACTCATGAAATATTACTTTGTTTAAACAAAGATTTAGATTTTCATGGATTCGATAGAATCTTGAAATGAGATATAACAAACCTTAATTTTGTGTCAATACCTGGTCAACCGTTGAAACTGTTGTCAGTCTATGGACTCTCCTTGAACACAGTATCAACATATTGGTCTCTAGTCACACCTGGAGCTCACAATATTCTCCCACCCACTCTGTGTTGCAGCTGGACAGGGGCGAGGCAGTGGTGGTGAACACCCAGGCCTGGGAGAGGCAGGGTGTGGTCAGGGTGGCTGAAGCTGCTGCAAGTCCTGCCAAGAAGAAGAAAGCTGCTGGCACAGACACACAGCAGGTGGACAAGGAGGGAAATACACTAGGTATAGCCATCTTTAGGCTACATGTCAAGATGAACACTGGAGGAAACAATGAGATGCAGAGGTGGCTTATTTTATCTACGGCCCAGAGTCTCTCTTTGGAGGATCAGCTGATTGTTGGTTTGAAGTCCAAAATGATCATGACGAGGAACCTTGCTCTGGGATGATGATGATGATGATGATGATGATGATGATGTCTGTTTATGTTAGTTTTGGCAGCTGTGATTTAAAAGGGGAGTGGAGTAATTGTCACTGATACACAAACTTCCTTGGTCTGTTGGCTTCAGTAATTTTGTAAATGAAATAGTCTGAGAAACTCTGTGTTTGCCTATACACCTTGTATATATTATTCTTACTTATCGGTGTGTGGTCCTGTGCACAGAACTCAGGTCACAAATCATGCAGTTGAAGTTAAGCAATGTTGGGTGCGGAGAATCCTTGGATGACTTCAGTCCTGCCTCACAATGAAGCACATGTATTACATGTGGTCTCAACTTAGGCTAGTGAGTTTGTTCAATATTGCCTCTGTTCACCCAGCAGAAAATGGGTACCCGGTGGGATAAGTCTTGTGACATATAAACTAGCACCTCCGTGGCAGGTTGGATTATCCGGGGTATTAATAATCAGATTGTTAGCACTATAAGCACCCACCTAGTGAATGGAGTTTACTTCATGATAAATGCACAATTTGTCCTCATGATTCCTACAGATTCCTACTAGTGGTGTTCCGATTAATTGAAATAAGCAGAGATCGGTCCCAGTGACCCAACGACCAAGCAATCCATTATATTTTCTCATAATTGAACACAAACGATTTTGGAACTACTGTTCTTAGTGTTCGTAACATTTAACCATGGAACATATCTTAGAAGTTATCAGGGCCTGAAAATGTGTTTAATTCTTAGAAAACTCACTTCACTTACTGTGAAGTCATGACTGAATATTTCTTGAAGACTCCAGGAAGTTTATGTTCATGAGATATTAGTCATCACTTTAGAGTAACAAGTTGCATCGTGTTATACTTATCTGCAATAACAACCTGAATAGGAAAATCTGATACATGTCGCTAACCAAGTTTTTTCGATGATTGTTTGTTAGTAATGAACCAATCATCAATTGTGACATTTCAACCAATTCTCTACACTAGTTCCTACTAATCCATGCTTGTTGTAAGACTCGACTGAAATGATCAAGTGATTTTATTGAAAACATGTCATTGTATCAAACTGGTAGGGTACTCATGATGTCATCCACTGATTTGATTAATAACATCATTTGTAGACTGCTGTCATAAAGCTGGAATAGAAGAAGAAATAGAGTGTAGCTAAGATAGGTTGTTTCTTCTTCAGCTCTTGTGAAAGCTGTGAGCTGTGGCGTGTCTCGTGTAGAACGTGTCTCTGACTACACACCAGTTTCTGCTTTGAAGAAGGTAAGAGGGTTCTCACAATATGCCTCACACACATCAACATGAAAATGTCTTTGTTCCAAACTCTCTTCACACAACCTCTTAGTTTTGAGTAATATAATAAGGGTTAAACATGACACGAAAATGTGCATACAGTACACATAAACAGAATGGACTTAGAAAACATATATATGCACAGTAATATTCAAAATTATGACAAGGAATATGAAATGCCTGTTAAAGTCATAATTATTGCAGGACAAGGTAAAACCCTGATGATAAACATTTGTCGTCATTTGGGCGAGGCATTTTAAAACAAAACTGATCTCCTGATTCCATGGAAACTCACAATATATACTCTCAAAATCATGACTGACAAGACAGGATTAACTTAACTGGTTTGCATAGCAACTCATTATGGTAATATTTGTACAAGAAAACACATTATTTAATGTTCCATTTTTCAAATGTTTACCCTTTTCCATGTTCTGTACTGACAAGATCATTTCACCAAATAACTGATAAGCCAAGATACTGAACAGTCTTATTTTTGTTGATTTTTTATCATATTTCATAAAGAAATACTTGTAATGTTCCACAGGGTAAAGTGATTCATATTTCTAATGGGCTCCTGGCAGCTACAGTCGATAGTCATGGAAGACTTACATCTTTGATGGCGCAAGATTCACAGAGGTAATTTTTTGCTATTTTCCTAAAGTTGTATGCACACAGATGGCCCAGTTGACTGAAGTGCTGCAACTTGCTGTGCAGAGTTGCTTCCCTTAGGCTTGCCCAGTGTGCGAAATAATTTTCTAAATTTTGCTAGCCAGTCGGGCTAGCTATGCCTGAAAGTTAATAGCCGACAAAATAATTCACTAGCCCGAAATCTGAATGTAGAAACTAAGCAAACAGTTACACAAAGGTAAGCTGCTGATATGATGAACATAATCTTGCATGATTTAAAAGTGTATTATAACTTAACAAGTCGGAGAGAGTGATATATTTACAAAATGACCCCATGAAATTTCACCAGCCAGTCGGGCCAGTGACTTGGAGATTTACTGGTCCGACTGGATTTTTACTAGCCACGCGCTAGTGTGCCAGTGGCTATTTCACACACTGGGCATGCCAGAAACCTGTGATTGTGGGTTTCGAAGCCCACCCTGGCTATTTCCAAGTGGTAAACATCTAAAGCCGGAATTGCTTCAGTCTTGATAGTTTGGAATTTTGGAAAAGCAATATTTTTCATGTCAACTCAGAATTACACTAAAAATTGGGTTGTAAATCAATGTAAATAGTTGACATATTCATGACAAGTATTTGCCATTGTGTGAAGTATCCATGTTGTAATATTGGAGCTGAGCTTGTTTTGACAATTGCTTCTGTGAATTCAGGAACGTCCTGAGTGACGACTATCCTGGAAACCAGTTGTTGTTGTATGACGATGTCCCCCTGTACTGGGACGCCTGGGACGTCATGGACTACCATCTAGAAACAAGGTAAGCCAGTTGTTGTATGACGATGTCCCCTTGTACTGGGACGTCATGGACTACCATCTAGAAACAAGGTAAGCCAGTTGTTGTATGACGATGTCCCCTTGTACTGGGACGTCATGGACTACCATCTAGAAACAAGGTAAGCCAGTTGTTGTATGACGATGTCCCCTTGTACTGGGACGTCATGGACTACCATCTAGAAACAAGGTAAGCCAGTTGTTGTATGACGATGTCCCCTTGTACTGGGACGTCATGGACTACCATCTAGAAACAAGGTAAGCCAGTTGTTGTATGATGATGTCCCCTTGTACTGGGACGTCATGGACTACCATCTAGAAACAAGGTAAGCCAGTTGTTGTATGATGATGTCCCCTTGTACTGGGACGTCATGGACTACCATCTAGAAACAAGGTAAGCCAGTTGTTGTATGATGATGTCCCCTTGTACTGGGACGACTGGGACGTCATGGACTACCATCTAGAAACAAGGTAAGCCAGATGTTTTATGATGATGTCCCCTTGTACTGGGACGTCATGGACTACCATCTAGAAACAAGGTAAGCCAGTTGTATGACGATGTCCCCTTGTACTGGGACGTCATGGACTACCATCTAGAAACAAGGTAAGCCAGTTGTTGTATGACGATGTCCCCTTGTACTGGGACGTCATGGACTACCATCTAGAAACAAGGAACGCCAGTAATAATGACAAAATTTCTTGTCTTGGGATAACATGGACAACAGCCAAGAAACAAGGTAAGCCGGTTGTTCTTGTATGATTATGTTCCCTTGTACACTTGAGAGTCCTTACTCATCACTCAACAAGGTGATGGCTTTAAGTTTGTTAACCATCAAATGAATATTTCTCTTATCCAGAAAACCCATCACACGTGTCACCCAAGAAGCCAAGCTTGTTGATCAAGGACCTCTGAGGGCGACCATTGAGGTAATATTAACTGTTATACAGAAAATATTGAAATATTAATGCTAACAGTAAATGGCATGTATCTGTTTTTGTTGATTATTGTTGGCTATATGTAAGAAGGTGAGCTACAGTGCCTAACATTGTGCCTGTACACTGTGTCTGTACATTGTGTATGTACTTGAATCGTTCATAGACTAATATCATAATATATAGCTATTTCAGTTAGTTGTTTTCTATATGCTGAGAAAGAAATGTTGCATCGTGTAGGTATCCTTCAGTGTGGGTGCATCCAGTTCACTGAAGCAGAAGATCATCCTGGATGCTGGCTGTCCCTATGTCAGGTTCGAGACTGAGGTAAGAAGACTATAGAACCCTCTCAGTTCTTTTGTACCACCAGATCAGGTGAACCATTTGTTGTCCAGGGCGCCGTTGTACAACACAACCATAGCACTGTGACAATCGTAAGTCTATGTTAAGGTATGGGAGTTACGATCCCTACGATCACTTTGTACACCAGCACCAGGGCATATGATGGAACCTCATCATTCAGGTTCCAGGGCCCAGTAGTGGAATGTGGTGTAGTTGACTATGCACTTAGTGTAGCCCATTCCCAGCACTCTTTACAATTAACATTTAAGTAATACAACTGAAATATATATTGCCAGTCTCCAAACAAGCTGTAAATGTCGTAAAGGTTTTGGCCTTTACCTTACCCGGAACAAAGTTGAACTGGTTCCTGAACATATGCTGAGAGAAAAAGAAATAAAGGATCACAGGAAAATTCAAGTGTTTCTTTATTATTTTCCAGTTTTCATCACTACTGTGCTATTCAAAGCGGGTGATGAAAACGGGAAATGTTAAAGGAACACTTGAATTTTCCTGTGATCCTTTATTTCCTTCTCTCAGTATATGTACATCATTGAGCAGTGTTTGAAGTAAGGGCCTGAAGGTTTTTCTTGTGTATCAAAGTTGTGTGGGCCCTCATGTCTGGCAGTACATTTACCTGTTGGTTTATTTGTCAGTAAGCTGCAGTCTTGTTAAACAAAGACCAGAAGAGTTAAAGGCGTTATTTCACACCACAGAAATAAATAATGCATATTTTTAAACTTATCCTATCTCACGACTTGCACCTCTCTCTCTTCATTCGACCATGAGTGGAAACGAATTCAAACTTTGCTCCAAGGCCTACCTTGCCCCTCTCCCGTGCTGTGCGTGCCTTCTGTGTCAGTCGTGCTCACTAGTCCATGACAGCACGAGGCATGCGCAGTCCTCACCCACGTGATCACCTCACATACTCATTCTCTTTCTTGTCGCTCCACTGAGTGGACGTGAACATTTTTTCCTCTGAGATTTGCTCAATGGTTAAGCCTGTTCAGGCCAGTAAACGGATGTTTTGCGCCCGTTGTAATAAAGTATTTTCAGCATGGGACCCACACACATCGTGTGTTGATTATGTGGGTGTTTGTGACTGGGACACACGCTGTCCGAAGTGTTCAGGTCTGTCTAATGAGGCGTTTAAATTTTACAAACGCGTTTTGTGCCAGACGTTTGGCAGATAGGGCTAGGACTAATTCTGCGGGGTCTGGTCCATCTCCCGCTAAGAAACAATGCTTAGATCGCCCCACCCTCACTGCTCACCGTTCTCAATCGCCAGTCGTTCCTGACGAAGATTTTATGGAGGCTTCGTCGGATTCCTATTTATCTGAGAACGTTAGAAGGCTTTTAGGGGAGCTTCCCTCACCCAGTTTAAGTTCTCATGAGCGTACCAGGGTGGTAATGACCGATATTTCTTCTACGCCAGACCTGCGATCTACATTATCTCGTAGGTCTGCTTCTTCGGAACGATCACAGACTTCGAGAACTTCTAAGCATTCATCGTTGAAGCGGGGATCGGCGCGGTTGGAACGTACCCGCTCTCCTATTTCCACGGCTGGGAGGAGTCGTTCTAGGTCTCGTTCACTTTCCCGAGCCGGCTCACCCCGCCGAACCAGCTCACACAGCCGAGCCGGTTCACACAGCCGAGCCGGCTCACACGGCCGAACCGGCTCACACGGCCGAGCCGGCTCACACGGCCGAACCGGCTCACACGGCCGAGCCGGCTCACCAGTACATCTTCGAATGGGTTCACCTGACCGAACTGATTCACGTAATCAAATGGGTTCACCTGACCGAACTGATTCACGTACTCAAAGGGGTTCACCAGGACGAACGGGTTCACATTCCCGACTCAGTTCACCTCAACATAGGTTTCAGTTCGACACACCATCAGCGCTTTGATTCCCCAGAGTCGCTCAGTCTCGCGCCTGGTCGAGGAGGTTGGCCATTTCGATCCGGTTCACCTAGCCGTAAGGTGTGTTTTCGTCAGAGTGATTCTCGAAGTCGGTCTCATTCACTTTAGGTGAATCAGGATATCCCGCCTTGTCAGTCTAGACTCAGTAGCGTAATTTTGCGACACTGTAACAATATTTACTTCCTCGGATCCCCAATCGCCATGTTCCTGGAGCAAACGTTGTCGGGAATGTGCTCCCTTATTAAGGACGTTTTTAGAGCATGTAGACATACTTGCTCCCGATGGCTGGCAGACAGAGCTCGTTACACTTCAACAGTTGATCACCCGACAAACCCCCCTTTTTTTTAACGACCAGTATTAACTGCTCGTCGTCCGCAGTTTCCCATGTCGAACGGTGATAATTTTATGGAAGCATCATTAGATGTCTTCTCGTGGTTCCGCCTCATCAAAACGCTCTGTGTTGCCAGTTGACTCACACATCTGATCTACTTTCGTCAAATCGCCAAACCGATTCGCCACACCGAATCGGTTCGCCATATACCGAATGGATTCACCAGACCGAACCGTTTAGCCATACCGAATGGATTCACCACACCCAATCGGTTCGCCATACCGAAGGAATTCACCACACCCAATTGGTTCGCCATACCGAATGGATTCACCACACCCAATCGCTCGCCATACCGAATGGTTTCACCAGACCGTACCATCAAATTGCCAAACCGGTTCACCACGCCGAATCAGTTCAGCCATACCAAATGGATTCACCAGACCGAACCGATTCGCCCACACCAAATCGGTTCGCGAATGGATTCACCAGACCCGAACCGTTTAATGGACATTGACTCAGTTTGCCATAATATTAAGACTGTTTTTACGAAACAGTTCACATCATCGACAATTCACAGCAGCGAAACGATTCACCTCGGCGGAACATTTCACCTGCGCCTCACTGGTTCATCTGAGCGCTCTAGATCTCCATCAGCTGAGATCATTTAACCGGTTCGATTACAAACCGATCCAGATCAGTCGATTCAGATCACATCGGACTGATTCAGATCAAATCAAGGCTCACCACCCTGAACTGGATTTTACCAGCCCGGCTCAGATCGCTTCACCAGGTAGCTCCCTATCGTCGAACCAGTTCACCTGGCCGCTCAAGATCAATGTACAGAGGTAGTAGCTATGTGCTTCACCATGCCGATTTGATTTACATGTGTTGTTAGTAGCGCAGTCATCTAGAGATATCACGCCGCACATGACGGCCTGGCGATCCCAGTTCTCAAGAGTCCTCGTGACCGAGCTCATCTCATTCCAGATTTAATCTACCATCCGATCTTCACTTTTGATGAATGATTCGTTCAACGATTCTACCCTTCGGTGTAGATATCAGTTCTGCAACCACCGATATGGCATAACTAGATACGGCTTGCGAGCCAGGAATACTCTACGACGCTCCGATGAGTCTTGTTACTACAGACTACTCAGAATAACAGCGTGTTTGTGTATCCCTTGGTGCAATTGTTGCAGACGGCTCGTCATCTTCAGCTCCTTTGTTTTACATGTTAAGCAAGTTTCTGGACAGATAACAAATGGATGAAGTTCTTGGCGCATGGTACCGCAATGTTTTGTCAAATAGCCAGCATAGCTCAGCCCGAATTTATGGGTTGCGACTCGCCGGTTAACCAAAGACCAGGTTGTCCGTATTTTTTGTCACCGTGTGTAACGTTTGCAAATGGCGGACTACTGTTTGTTTACCGGAATTTTGATGATTAGAGTGACTATGAAGTGCCCTTGCAGAATTCTCTTGGTCCCACTTAATCGGATACCAAGTCCAGCCTATAAATGCAAGTAACAACGAACGCTGCCATTCCCGATAAGAGTGACTGTGTCGGGATTTTGACAGCCAGTCGAGAGAGACTGCTTATTGAGGGTGACGGACAGAAACACCCGTGAACGGTTTGCCTAGTCAAGCACCGAGTTCAGAGGTCACTGCATTATGCAAGGATTGTCACCAGGCAGCGATCTACTACCTATATCACTCCACCTGGCGCACCATTATTTTGTTCGGCCAAAAGAAACGTTCCTGAGGTCACCGATCCTACGAATTTCTACAATTTGTTTATAATGTGAACGTTCCTGTAGATTGACTGACAATCTCCATGCGCCGACTATACTACATTGAGCACTCCGTCAGAACTGACGTAGTTGCTCGACTTATTGAACGTTCTTATATCAGGAGATATCTTTTTGTCAGACCCGCCGTGATATTGCTGGAATATTGCTAAAAGCGGCGTTAAACCATACTAACTTACTTACATTTTGTCAGAGGCAAGAGTGGTTAGACCTCTCATTTCCCTCGACCTGCGATGGCCGTGGGGTAGCCTAGTGGTTAAAGCGTTGACTCGTCACGCCCAAGACCCCGGTTCGATCCCCACATGGGCACAATGTGTTCAGCCTATTTCTGGTGCCCCCCGCCGTGATTTTGCTGGATTATTGCTAAAGGCGGTGTAAAACTAAACTCAGTCAGTCAGTCAGTCCCTCGACCTGTGAGACGCCTACCTTCACATCCGGATACATCCAGACTATTGGAAGTATCTTCGATTTACTTTTATGGGGCGTCATTGATACCAATGGAGGATCCTGCTGTATGGGCATATCGCAGCCCCGTGGAGTTTTACTCAGATAGCCATTCTGTTAACCAGCTACCTGCATTGTCGGCGTGACAATTGACAACAATATCGACGACTGTGTTCAAGCCCAGCAGGATCCAGTCGTCCTTCCTTTCCACAGACAGTTCATCATCAAGTTGCTCATGCAATTAGGATGGCTGCTAAATTCGGAGCAATCAGGGTAACACCGACCGCTGTTTCTTCTTATTGGGACAATATTCAACACGCCAGGTCATGATGTTTGTGCCCTAGGAGAGGTGGGACAAGATTCAGTGCAACGCACCACTAGTGTTGGTCCAACCCACACCTTTTAAGCCAGTGGCAGAAGTTACTAGGGTGGTTGGCGTCGGCACAAGTGCTGACTGACAGGGGCCAGCTGCAGCTTGCCCTCTTCAGATGGTTCTGTGCCCATACATCGGGGCGACAACCCCAGGGAGTTGATTCGTCTCCCGCACAACTACATTCAGTCTTTCGTTGGTGGCTCAACAAGTGGAATGTTTGTGTTGGAGTCTCTAGGGTGCCCTTCATACCGACTCAACACCTATTCGTTGGCACATCTTGCAAGCTGGAGCTCACTTTCTCCATCAAGTGGCCTAGCAGTGGTCATCAGGAGAAAGGGCCCTTCATCACAACGAATTGGAATTCAGCATTGTCATTATCGCCTGTTCGGCACTTGGGACAACCATCAGCTTCAGCGCAGATGATCACCAGTTCGCGTCGTTTCTGCTTTGTGTACAATCTGAATAAAATTCTGGATTTTATTTCTGATTTGTGTCTTCGATTCTTCTGGGACTTGTGAGTTTCGATTCAATTACCATTTCACTCTCCACGGGGGACGGTGTCTGTGGGGTTATTGTCGAAGCAGGGGCTGGCCGATACTGGTGCGTCAGACCTTGGAAATCGATGGTAATGCGACTGTTTACACTCGCTAAGCTCGCGTCCTTTCACTTTCATGAAGGTAGTGACTGAACACCACATTGCTTTCGGGAATCCGGTCCCTGGAGCACTTGTGTTTAGTAAGTCAATGGGTTCGAACTGACCATTGCAGGTCTCGCTTTTGAGACGCTGGAGGTCGCCACCTCACTTACTGTCCTCTGCTCCACGGATTTATTACGTCAGTAAAGTGAGTCATTCGAAGTGTTACGCCGTGAAGCGTTACCTTAAAGCATCGCGAAGAGCGCGCCGTCTGCGTAAAGAGACTGTTTATACCCTTGTCTACTGCTTCCAAGGCGGAAGTCTCGCGACAACACTCACATATTGGCTACGAGCTACAATACTATGAGCCTACACTTTTGCGGTTTGCCACCACCTCACGGCAGTCAACCCTCATGAAACCAGGGCATTGGCTTTCTACTGTGGCGTTGCATAGCAACTGCTCGTTAACTGCCATAATGGAGGGTTGTTTTGGCGATCTGACACAGTATTTTCGCCTCATTACCTCAGAGATGTGTCGGTTACGGATATTCAAGGCCTTCATCAGTTTGGACCACTTTCGTCCTTGCCCAGCAGTTATCAGCGGCACAACATCGCGAGATAATGAATTTCCTTGTGCTCCGATGCTATATGGATCCCACTGTGCAGTTGATCCCAAGTCGCGATCGTTTCTGCTTGTGTACAATCTGAATAAATCTGAAATACTTTTTCTGATTTACGTCTTCCGGGATTTAGATTTCTCCTCTCATTTGTTTGAGACTACAGAGAGTCGCCACCTCACTTACTGTCCTCTGCTCCACAGAGTAATTAAGTCAGTGAAGTGAGTCCTTCCCCGAAGTGTTACACCGTGAGCGCTCATGCTCCTAAGTGCCTATACACATCTATGTGATCTTATTGTGGTAAGTAATGGAAGTCATAAGATGATGTTGTGGTACTGAACGTTAAAATTGTGAGTTTTACCGATTCAATTTCTCTTTCACCCTCCACCGGACGGTGTCTGTGGGGTTGTTTGAAGCAGGGCTGGCCCGATACTAGTCGTTAGACTTTATTACGGGGGTACCTTGGAAATCGTGGCGACGCGACTGATTACACTCGTTAAACTCGTCCTTTCACTTTGTGAAGGTAGTGACTGAACACCACATTGCTCGGGAATCCCGGTCCCTGGGAGCAATTGTGCTTAGTAAGTCAATGGGTTCGAACTAACCCTCGCGCATGCGTAACTTGGTAGTTATTGGCCTACCTTGTAGTTGCTTCCCACGGTTGTTTGGGCATAACACTTAGCTGTTATCGCTTGAATTTCGGGTAATCTATGACCCACCTTCCTACCGATGGGATAAGTGCAAGTCGTGAGATAGGATAAGTTTAAAATTTGAAAATTTTAACTATAAATTGTATATTTATATACTTATCCTATCTCGCGATAAAGTCCCTCCCTACCTCCCCACTACATAGATTACCACCGTTCGGTTTTGTCCTTTTATGGCTCCAAGATCGAGAATGAGTATGTGAGGTGATCACGTGGGTGAGGACTGCGCATGCCTCGTGCTGTCATGGACTAGTGAGCACGACTGACACAGAAGGCACGCACAGCACGGGAGAGGGGCAAGGTAGGCCTTGGAGCAAAGTTTGAATTCGTTTCCACTCATGGTCGAATGAAGAGAGAGAGGTGCAAGTCGTGAGATAGGATAAGTATATAAATATACAATTTATAGTTAAAATTTTCAATTCTCTCAATAATACTAACTATCAGTTCTCAGGGAAGCTACCATCTAATTTAAACATTACATATTTTGATTACAATATTAAATTAAAAAGTTTGAATGAATTAATGCAACGTTGCTTTAAATCGACTCTTGCGCCCTCTACCGGACAAACATTATTTCAAGCCAACCCCATAGAGTTGTGTCCCTTGGAGCACTCTTTACGAATATCCTACACACAACTTGTGATTGAAACCAGTTCGGCAAACACAGACAACACCGCTTACGACTGTTTTCGATCTACTAGTACTGGAGCAATTGTTTACATTCCATATATGGCAAGTGTTCTCTGTTTGGAAGCTGTTCGCCTCGAAGTTTCAATTATCAATTTCAGGCAAGTCATAAGGGATAATAAGTCAATAGGAAGCTAGAGTGAGTGCATACGCCCCAATATAAATGTCGAAAGTGTGTGACATTGTGCCTTTAAGTCAGTCCCAGCAGCTTCTGTTGTGTTTTGGTCCAGAGAGCAGCCTGGCATTTTGAACCATTTTAGACACTGTCAATGACTATCACCTACTGAAGGCAGACAGGGCACAACACCCTAAAGACTGGTATCTCATTGTGAGTATCTGTTTACGTGTGAACCTATTACTATTCTAGGTGAGCTGGCATGAGTGCCACAAGTTCCTGAAGGTTGAGTTTCCAAGCAGCATGACGTCAACCCAGGCTACATATGAGATCCAGTTTGGCCACCTACAGAGACCCACGCACCACTACAACACGTCCTGGGACTCCGCCAAGTACGAGGTGAGTGGAGATGTTCAGTACATTATTATTGTTGGTGGGAGATGTTTGTTTGTTTGTCTGGTTGTTTGTTTAATACTGCAGTCAGCAAAATTTCAGCTGTATGACAGCAGTCTGCAAATATTTGAATCTGTACCAGACGATTCAGTGATTGACATCCTGAGCATTGATCTACTCAGTTGGGATTCAATGCGTCAACCAAGTCAGTGAGCATGACCACCTGAGCCCTTTAGGCGACTAATTATGACAAGTATTAGTTGCTGAAGACCAATTCTAACCAGAATATTCCTGGGTCTGTTGGTGGCTCTTTGTTCAGTTTGGGTTCAGCGTAGTTAATACTTATTGGTACTTACTCCTCCATGGCTAGGAGACAATTTCTTGTCAAGGTTAGACATTGCAATTAGTGTTGTTTGTAATTACTGTAGTTACAGATAATATGAAGATTAAAAGTTCTTACAAATAATACCTGTGAAGGTCCGGGTTAGAATGAACCTTCAGTAACCCATGCTTGTCGTAAGAGGCGACTAACAGGATCTGGTGGTCAGGCTCGCTGACTTGGTTGACACATGTCATCGGTTCCCAATTGCGCACATCGATGCTCATGCTGTTTGATCACTGGATTGTCTGGTCCAGATTCGATTATTTACAGACCGCCGCCATATAGTTGGGATATTGACAAGTGCGGCGTAAAACTAAACTCACTCACTCACTCTTACAAATAAAATGTCATTTTATTTTTCTGCAAAAATATGATTAGCTAATAAAGAATTTTCCTTGTTTGTTTGTTCGTTTGGTTGTTGTTTGTTTAAAACTACATTCAGAAATATTCGTTGTGTGACAGCTGTTCGAATAATCAAGTCTGGACCAGACAATTCAGTAACTGACATCATGAGCATTGATCTTTTCAATACAATTTTGAACCCATGATCCTTATACTTCCAGGTGTGCAGCCACAAGTGGGCCGTCATCAATGAGTACGGTCATGGCCTGGCCGTCCTGAATGACTGCAAATATGGATTTGCCACTGAGGATAACGTCATGAGACTTTCACTGTGAGGATAAAAATACTGTAGACACTTCACTGCATGAATGTTTTCAGAACAATTTTTATTTGAAAGTTGGAAGAGACATCCTGGGATATTGACATTGCTATGTTTTGATGCCATTGCAACATATTGGCTTCATTGGAAATTGTAGCGTAAGGTGAGGTGAGGTGAGGTGAAATTGGGTTTAACATTGTGCTTGAGAATATTTCGCTCATATGACGACGTGCATGCATGTGTATATGTATGTGTGGCTGCTTGTACTAGCCCAGATTTAAGCTGGTTTTATAGTGCTAGCCCAATGAGATACCACTCCACAGTGAAGCAGGAATACCCCACTCAGACACATTATACTGACTCCGAGCCGACCAGTCCTTGTTGTACACATTAATGCCGAGCGCCAGGCAGGGACCAACAAGTACCATATTTTAACGTCTTTGGCATGACATGGTCGGGGATTGCACCCACGACCTTCTGCTCCCTGGGCGGACGCTCTAACACCACTACACCACGGAGGTGGTCCTGTAGCGTAAGAGTTGAAAGGTAGGTTTAGGAGGTGCATTCAGTGAGAGTTAAGGCAGAATTTCTCAGGGATTCTGAGTTGCTTTGTGGTAGTTCCAAGTCCTTTTTTTCATAGTATTTTCACAAAAATTTGAAGATTTTCAAGTATGTTCATTTTAACCAGTAGTAACCATTATCACAGCCATACTTCTATTCAACTGTACACATGGGTTTCAGCAAATTAGTAAAGATTCAAACCCTGCAGTGGAGCGGGGGAGCCTAGTGGTTAAAGCGTTTATTCTTCATGTCGAAAACCCAGGTTTGATACCCTCCATCGGCACAATGTGTAAAGCCCATTTCTGGCATTCCTGTCATGAATGTCCTGGAATATTGGTGAAAGCAGCTTAAAAACAAACTCACCAACTGAAAACTTGCATCACTCCTGACTGTCTTCCTAAACCAAGCCAACACACTCAGACATGGTTCACCCACTCATTCATACAATCCACTTACTCACTCATTTATCATTGTATTACGTAGGTCACTTTGCCATGTAAGTTTTTGCCAAGACATTAAAGCAGTTGAGAAGGTATGATTGGCTTATTCTGTTTGTTCATGTCTGCCATAAACCTGTGCTTCAGAAATAGATCTGTTCAAGATTTTCGAAGCTCTCTTAGTGCTATGATAGTCGTAAGTAGTGGTGTGACGATTCATCGATACGCATCGATGCGTCGATCCATGGACCGCCGATACGGTGAATCGATACAAAGTTTTACATTGTCATATATCCCGATGCTATACTCCAAATGGGCCACTATGCAGATGCATCAATGTTTTGCTTTGAATATTGCCGAATCATGATATCTGTCAAGAAAGACTTACTTCTGTTTGATGATTAAAATATATGCATACTTATTTTCCCTTCATAAGTTTCTCGGACATTCTTGCGTCAGGAACTGTGTCATTTTATTAACATTCACAAAGTCTGTGTATAAACTTAATTATCTCATTTTCTAAATGAACATTGAAAACGCTGGCGGAATTTGATGAAATACTTTCAAATGGCTTTGTTTTGATCTTAAGGTGTTTTATAGTTGGTGTTAGAATTAAAGATTTTAGTATCGTGATATGTATCGTATTGCCATCCCTGTATCGGGATTTGTATCGTATTGCAGCAACAGTGCACAATACTTTATCTTAGCGCTAAGAGAGCTTCTAAAATCTAGTCCCAGTGTATGATTGTTTCAGCTTTCTGAATAGTTGAATAGGTTCATGATACTATGAAAGTATTATAGGAGTGGATGACAATGTTAGCAAAGGATGATGTTACAAGATATATTGATATACTGACTGCATTACCTTGTCTCACCAGGTTAAGATCCACCAAGGCTCCTGACGCCAATGCTGACATGGGTGACCACGCCTTCACCTATGCCCTCATGCCATATACAGGTGACAATCTGGATTCTGTGAATGGACCTCAGAAAGTCCCTCTTTGTTTTGTTGCCAATCATGTATTCAATTAGCAGTATGTTTTAGCTCTCTGGATGAAAAGTCAAGTGAGTTTTGAGTCAGTGCAAACTTGATCATGTTGCTATCTGGTTGAAATATAGCTTAAACTACCCATGAAGGTCCGGATTAGAATATTGATCTTCAGTAACCCATGCTTGTTGTAAGAGACGACGAACAGAATCGGGTGGTCAGGCTTGCTGACTTGGTTGACACATGTCATCGGTTCCCAATTGCTCAGATCGATGCTCATGCTGTTTCATCACTGGATTGTCTGGTCTAGACGCGATTATTTACTGCTGGAATATTGCTGAGTGCGGCGTAAAACTCACTCACTCACTCATATAGCTTACGCAATGTTAAATTGTGACTCACTCACTCACTCGCTCAGAGGAAGATATGGTAATTTATTAGTCAAGATTTAGAAATACTCAAAATTTCTAAACTTGTTTCACAGGGGTACTTTTGTCATCAATAATTTACCAGATGTATTTGGATAGTACTTTTCCCATTAATGGCATCTAATGACACACATAGGTTGTTGAAGACCAGTTCTAAACCAGATCTTCAGCTATTAATATGATGTGAATTTAACAAACATGCAATTCAAATCCAGACTGTTACAAACTACAAGCTTCTGTTAGAAAGGTCATGTTGAACATTGAGAAATCACACCAAGTCAATGCAAAATTAAATATTGTACCTTTAGCATCTAGATTCAACTGTTATGATATGTAGAAAAATTGTTTTGAATTACAATTAGGGCTGCAGCAGTTCAGTTTGATTCATTGAAAATCGAATCTGATACTTAGTTTCAATTTCCGATAACCATTATCACTATTTTGATTCAATATTTGAATACGTATTTAAGTTATTTCCACATAGCCAGAATGTAATTTTGACACCAACTCGAGCGGTTTCGAGCACTGAAATAAGGCAAAACGTGATTGTTTTGATGGTGGGCCACCGCAGATCCAGAGAGGGGTGCAGGGTGCGCAACCTGTATCTGCCCCTGCATGCTAATTAGTGAATGAGAATTGTTGTTAGTAGACACTGCCAAGTTGACGATGGATTTCACGCTAAAATCCCGACTCTAAGTGTTAAATAAAAAATCTGATGTTTTTACTTGCATGAAGAAATCGATCGAGGGTCTAATATCAAAAAACGAATCGAATCAAGGTCTGCAGCCCTAGTGACAATAGTGTTATGTCCTGAAATAGGACCATCTATTCAAATGCTCCATCATGTTTAAAGCATGGCTCTATACATATACAGCTGACTGCAACATTGTTTTGTGGTGTCAGATGTATAGCAGAGATGCCAACCACTCCAATTTTGGAGGAGTTACTCCGATTTTCAGATACAAATTCCACTCTCCTATTTGTCTATAAAAAAACTCTGATTTTTTAGAAAATACAAATATGTTTGTAAATTTATAATGTTTGAAAGAATGTTAGTAAATATGTTCATTTGAGTTAAGTTAATTTCTAAGTTATCATCATTCCTTCTGCTGTCATGCCCAGAAATTGCATATTTCTGTATGTAGGCCTAAATCACCAACCAACTATTTCTTCCGGGTAGCCTTCACGCATTTTTCAATGTTTTCTACGTAGTATATATGCTTTGCTGGTACGCCGCTAGCTACATGCTTCGCGTGTTTGCTTTCAGGCCTTTACCTCCTGTTCGGTCTGTGGACAAAGCATTCCACGGGCCGACAGGCATGACCAATGCGTGGCCTGCCTGGAGAAAACCGCCATGACGCCAAGTGTGTACTATCTGTCTTGGGTTTTCCCGTGCCCATAAGAGGAGGGCAGCTGACACTCTTTTTAGAGAGATGCGAGAGGCGCGGAGGGGAACTTACCCAGGTCCCTCTGCCTAAGACCCAAAGCGGTCTCGTGAAGGGAAAAATCCCACAGCCAATCCCCTCTCCCGCTACTACTGGTGGGTTTGACATGTCAATAATGACTCAATTATTTCAGCAACATATGGACTCGGGTGAGAAGTCCCTCGGCCCATGAGTCTTTGGAGGGCTCCGCAGGAGTTCCTCGCGCCACTCTGGACGGGGCGGAGAGTCAGGGTGGGATCGCTCGGGCTCGCTCGATCCTCAGCCTTGAGGCGCCTGTAGACCCGTTGCCTCTGGCTTCGGTCCGGACGCCCTCGGCTGCCCGGGAGAGGGGAGATGCTCCCAGTCCCCCCTCGGAGTTGGCGCAGGGACCGTTGAGTATTCCTGGGGTTCCATCCCCGCGCCCTCCCCCATGCCAGGAGCCGAGGCACCAGTTCTGCCTGGTATGCCTCCAGCGCCTCGGACCGAGTCCCGCACGCTTGCAGGCCTGGCCACGCGGGGCACTCTGTCTGCTCCTCCTCTCTGTGGTTCCTAGTGCTAGGGGCAGCCCACCGGGTCGGGTTAGGGTCCTCTTTCCGAGGAGACCCAGCCTCTGGACTCTCGGACTCGGCTCGGGCCGAAAGTCGATGGATACTGGGGAGGTAGAGGAGCATGACGTGCCTTCCGCGTTCGCTCTGCGGGAGGTCCGCAAAGGATTGCCGCGAGTACCTACCCCAGGCCGCTGTGCCTGTTAGCAGCTCCGGACTCGGCTGAGTTCGCTTGCCAGGCGGCGCTTGCCCCTCTAGGCAGCCTACGCGAGACGCAGCTCGCGATTCTGCCCCTGCAAGTACAGGACGTGGGTGGATCCCTCTGTCTGGTTCTCGCCTCCGATTTTGATTCTGCCGGAGCTTGTCAGGAGATACCAGCTTGGGGAGGATTCCTGTTCGTGGTACCTATCGTGGACGAGTGTGTTTTTACTTCCGCCACCCTGGGAGGCTCGCTTCTCGAGCAGCTCCGGCTGCTCAGCAGCAGGCGTGTTACTTCCACCGCTTGCCCTGGCGCGCTCTCGGCATGCGCCTGCAGTACTACGAGGAGGTTTACGGAACGCCATGCAGCAGGTCAGGGTGGTGGTCCATGAGGCCTACCTCTCTCTCGATACAGAGGTCGGCCCTGAGGCGGAGGGCATGCTGGTGACATTTCGCAAGATGTCGTGGCTGCTCCGGCCAGCTATCGGAAGTACAGGCCCACCTCCCGCCAGCGACTCTTTGGGTCTGCTGCCGACGGTGATGTGCGAGTCATGGGGATGCGCAGCTGTGGCTGTCGACGCGTCTCGGTACTCGGCAGCGACACAGCAGACCTTGCTGGCTCCTCCCATTCCGTCTGGGGAGCGCTTCCCTTTCCAGGGGCACAGCAGGTCATTCGGGAGGCTGCTGCCAGCAGCCGCCTCCTTCAAGCGACTCTAAGGCCTTGTTGGAGCACCCGCTGGTGTCTTCGCTTCCGCTCCACCTTCCTCCGCTTGGGTGCAGCCTTACACCCAGTCTGCCGGGCTGGCTTCGCCGCTGGTAGGGGTAGGCGGAGGAATCGGTCCGCCAAGGGTAGGGCAAGGCGGTCCTGCCGACTAGCTCCCAGCTTGCTGGCGCTGGAGGTCTGCCCCCGACTCTCCCTAACCCATCAGGCTGTCGCCGTTGTGTTCACGCCCAGCAGCCCGGGCTTTCGGGACAACGCGACGCCGCCCTACCCCCATATCCCAGTGGGAGGCAGCTTCTATTCCTGCCGGAATGGGAGAAGGCTACCAACAATGCTTGGGTGCCGTCCACCGCCAGCATCGGGCCATTTACCACTGTGGAAGGCCGAGGTCCACCCAACTTCACCGCATATCGCTGCACTCCGTGCAGTCATGTCAGGCAAGGGCGGACATATTATGCGACGAAGTTCAGGCTCTGCTGGACAAGTCCGCCAATCGAGCGATTCCACCGGAGAGGAACAGGCGGGGATTTTACTCCACGTATTCCTCTGCCCCGAAGAAAGACGGCGGTTCCGGCTCCATTCTCAACCTCAAGGGGTTGAAACGCATGCCAGAAGTACCATCCTTCAAGATGGAGACACCGCGCCGGTGATCTCTCATCTGTTCAGCCATTGATTGGCTCACGCCAATCGACCTAAAGGATGCGATCTGCATGTGCCCATACATCCATCGCTCAGTGCACCTTCGGTTCTGTTACGACGGATGTGTTACCAATTCAGGGTGCTCCCTTCGGCATATCATCGACCGCCTCTGGCGGTGCCTCACCAAGCTCATGTTAGTCCCGGCTACCTCGCCGCCGCAAAAGGAAGGCGCGTTGTTACCCTGCATCCTCATCGCACCGGTTGCTCGGAGCACTAACACAGCCAGCGAAGCCCAGATGCTACTCACACAGTGATAGACATTCTAATTCGACTGGGGTGGATCATCAACCTCAAGAAATCCGACCTGGTACCCACCCAGGACTTTGGTTTTCTTGGGGCCATTCCAAACAAACAAGGGATCTCGCTTTCCTTGTCGCCCTAATCGGATCACCAGAGTTCGGAGATGGTATCTTCGCTCTTCTCTCCAGCCCCAGGCACCAGCATGCGGACTTGGCTCCGTCTACTGCCAGGCCATATGGCGGCGACGATCTTTGTAGTGTGGCAGGCGCGTTGAGGATGCGCCTATACAGCAAGCTTTGGCAAGGCTGTGGGCTCACCACGGAGGACCTGGAGCGCTTAGTCTCACAGTCCCCGGTGGTTGACACCTCACCTTCAGTGGTGGACAAATGTCGGAATCTCACCAGGGGGATCTTTGAAATCGGCGACCAGCTCTCACAGTTCAGACCGATGCGCCCCTCACGGGCTGGGGGTGTTCTGGGCAGTCTGTCGGTGTCCGGACTCTGGTCCGAAGCGAAGCCCACCTTCACATCAACGTGTTGGAACTGAGAGCTGTGCGGTTGGTTTTGAGCTTTCAGAGAGCATGTCCAGGCCAGGTAGTCCGTCTTCAGTTGGACAACCAGACGCCCATGTCGTACATCCTGAAGCAGGGCGGCGACGGTGTCCCCAGCGCTCCTCCGAGGCGTGGGACTTTCTCCTCTGGTGCGACCAGTGCGCATTGTCAGGTACTCCCTGTTTATCTCCCCGGGCTGGAGAACGTCGCGAGCAGACGCAGCTCTCTCGCCGATCCCTGGCCCCGCATCGGTGGATGCTCGACAGGCAGATTTTCAGAGTAATCTCCCAGTTGTAACGGTCGTTCCAGGTGGATCTGTTTGCGCCCGGGCGGACGAATCAGACACCCGTGGTTCTGCTCTCGGAATACCGGACCCAGGGCGCACGTCGACGCCTTCCTGCTGGATTGGACGGGCAAAGTGTCTCATGCGTTCCGCCGCTACCACTCATTCCCCGTGGTCCTTTCACAGCTGTCCACCCAGCCAGCCCGCTGCTTGTGCTACTGGCACGCTTTGGCCGGCCACAGAGCTGGTTTCCGGTAATTTTCAGGTTTCTGGCTCCAGCCTCCTGTTCTATTACCTTACTGACGGACATTCTCACTCAGAACGGAGCTTCCACCCAAATCCACGGATTCAGTGGGTGGCTTGGCCCTCTATCAGGTCTAGCCTCGAGGCACGCCGGAATTCCTGCAGCAGTTGCAGACACAATTCTGGCTTTGAGGCGGGATTCGACAAACGCTCAGTATGAGGATAGGTGGTCCCGCTATGCGCTGGTGTTCAGATAGGGGATTGCAGATCCCTTTCTCGCGGATTTAGTCCGAGTATTGGAGTTTTGCAAGCTCGCTTGGAAGAAGGCCTGGCGGCTTCGACCATCCGCGTGGCTACTCCATCGCTATTTCCACTTTTCACACCCCTGTCGATGGTGCTCTTCTGGGGCAGCACCCCTCGATAGCGCTTTCGCTGATGGCTGAACGGGTTCGACCTGCTCTCAGGCTTAACCAGTCCACCTTGGGATTTGTCAATTGTGCTCGATTGGCTGTCCGGTCCAACTTTCTCACACCTATCGGCTATTTCCATTCAGTTGTTAACTTGGAAGGCTGTTTTTCTGGTGGCGGTAACATCTGGACGAGGGTCGGCGATTTACATGCTATGTCGTCCGACCGGCGCTGACTGTGTTTCACACTGATCGTGTCAGCATTCGCGCCTCGGATACTTTACCGCCCGAAGGTCGATCACGCTTTCCATGTGACAGCTCCTATCGAACTTCCCACTCTTACCCAGCCTTCCACATCGGGGACCTCTCCCACGAAAGCACTCACCCGTTGGATGTCCGTAGAAGACGCTCAAAGTCTATATCAAACGAACGAGGGAACTCCAGACGGGTACACAGCTGTTCTGTTGTTACGGTGGCAGGAAGGGTGGTGCCAGCCGAGCAAGCAGACTTTGTCCCGCTGGCTCGTTTCGCTGTATTTGTGCTTATCAGGCTAAGGGCCAGCCTCCCCCTGAGGGGTTGAAGGCTCACTCGGTCAGGGCAGTAGCTGCATCAAAGCTGTTGCATCGGCACTCCTCATTGAAGAGATCTGCTCTGCCGCCATTTGGAGCCAGCCAAGACGCGTTTATACGGCACTATCAGCTCGACACATTCCGTAATCGCGGCGAAGCTTTGGCCGTTTGTTCTTCCAGTGGACAGTGTCCTGCCACCCTGACCAAGTGAGTCTTGGTTTATTGGTTTGTTTATTGATGCTGCTGTACAATAATGTGTATTATTGACCTATCCGCTACTAGGAGCTAACTACCCCCTTCGATTCTCTCAGGAGTTATTAAGTCGATTGTGAGTGGTTTGACATTCCCCACGGTGCTCACTAATCGACACGGGTGGGTGGGTTTTTGTTGACATTCGCATTCATGTGCGATTGCCTATGCTAAACGTATGGAGGTCGATCTTTTGTGCATAATTCCTCCCTGTCAGTTCCCTCCCATAATGCCTCTCGCCGGAAGCTTAACTGGGACAAGTGACAGGTGAGTGTTATGGCTGCCTGTTCAATTTTTTTCCATGATAACGCATCGCCATTTGTGTGTGCTTGGACAGAATTCCCTCCTCCCTGGCCTCCGGTCTTTGGGAGTCTGTGTTTATGCATAATATGTACCCCAAGGACGATCTCTGTGAAGAAGAATTAACCAAACCTGAAGAGGTTTTCAATTCTTCGAAGAGAGTCGCCTTTGGGTAGGGCCTCCTCCTCTCGCAATTCTGTTCACTGATATATTCAGCAGAAGGAATGATGATATCGGGCCTAGGAGTTTACTTCCAGTTGAATGCGCATGCTAACGGGAGGTAACTCCGTGAGGTGGGGGCCGATAATAAATTAAAAAGTAATAATAATCTTTTTATTCAAAAAACATTGATACAACTGTCACAGGACATTTTCAGTTTGGAAAATGCATAATATGTACCCCAAGGACGACTCTCTTCGAAGAATTGAAAACCTCTTCAGGTTTGGTTAAATTTTCATAGGGGAGGCCCCCCCAGATCCCCACCGTCAAAAGAGGCCTGAACCCCCTCTCATGCTCACCCCCAACTCGCACCTTCAGGGCTTGGAAATTGCTTTTAGCAAGGCATGACTCCGCTTTCAATTGATTCAGGGTTGGCATCTCTGGTATAGGGATTGGACATCTATCCATAAAATATGTATGCAATCCAGTAGTTATCCAGAAGCTGACATACTGTATGATCAAAGTGGTTTTGATGATGAGGTGATGACACCAGGTGGTTTTGATGAGGTGATGACACCAGGTGTTGATGTGGGTGATGACACCAGGTGGTGTCGATGATGAGGTGATGACGTAGGTGATGTTGATGATGAGGTGATGACCCCAGTCGGTGTTGATGGTGGGTGATGACACAGGTGGTGTTGATGATGAGATGACACCAGGTGTGATGATGATACCAGGTGTTGATGACACAGGTGTGTTGACAATGAGGTGATGACACTATGTGGTGTTGATGATGAGATGACACCAGGTGGTGTTGATGATGAAGTGATGACACCAGGTGGTGTTGATGATGAAGTGATGACACCAGGTGGTGTTGATGATGAAGTGATGACACCAGGTGGTGTTGATGATGGTGATGACACCAGGTGTTGATGATGGTGATGACACCAGGTGGTGTTGATGATGGGTGATGTCACCAGGTGGTGTTGATGAATGGTGTTTTTGTTGTTCATACAGGAACTTTCCAGACAGCGGGTGTGATCCAGGAGGCCTACAACCTGAACAGCCCGCTACAGGTGTACACTGCCCCAGTTTCCAGCCTGCCACCAGGGGGTGCCTCCTACTTCACCGTTGACACACCACAAGTCATACTGGAGACAGTCAAGCTGGTAAGTTAGATTGTACCTGTCTTCAGAATTACCATTACAAAGGTTACTTACCTGATCTTAAAATACATGTGAAGATCCGGGTTAGAATTGGTCTTCAGCAACCAATGCTTGTTGAAAGAGACAACTAACACAATGTCATGTCATCGTATCCCAATTGCGTAGAACAATGATGTTGATCACTGGATTGTCTGGTCCAGACTCGATTATTTACAGACCGCCGCCATAAAGGTGGAATATTGCTGAGTGAGGCGTTAAACAACAAACTAACCAACCTGTCCTTAAATTTCCTCTTCAGAGTTATGTCCCTTGGTTGTCCCAGTATTCACATGATGTTGGGTTTAGTTCACGATTTGCCTTTTATCACCAAAAGAATTTGTTTCCCTGTTGGGATGATATTCCACAAAGCAGTCTTAGTGCAATAATGATAGTAACTCCCATAAATTAACACAGACTTCTGACAGTTATGGTGCTGAGATCGCTTTGTGGAACAGGACCCTGATAAAACAAGAACTGGTTATTGTTATTATGCTGTGTCTGAGGTATTCAAACTTCTGCATTATAGAGGACACACTAACCTACACACAAACACACACGCATGAAAGTCATTCAGAAAGGTTCTAGAGTTCATGACCATGAAGATTTGAATATATTTTCTCAAATCCATGCTTGTGAGACGAGCAAAGGGAAAGGTGCAGTTAGGCTTGGTGATGCTTGTCACTGTATCCCAAGGTGGGCGATGGGGTAGCCTGGTGGTTCAAGCGTTCGCTCGTCACGCCGAAAACCCGAGCTCGATTCCCTACACTAACTCATTCAGTGTAGGAGAGCGGAAGGTTGCGGGTTCGATCCCCGACAGCGTCATACCAAAAGACGTTAAAATATGGTACTTGATGGTCCCTGCCTGGCGCTCGGCATTAATGTGTACAACAAGGACTGGTCGGCTCAGAGTCAGTACAATTTGTCTGAGTGGGGTATTCCTGCTTCACTGCTGAGTGGTATCTCAGTGAGCTGGCACTATAAAACCAGCTTAAGTCTGGGCTAGTACAAGCAGCCGCACCTACACATACACACGCATGCACGTCGTCATATGAGTGAAATATTCTCAAGCACGACGTTAAACCCAATTTCACCTCACCTCACTCAGTGTATCCCAAATGCAATGTCAATTACTGTATAGTCTGGTCCAGAATCCATTATTTTCATACTGTCTCAATATAGTTTGAATATTGCTGTGTGCAGGATTAAGCAACAACAATAAAGTATAATTTCACACAGTAGGGATATTTCTGTAAACCCAGGATCTATAGTTTGAATGGAATGTCCTGTTTCTTCCTCCAGTCGGAAGACGATGATGGTGCCATGGTTCTGAGGCTGTATGAAGCATTTGGTGGCAGTACAACTGCTACGTTGTCTACATCTCTGCCCATCAAGACTGTCAACAGGTAGGAAAATCCTTCATTGAGAATTCAATAGGGGTGAAACGGTACGCTCTTACCATGGTACGGTATGTATTGCGGTACAAGGCCTTCGGTTCGGTCCGTTTCGGTTCGGTATATGAGATATGATCATAATGCAAAAAATGGACAAAAAAGAGCTAAACCTTACATTGTTTAATGACACGGAAATAATAATCATAATCTTTGCTATTTTAAATGAGCAAAACTGTCATGTCATGACTAGATAGAAGAAGTAAAGTATCACTGTAACCTTTGAGCTCACAGCTGTGTGACAAAATAGCAATTAGCCAAGTATGATTAAAATTCACTAACATCACATCAACATTTACTGCAATGAAACCATTATGTTCCAGAAATGTCAAATTTTGTTGAATGTGACTCTGTTGATGACATATCACAGATAAAGAAATTAAAGAAATTAACACAACACAGTTGTCATAAGACAGTTACTGTCTGTATGACTGATCATTGTCATTGTTCTAAATCATTGTCTTTCTCTTGTTTCAGTATGTTAAACATTTAGAGACTGTCCACAGTCCTTGGGAAGTACTGATACACATTCTTGGCACATTCCAGAGTCTTGTTTTATTCAATTTTCAGATTCAATCAAAATATCTTTCAAAGTTCACTCCAAAATATAATTTTCCTTTTGAAACAAATATGTTTTGGCTGCTTTCTCTCTTTATTGGTTGTTAAATGTTCATTGTGCTGATACTGCTTGTAATGAGATCAGTTCAGATATTTGTGTTGTGGTAACAACAACTAACAAACATAAGGCTTAGAACTGTGATGGGAAAGCCACCAGATCCATACCCATAATTGCAGTCAAGATGGCGGACAGGTCCCTTCGTTAGCCTCCCTGTTCATTGGTTTCCCGTGTGGTTTTTCAATGTTACGGGTGGTTATAGTAATTTTTATTTATATGTTGTTACATGTAGGGCGTTATCTCCGCTGCTAGCATTTTCTATCTTCACGCTGCAAGACATGCTCTCGCAGTCTTTAAAGCACTGAAAAAGTCGTAATTGTTAGTTATGTTGCAGTGCGTATTGATGGTTATTGTCAACTGCATGCTACCTTTGTCGACATGCATTAGTTGGGGTGTGAAAGCCCATTCTCAGGAACAGCTGTTTTTCATATATGTATGTGTGTATGGGGTACGATTGCTGCAGTTTGGCGGTTTTTACTTGTTGCAGTTTAAATCCTTAAACCTGGATTCATCTGAATCCTGACATCTGGCCATTCCCGCCAGGGATACGCGCCGATCGGTGTGTTTAAGATGTCTCATGCAGACTGATCACGCGATTTCAAGGCAGCATGGTGCCCTTTTGCACCTTTTGGGCTGTTTACAGCAACCTGCTTCGGGCGGGGGTGATATCTGGGCTCAGGATCCCCCGGCCCAAGCATTCACATGGCTGATCATGAAAAAAAGGGGGTCGCGCGCGGAGCCGCTTCCCATAAGGCAAGGCGGTGGAGCCGCACCCCAAAGAGCTAAGATTACCAAGGAGGCTTCGCCTGAAAAAACTAATGCTCCTTCTATATCTCAACCTTCCCCTGTCTCTGCTTCCGCCACCCCCCCTGTTGTATCTGCACCCGTTGTACCTGTTGCCTCTTTAACTGCTTTGTTTCAGGAACAGATGTCGTCAGTGAAATCCCTGATCGATACGGCGTTGGCTGGGCTCCGTAAGGAGCTCAGCCCGGTCGTCGGGGCCGATCGGATACATCTGAATGGGGTTGGCTGCGGCCCGAAGTTTCGCTGAGAACGCGCCTCCCCGGGCAGCTTGATCCCGTGGGGATAGCGCGCCCTCGGCGCCTGGTGGCGACCTAGCTTCACGCTCAGGTCCGTCACAGGTGCCTGGCGCCGGCGATGCAGGGTTACCCCTGTCTTCGCCTGGTGCCCTGACTGGCGGTCGCCTAGGCACCGACCAGCTCGGGGATACCTCGGCGCATGGCAGCCAGTCTGGGTTGCCCGGGAAGCCTGTTGCGGCAGGTTCCTCTCGGGCGCCTGGGCGACCTGGCGCGGGTTCCACCTGGCAGGGTGACTCATTCCCTGTGGCGTCTCTTGACCTTTTGAGTCTTTCTTGTTCAGCCTCTGGCGTATCCTCTGGCGGCTCTCAGGAGTATGAGAGTACGGCAGCCGAGGATTGTGCCGAGATTGATATGGAGGATGATGAAGGGAGGGAGGAGTCGGAGGCGGGAGTTCCGTACTCCTTTGGCTCGTCCCTGCGGCAGGTTCGGGATAAGATCGCCGAAATCCTGCCTCAGGTGGCCGTTACTGTACAGGCCCCACGACCCTCGCGGGAGTTTCGCTCCTCGGGAGGCTTTAGGCTTAGCCGGGTCAGCCGAGGCACGCCCGCATTCTGCCATCACTGGTGAGTGAGGTGGTCAATCCTCTCTTGACTGGTGCCCGCGCACGCGGTTTGATTTGCCTGACGTCCGCGCAAGCGGTACCAGTTGGGAGAGGAGGCGCTGTTCGAGCCGCCAGTGGTGGACAAGTGGTTCTTTGCTTCCGCCACTCTAGGGGGTCGCCCTCATCTTCCCTGGCCTCGGCCAGGCAGGGCAGGCGCCTCCCCCTTTTCCTAATAATTCACTTACGCTGAAGTCTGCGTACCGGTCATTCGAAGAGTGCGCAGCCCAGCAATTAAAGTGGCAGTCCACTCAGCCTACCTGTCTGCTCTGCAGGGACAGCTGGTGGATCAAAGTGCTCGCTGCAGCCCACTCAGCCTACCTCATCTGCCGGGATAGCAGTGCTTTGCCAGCCTGATGGATCAAAGCTTGCGCCGCTTGTGGTTATGGCTTCAAAGACTCTTATAAGCCTTTGTTGGGGATTGCAGGCCTCTGTTTTACCTTCAAAGCCAAGCCTTTGTTGAGCAGCCTTCCGTTCCTTCGGCCTTCCCCTTCGCTTCGGCTGATCCTTCTGCCCCGGGCGAAGGAAGCTGCAAAGTGGACTGCCCTTTGCAGTCAAAGCGAGCGCTTAAGGCGCAGAGGCAAGGGCAGGCCTGCTCAAGCGCAGCAGCCTTTTCGGGGCAGGGGGAAGCCAGCCCCGGCTTCCCGCTGTTTCCTTCCCCAGAGCCCTTATTGCCCCCCACTCACGTAAGCGGAGAGTTGCCGACTGTGGGGGTGCACTGCCTCATGCCACACGTCCCTGTCGGCGGCCGGTTGTCCCTATTCCTCCGGGAGTGGGAGGCAGCCACCTCAAATCCCTGGGTCCTGTCCACGCTCAGGGATGGCCATTTGCCACAGTTGAGGCGAGATCCTCCGTCTTCTTCTCCGGGGTTCGGCACACACCTGTGCCGACCTCCCGCGACAAGGCGGAAGCGCTCCGTGCCGAAGTTCAGTCCTTACTGAACAAGGCAGCCATCGAGGTGGTTCCTGTGGGTCAGCAAGGAGAGGGGTTTTATTCCACCTACTTCCTAGTGACCAAAAAGGACGGAGGGTTCAGACGCATTCTGAATCTCAGAGGGCTGAACAAGTTACTGGGATTCTGTCTAAATCCGTTCTGTGTGAACTTGTCCCAACTCTTCCACCTGTCCTGGGACCCTCGATAACGCATCTGCATCCCCATTGGCCTGGCCATGCAGGGCGATTTGTCAAAACATAGAACGGGTTGTTATCTGTGAAAACCACAAAGTTGTGCCCATAAAGGTAATCATGAAACTTTTCACTTATTGACCATTTGAGACACAAAAACTCCAACTTATGAGCAGAATAATGTTGTTCTGATTTCTTGAGACCACGACTAGCGTAACTAATGACCCGTTTCTCTCCATCCTGAACCTGATAAAGAACAGCACCAAGACCTTTTGTGCTAGCATCCATATGCAATTCAAACGGCAAAGAAAAATCACAGAAACCAAGGATTGGAGGTGATGTTAATCTGTGCTTCATTTCTTGAAATGCCTGCTCTTGTGCCGTGTCCCATTTCCATACCGTATTAGCAGAATTCTTTCGTCTCTTCTTTGGAATGGGATTTGGAAAAACATCACACAATGGTCTGGAAATCTGAGAGAAATTGCGAACAAACCGACGGTAGTAACCTGCGAAACCAAGGAAACGTCTTCCCTCCTCAGGCAATGATGGTGTCGGCCCATTCCGAATAGCCTCAACTTTCCCAGGATCAGGTTCTACTCCTCTCAGACACAATATGACCAACATAAGAGACTTTCCGTTTGAAAAAAAATGGCATTTCTTGGGAGCTACTTTCAAGTTGCTTCTCTGGAAAACTTTACCCAGCCTGTCAAGATGCTCATCTAATGTCTTGGAAAACACAATGTCATCAATATACACCAGGCAAATGGAGATGCAAATCCCCTAAACACTGCTCCATGAGACGTTGGTACGTCGCAGGACTATTACACAAGCCAAATGGGAGACTGTTATATTCGAAAAACCCTAACGGTCCAACCGTAAATGCAGTTCTTTCTTTGTGCTCCTGTGATTTCAACTTGGTAATATCCAGATTTCATGTCCAGTTTGCTAAAGAAACTATTTCCACCCAAATTATCCAGAATTTCCTCAATTCTCGGCAGAGCGTAAGAATCTTTCAATGTCCGAAGGTTCAACTGTCTGTAGTCGGTACACATCATAAGTCTACCATCTTTAGGCCTACACAAGACAACATTGGAAGACCATGGACTATGAGAAGGGCGGATAACATCACAAGCTAACAACTGATTCAAATGTGACTTAACCTCATCAAACATGGAAGGCGGAATGCGTCTACACCTCTGCTTAAAAGGGACATCAGTCAACTCTATCCTATGCTTCACTGCAGATGAATGACCCAAGGTCTAAATCATCTTTCGAGAAAATGTCACAATAACTTGAGATGATATTTTGACCTAACCGTAATTCCTCAGGTGATAGTGTCTCTGTCTCACACTCAATACCCTCCGGAAGTGGAACAGACAAACCATCTACACCACTAAGTCCAACTACCTCACTTGTATTACAAGTGGGAGACTGAATATCCTCTACAGTAACTGGAT